TGTTTCGTTTTTTGGTGGAGGTGGCAGTGGTGGGTGGTGGTGGTTTTGGGGTCTGATTTTCAGTGAGAGAGGATAGAGATATAAAATTAAAATTAATAAGGATAATTCTGTCATTTGAAGATTTGAATATTTTAAATTAAAAATTAGTATTTTATTGAAGGGCAATTTAGTCTTTTCTCACCTTTTAAGGGTATGTTTGGATAAAAAATTCTAACAAGGGGTGTCTTTGTTAACTTTATCAAACCTAGTGGGGTGTCATCGTTCAAAAATGGTCTAACTTGTATATAGCTGTAATTATAGTAAACCTCAGAGGGTGTCATTGTAATTAACCCTTATTTTATTTTTGTCCCAAATAAATAAACTCTTATACCAATTGAACAAAATGATCATTTTACATGGCTTGTAGTTTTACTTATTAATTTATTCTACTGTAATGAAGGTATTATCGTCATTTTAAACCTCGATGGGCTATTTGCACCAAATCAATAGTATAGGGGGGTTTTAAACTACACTGTTTACACTATATCAATAATAAAGGAGAATTTTTGCACTTGACCCTTATTATTATTATTATTATTATTATTATGGTAAAGTACACTAAACCCCCCTGAACTTTCTTCTCTTTCTTAAGAAACCCCCCTGAACTTTAAGGAATGCACTTTACTTCCTAAACTATTCTACTTGTTGCAAATACTGAAATTTTGTTACTTGGCCGTCTAATAATTAACGTTGAGAGAAGGCACGTGACCCATGTGCATTGGTTAAAATTTAGAATACCATATATACCACTATTTTTTTTTCTTAGTTGGTACTCACACACACATGTCTCTACTAAGCCTCAACCCCTGACCTCTCTTTGAGAAATAGGGGCCTGATATCGCTAAGCCATTGACATGTTGGTCCTTATGACTATTATATTAAACATTATATATTGAACCCCAAAATCATCAATGTTCAACAGTTCGCGGCAGAGGAAGTCGAAATCGCAATGATTTGAGAGCTGAAAGTTTGATTTTTGTCCAAGGTAGGAGCACCAAAAGCTATAATTTTAGAGGAGTTTGTAGTCGAAGCGGCGAATCGAGCTCATCGGGATTGTCGGCGGTGATTTGAGATGCATTTAGGAGTTAGCAAAGTGGAGTACCAAGTGTTCTCTTTGGTTAGAAACGTAGTCGTTAGAAGACCCCGAGCCAATCCATGACGTTGTCCCATTTGTGGAATGGTGGTTTCTGGAGGTCCCCGCCGACGGCACGTAGGGCGACTGTGGCGACACGTACCTCTGGGAAGCGGAGGGACGGGTGCTTAGTTAGGAGGTTATTGATGGAAATTATGTTTAAAAACTCTTCGAATCGACGAGGCGGCGGTAGCAGCGCTTTGATTTGTTGTGGATGAGCTTTGGAGAATGGGGATTGGCTTTGATTTGTTATGGCAGAAAAGTATGAAGACTATGCAAGATGGGTGTTAACCATAGAATTTGCCGGTGACCATCGACGTCGAAAAAGCATCACCGGCGTGCCATCCCCGCTGCAAGTCGCCATCGCCACAGCCCAATCTGTGGCTCAACGACAGCGAGGATACGGCGACCTCTGTAACTCTTTCTCAACAATAGCAAAGGACCAACCAATGGCAGATTACGAAGCAATCAAAACCAAACGTAGATACCCTCTACAAATTCAATCACACACAGTCAATACGACAACAACTGGCGACAATGAACAGAAGGATCGTCGGTGGCCACTGCCCTCTATACACTGACCCCTCTGTTTTGTATGTGTGTGTATATATATATAGTTATATGTGTGTAATTTTGAGTTGTTGGGTTTTGTGTGGCTTTGTGTGGTGGAATGGTGACTTCCGATGGTTTTGTTCACTAAACATGGTATCCACGGTGAAAAAAAAAAAAAAAAAAAAAAAAAAAAAAAAAAAAAAAAAAGGAGATAGAGAGAAGAGACCCAGTAAGAGTATCTCCAACCCACCTGCTATTTGGGCTGCTAATTCAAAATATGGCAAGTGGGCTTACAACTGGGCTCTCCAATGCAATGTTATTTGGGTCGCTATTTTTTATGCCAATTGTAGCAAAACAAATAACAATTGCTATATGGGCTGGGGTCACAGAAAAGAAGGGACGGCTCCAATTTCGCTTGTATTTGTCTAGGGCAATAGAGAGAGAGAGAGAGAGAGGAGAACGGTGGCAATAGAAACGAAAGAGATCGGCCACCAGCGACAAAAAGTTCATCTCTTCCTCATCGTTGTCTCTCCGATTCGTCGTCAGGTCACCGTCAATCCATTGTTCTTCCTCATTGTTGTTAGACTCATAAATCTCCTTTATGGTAGGTTCATAAACCCCCTTTCTGTCCCTCATCGTTGTCTCTCCGATTCGTCGCCGAGTCACCGTCAATCCATTGCTGACCTCTAAGGTACATTGTTGTTCATTATCTTCTTCTCACCTCTAATCTAAATCTTCCAGAAAGCAGAATCAATCAAAAATTGATTCATTAATATTATTATTTTTTAAAACGATCACAATATAGGTGAAGGAAAATTTGGGTGAATTGGGTTTTTAATTTTGCTTGATATACAACAAGATATTTTTAGTTAGATTGTTGATGAGAATATAAATTTAGATACTTTAATGTTAATTGCAGGGTCTCCAAATCTTCTAAGATCTTTGCTGAGAAATTTCCGACTCTAGTTACCGGCTTCTTTTTCTTTACTTGGTAAGCTCTTTCTCATGTGATGTTTGTGTAATCATGATAATGTATGTGTCTCAATTACTTGTGCAACTCAATTAGATAATTTTATGCTAAATTCAAGTTATAGTTTCTTTCCAGACATCCGATAAAATTGGAACAAATTTACTGGAAAAAAAAAAAAAAAAAAGTAGTGGTAATTGTTTGATGCACTTTTTTTAATTGCAATATATGTTACATTAACTCTTCTAGACATCCGATAAAATTGGAACAAATTTACTGGAAAAAAAAAAAGTAGTGGTAATTGTTTGATGCACTTTTTTTTAATTGAAATATATGTTACATCAACAATTCTTCTATACCAATGTGAAATGTTAGAAGTAGCATTTTGAAACAAGACATGTTGAGTATATGTGTTGGGATTTTCCATGTCCAATATGCAACTAGGAAGCATGTTGATAATTTAGGTTTATCATATGATTTTGGTCATAAAATTGTCTCCTTTTAATTTATCTTTTTTTAAAATAAGTTCAAGGTACATATATATAGTTTGGTTCATGTGTCCTTAGGCTTGAAGACATATATTGGAATATATATCTCGTTGTATACATGGTTTTGATTAATATGGAACAGATTTTATACTTCTCTAATTCTTTCTCTTGAAGAGTATACTCTGTGAGATGGTATATTACTATTGTTGACATGAATATTATTGCATTTAGACATTCATATAAGCGCCCACACGTGTATGTGGCACAAACACACACTAAATTTGTTGTGTATGAACTTGTTTGTTGATTCTTTATTGTTTTTCTGTTCAGGTACTTCCTAAATGTCATCTTCAATATCCTCAACAAGGTCTATAATTATTTCCCATATCCATAGTAAGTTATGTTTGCGTTTTGGTTTCTCAATTTTCAGATACTCCTGCCTATGTTAATTCTGAATCAAATCAATGCATTTTAATGTGATCATTATCATTAGGTTTGATAACAGTAATCTATTAGAAACCTTACATTTGTATAACATGCATACTTTCAAGGTCCAAACTATTAAGATTTTACCTCTGGTAATCCAGGATTATACAGTTGTAAATTGAATTATTTATTCCTTGATTTAGGGCTAATTGGTAGGTAATTAGTTTCCCGATAATTGTATAATTAGTTACCTATTTTAGCTATGTATTATTCTATAAATTGAATATAAAGCCATCGTGAATAATATCGAATTGAGTTTTGATTCTCATTCTTTCTCTTGAATTTCAAGATGGTATCAGAGCCATCATTGAACCGTATTTTTTTATTTCTTTGAATTTTTTGATCTCTTTGAATTTTTTTGTTCTCTTTGAATTTAGCCCTGAAATACACAGACCCATACCCAAACCCATACATAGCCAATACATCAACAGGCATCTCATACCCATACAACATAACCATACCCATACACATCAATTCACAGTCACCATTGATTAACCCATCACAAGCCGTTACTAAACCGCTAAAAACCTCGCCATATCGGGATCTAAAACGACGACGATAAAGCCGCAGCTACTGCCATCACTAGTCTGAGCAGTCGCCGGACCAATTGCCGTCACAACTCACAGCCGTAACCAAACCGCTGCACCTCGACAGATCTGTATCGCCGTCGTCGGACCTGTATCGCTGTCGCCGGATCTAATTCGCTGTCAGCTGTCACCGGATCTGCAGCCTTTGACGGCCGAACTGCTGTCCGTAATATCGTCGGATCCATCTCAGTCGAACCGAACCAGCCGTCGTCTCAATCATCGCCGTTGGATCCATCATCGCCGTCGCACAAGGAGGAGAACCTACAGCCGCTGTCTCCATCACCAGATCGCCGGCCGCTCATCCAGTTTTGCTGGATCTCCATCTTCTGTTTGCATCTCCATTTGTTTTATTTTTTTTGTTTCTCTCTCTTGACAGAAACTAATTGGGTTCCTTATATTTGTTGTTTTTTTGTTTTTTTTTTTTGTAATAGATATATAGATATATATATATATATCCAAAAAAAAAAAAAGGAAAAAATGAGTGAAAAAAATATTGAATCCTCTGGGATGAAATCAGTTCCTATTTTTGTTCAATCTGAAAGTGTTTTTAATACAGGAATTAGTCTTACTGAATCCAATTATGACATTTGGTCCCAACTGATGGAGATGCATATTGCTGAAAGGGAGAAACTTTCCTATATTCGTGGCAAGACTAAGCCACCTACTGAATCAGAAGATGGTTATGACAAATGGCATGCTGAAAATCAGAAAGTGAAGCGGTGGCTATTAATGTCCATGACTCAATAATTATGAAGCGTTATTTACGCTTACCCACTGCCCACGAAATCTGGAGTGCTCTATCAAAGGCCTTTTATTATGGGAATGATGAGTTGCAAGTTTTTGCCTTGAACCAAAAGGCCTTCACCGCCAAACAAAATGGCAAATCTCTATCTGAATATTATGGAGAGCTAACTGAGGTTTTCCGAGAAATGGACCATCGAGATAAAGTGGTCATGAAAGATCCGGATGACATTGAAAGCATATCGGAAGTCTATCGAGCAACTAAGAGTTCACATCTTTCTTGCTGGATTGAATGCTGATTTTGAACAAGTTCGTGGAAAACATCAGAAGGCATCAACGCTCATTACCTCGTAGCGCACAACCCCATCAATAGAGCAAAGCATGTTTTACGCCACGATCCAGTTCCAGACTTGGAAGGTTGCTACTCTTTGGTTCGACAAGAAGTGGTACGTCGTGCAACTCTGAAAAAGGAGTCTGAAAACTCTGAAGCTTCAGTCATGATGGTTCGCAACAGATCGAAGCAAAACTGGTAAGACTGTACTAAACCCAATCAATCTAAAGTTACCAACGGTGCAGACAAGTCTACCTACAAATGCACCCATTGCAATTAGACTGGTCATACCAAAAGTCGTTGTTTCGAACTTGTAGGATATCCGGAATGGTGGGATTATAGTCGTTGGAAAAAGAATTCGATGAAGACCTCTGCTACAGCAGTTGTTAAGACAGAGGATGATGGTGCTGAGAAGGCCTTGGTGTTGGTAGTCACTGGTGATAATGGTGGTAAGATTTTAAATATTTCTACATCTGTTGTTAATAGTGCATGGATAATTGATTCTGGTGCTACAGATCATATGACTTTTAATTCTAGACAGGTTTCATCTCTTAATTCCTCCTCACAACATTTTGTTTCTACTGTCAATGGTACTTCGACCCCAATTATTGGGAAAGGAGCTTTGAAACTCCCTGATAATCTGCATTTAGATTATGTTTTAGTTGTTCCATCGTTAGCTTATAATCTTTTGTCAGTTTCCCAACTCACCACAGCTTTGTCTTGTGTTGTAATTTTTTGGCCTGATTTTTGTGTGTTTAGGGACATCCAAACAAAGCAGACGATTGGTTGTGGTATTAGGCGAGGGAAGCTGTATTACTTGGACTTGATATCGAAAAGTTCCGACAAGCTACGACAAGCATTGACAGTGGATGGTTCTGAGGGGGAAACAAAGAAATCTGATGGTTCTGAGGGGGAGAAGAAGAAATATGAAATCTGGCTTCGGCATCGACGTCTGGGGTATGCTTCCTTTGGTTATCTGAAAAAATTATTTCCTAGTTTATTTGAAAATTTTAATGGTTCTAGTTTTCACTGTGATGTTTGTGAACTAGCAAAGAGCCATCGTGCTTCGTTTCCATTATATTTGAATAAAAGTCCACTTCCTTTTATGGTTATACATTCTGATGTTTGGGTCCGTCCAAAGTAACTACTTTAGGTGGATCACGTTGGTTTGTTACTTTTATTTATGACTGTACCAGGATGACCTGGTTATGCCTGATGAAATCCAAAAGTGAAGTGAACTTATTATTTCAAAAGTTTCATAAAATGGTTGAAACTCACTACAATGCATATGTTCAGGTTCTTTGTAGTGACAATGGTGGGGAATATTAGAGTTTTAACCTTCAACAATATTTGGAATCACATGGAACTATTCATCAAACTACTTGTTCCAATACACCCCAGCAAAACGGGGTTGCAAAGGGAAAAAATCGGCACTTGTTGGAAGTTGTTCGTGCTTCATTGATAGAAGCTCATATGCCGTTATCGTATTGGGGAGAAACACTTACTGCTGCAACATATCTAATCAATCGAGTACCTTCCAGCTCTATTGACTTCCAGACACCATGGCTCTCACTGACGCAGTTATTGCTTCAACCGTCCCAAATCTACCTCCTCATGTTTTTTGGTTGTGTAGCTTTTGTACACCTCCATAAGTATCAACGCAACAAGCTAACTCCTCAGGCATTGCGATGTGTTTTTCTCGGATATGCTGCTCATAAAAAGGGGCATCGCTATTATCACCCTCCAACTCGACGAATGTTCATCACCATAGATGTTGTCTTCCATGAAGACTCGATATATTTTTCCTCTGCATTTGAACTTCAGGGGGAGTAGCAGAATGAAATTCAGACTCTAGATTATGATTATCACACTTTTGTGGATGATGATTCTAGTGATGATGATTCACAAGTCGGACCAGCCAATCAAGAATCAGGCGAATTGCATTCGAGTGGTATACGTTTAGGATCAAAGTGGTGATGAACGCCCAGAAATGGAAAGTATGATGCCAACCCCACTATCCTCCGAGTTTGAATCCCTCGCAACTGATATATCAAACCAATCGCCTGCTGAGGATGTTCCTGAATTAGTGTCTGAGCCACTTCGAAAACAATTACCACAGCGTCATACTAAAGGTATTCCTAAACCCACATATGAACCTGAACTTCCTAGTAAAGTAAAGTATCTCATGAGTCATTATATATCAAACCATCATTTGTCAGAATCAAATTTGTCATTTGTATATCAATTATCTACTGTATCTATTCCTAACAGTGTGCAGGAAGCCTTAACTGATCCTAAGTGGAAAGCAGCTATAAAACTTGGGAACTCATTGATCCTCCACCAGGAAAGAAACCAGTAGGATGTCGATGGATCTATATTGTGAAGTATAAAGCTGATGGCACAGTTGAACGCTTTAAAGCAAGGTTGGTAGCAAAAGGTTACACCCAAACCTATGGAATCGATTACACAGAGACGTTCGCACCTGTAGCCAAAATCAACACAGTTCGGGTCTTGTTGTCTTTAGCTGTGAACTTGGATTGACCATTGCAACAATTCGATGTGAAGAATGTCTTTCTGCATGGTGAATTATCTGAAGAAGTCTACATGGATCTCCTACCAGGATGCATGATACCCCAAAAGTATAGTCGAAAGGTCTGTAGGTTAAAGAAATCGTTATATGGGTTGAAACAATCTCCGAGAGCATGGTTTGGAAGATTCACAAAGTCAATGATAGCCTTTGGCTACCATCAGAGTAATTCAGACCACACATTATTCTTGAAGACACAACAGGGTAAGATCACTGCACTCATTGTATATGTAGAAGACATGGTGATTACAGGAAATGATCCTGAAGAAATGAAGGCTCTCAAGAAGTACTTGTCCAGAGAATTCGAAATGAAAGATCTAGGTCATTTAAGATATTTTATTGGGATCGAAGTATCTCGATCTAATAAAGGAATCTTTCTATCTCAAGAAAATATACCTTAAATCTATTACAAGAGACTGGCATGACAACATGTCAACCAGCTGAGACACCAATGGAAGAAGGATTGAAGTTATGTATTGAGTCCAACCAAGTACCTGCTAATAAAGGAAGATACCAAAGACTTGTAAGGAGATTGATGTACTTAGCACACACGAGACTGGATCTGGCTTATGCATGAAGCATTGTTAGCCAGTTTATGCATGATCATGGAGAGCAACATATGAATGCAGTTATGCGCCTTTTGAGGTATTTGAAATCTGCTCCTGGAAAAGGAATTTTGTTCACTAAAAATGCTGGTTATCAAAACATAGATGCATATACTGATGCTGACTGGGTTGGAGCTATAGATGATAGGCGATCTACTTCTGGTTACTTCACTTTTGTAGGCGGTAATCTTGTTATATGGAGAAGCAAGAAACAAAATGTTGTTGCTCGCTCAAGTGCAGAAGCTGAATTCAGAGGTATGACGCTTGGACTTTGTGAAACTTTGTGGTTAAGACTTTTCTTGCGGGATTTAGGTAATCTACCAAGGCAACCGATTCGACTATATTGTGACAATAAAGCAACATGTGATATTGCCTATAATCCAGTTCAACATGATCGTATAAAGCTTGTCGAAATAAATAGATTCTACATTAAGGAGAAGTTGGATGAAGAAATTGTGGAGTTGCCTGAGATTCGATCTGAGGATCAACTAGCCGACATTCTCACCAAAACAGTCTCAACTCAAGTGTTTTCAACAAATTTTAGACAAGTTGGGCATGTGTGACATCTATGCACCAACTTGAGGGGGAGTGTTGAGATTTTACCTCTGGTAATCCAGGATTATACAGCTGTAAATTGAATTATTTACTCCTTAATTTAGGGCTAATTGGTAACTAATTAGTTTCCCAATTATTGTATAATTAGTTACCTATTTTAGCTAGGTATTATTCTATAAATTGAATGTAAAGCCATCGTGAATAATATCGAATTGAGTTTTGATTCTAATTCTCTTTCTTGAATTTCAGGACAAACTGTTCTCTCTCTTCAACCACACTATTTACGTTTGTGTTTTAAAATAAATATCAACTTCAACACAGTGTTATTTGTAAAAATTTATGAGCTTATAAATGGTGAGAATGGTAGTTAAAAAAGAATGGTGGTTGTGTCAAAAAATAACATTTTGCATGAAATACACCATTGGAGCAGAATTGCTAAAATGTAACATTTTGACACTGTAGTACTGTTAAAATATAGATTTGGTATCCGAATTTAGCATTTTAGCATTGGAGATGCTCTAAGAAAACAAAAAAAAAAAAGTCAGCAACCAATAGCTTTTGTCACGTGTGCGAGGACTCCATTGAATGATAAACTTCAAAATTAGATGAACTTCAAAATGTCGCCGATCAACTTAAGGGCTAAAAAGCAATTTAATTTTCTTATTGACATTTTGTCTTCCAATGCAACAAAATGATAATTTAGGAAATTTAGTACACTTTCCCTTTATTATTATTTCAATGCAACAAAATGATAATTTAAGAGGGTTTAAGCAGTGCACGTTCCCCTTGTTATTATTCCATAACACTTTCTTCACTCTGTATAGTTGACCGAATAACAAATTGAACCACCACCTTTCTTCACTCTGTATAGTTGACCGAATAACAAATTGAACCACCACCGTATTTTATCAAACATTAGACGCACTAGTATATATTCATTCAGCACAACCTAATCCACATGTAAAACAAAATTGCACAATACTTGAGTCATGACTCTTGCTCTATAAGAACCAAGTTTGTCCACCTAGGTGAGGTCCACTAAAATATAGATACTTGTCTGAAAGTTTGAAATTATTCGAAATGGTTCCAAATCCATCTTTGAAGGGTTACCGGGCGATATTGTGACTTTTTCTCTCTTACGGACCCTACCCAACCCCACTCGTGATAAGCTACGCGTAAAGAAAATCAGTTGTTGAGGATTCTCGTATACACCCTAATTTCCATCCTTCTCTTCTGCTAAACAGCCTCCACCACCTCCGTTTCTTGCCACCTCCTTCATTCTCAAACCCTATGGAGCTTTTCCAGAATCTAGGATAAAACATATATTCGACTGTAGATCGATGACCGGAAGCTATAGCCAAATCGATCGAGGTCGCCTCTGGAAATTCTAATCAAACATCAAAACTTCTCTCTTTCTAATTGATATATCTCAATTTTTTCATCTCCAAGAACCCTCAGATTTTTTGGGCTTTTGCTCATGTAAAGCCGTTAAATTTACGTTTTCTGTTTAAAATTAGTGTATTTGAATTTTTTTTTTTTTTTTTTAAGCAAAGTCACAGTTTGAATTTGAATTGACAAGTAAAGCATTGATTGATCGATTTCTAGAGTTTCCTTTGAGTATTGTTTAATCGATTTCTAGGTTTCCCTTGGGTTTTGCGATCTGATTGATTAGGGTTGTCGATGGAATGAAACGCAGTTTGAATTGGTAACTTGATGGAGTACTGGATTGATTGATTTCTAGGGTTTCATTTGGGCTGGGTTGTCTTATCTGATTGGAAGAGAGAGAGAGAAATAGTCCGGGTAGCCCTAACATCAAAGATGGATTTTATCCATTTTAAATTTTTTTGAAAAAAGCTTTAGACAGGTGTCTATATCTTACTGGCCACGTCACCTACGAGGACCAAGTTGGCTCCGATAGGCCAGGACCTAAGTATGTCCAACAAAAATTTCCACATCTGAACAAAGGAAGAGACACAGGTCCATTCTCATACTCTTTGTACTTTAGGGTTTAGAATTGAAGACACTTGAGACTACACAACCCATCATAGAGAAACTTGAACTTAAAATATTGGCAAAGGATGACAACAATGAAGTGTTTTTCGCAATGAAAATCATCCAAAAGTTACAAATACAGAGTAGAGAGAAAGTAAACTAATTCTCAGGTCCTGGGTCAAGATAACAAGTAAAATCAACATTTTAAGACACAGACTGGCAGAAACAGTTGGTGAGAGACTGGTGCCATTTCTCTGTTCTTTCTTCTCTTTACACATGAATGACCCCAGTAATAGCACTCTCTTTAACAGGTCTGTCAAGCCGGATGGCTCCGTCCCTGGACATGCTTTGCAAGTGACTACCCTGCCATTATCCCATCACAATCAACCCAGGTGCTGATTTCCATTTGGTGCCGAAATACAAAGCTATTAGCTATAGTTCAAGCAGCAAAATGCGGAGAACTAGTATTGCTACCCTGTCCTGAAAATAACAATGATATGGAAAACTGCATCATGTGTGCAGATCACAGAAAATAAAAGACTTATGCTACTGTCACTGGCTTATCTTACCGCCAGGCAGGAGCAATTCTGAAAAAAACAATGGCTTGGAGAGACGATTACCTCTCACAGGGCAAACCCCCATGGTGAGAATAAACAACCCTTAAAATGATCTTGGGGAAACATAAGAACATTCCATTCAACTGCTATACACATGCAGGAGCCACCTTGATGCATTGTCCCAGTTAACTTCATTCGGTGCTGCTTGATTTAGAAACCATTAGTCTGTACATAGGTGCCCCACGATCTATAACATGTTGTTCCCAGTCTGACCGAACTCCAAATGGGTTATCCTTCAGCCATCCTCCGCTGATGTTACCATCCTGATCATGCACAAAAAGCTTTCCTTTGCCATATTGTAACAATTGTTCTTTCATTCTCACTGTGACTTCTTCTATGTCAGACTGAATAAAGACCTGCATCTCAAGAATAGATGGTAGACAAGCTGGATTAAGCTTGTGTGTGCCTGGCTTACAAACTGATCAATGAATCTCCCTTCTGAGCTAATTAAAGATTATTAGTCATGCAAGCATGTCAGAAAGACACTCCAAAGAGACTCCTACAAACATGTCAGACTCGCATGCATGCATTAAAGTTTTTTTTAACAAAATATAACGCAAAATAAATAAATAAATAAAAATAAAAATTGAAAGATTTGCTAAAATAGTCAAGCACTCAACAGATAATTTTTAGTGTAAAGAAATTTAAAGCTGTAAAAATAGAGATATGATATGGAAAGTTAGATGTAGCAGTAGTGGTGCTGTTTAAAAGAATTATATGTATGATAGTTGTTGACCTTCATCATCCAAGTTAGATGAACGGATCAAACAAAATTATATATTTCTCCCATATGAATTACATATAAACATAATAAAAAAGAAAAAAGAAAAGAAAAGAAAAAGGAAAAGGAAAAACATCCAGAATTTTGATGTCTTCGCCCATTTGCATCCCACTGTTCTAAAATTTCATGCTTGGAGTGTCAATGTCATGTTATATATGTACCTTGTGACAGTGTCCATGCTATATAGGAGCTTCAAGGTTCAGTAAGGCAGTCATTAACCCGAAAAAAAACAATGAAACAAGTGCCTTGCAAATACTGATGAAATGGTCAACTATGTTCTCTGCATTTTCAAGTTGCGCACAGACAATGCTAAAAAGATGAATGAAACAGGCAACCATGCCTGCAATTCATGTTCATTCATGTACATTTTCCATATCAAAATGGCAGCTCCTGTGATAAATCAAGGAACAAAATGCAGATCTAGACTTCTAAGTTGTGACAGTTGCATCTTTTAATATATAATTGTACTACATGAAAATGTATATATACAATTAAAAAAAGAAAATGTATATATACAAAATAAGTTACATAAGCTCCAGAATTATAGATTTGCTCACTAATTACAATGATCCAATCATGGTTCAGACAGAAAAAAGAAGTTGACTGATCCTGTGTTACCTTTCCGTCACATCTGAGTAGATCTGCTATTGCCTCAACTAATGATCTTTGCAGCATTCTCCATCTATATTCTGGTTTGTTGAAATCAGGATTTGGACACTACAGAGAGAAGAATTTTGCTTAGACTAAAAAACAATTAGATTTAGGGGGGGAAAAATAGTTCGTACTGTTTGATAACAAACAGGGAACAACACAAGAAAAAACAATCGTTAGTTGCAAGGAGGAGAAAAACTTTAGAGGAGAAAGTAAAGGGGAAACTCTTCACCTTAAACAGAACATATCTCTTTCAACCTCCATTGGCCCTCACCTTCTCATAAGCAAATGGTACCAGCGTAAGAGCTATAGGCCTTGCATCCATTCTACATGCCTACCTATTTCTCAGTGTGTGAGAAGGGATCATATGTGGGGACAACGTAAGAGCTTGATATATGTTGTTGATCCCACAAGAAATAGGTTGAGAAAAATTGATATACATTGTTTTGCCTGTTCCTTAACGACTCAAGTTTTTGGGGCAAGTAGTTGTTTGACACCCGTTGCAGCTTAGACTAAATGGCATATACCCCATGCTCACCGTCACTTGACATGGCCATTCATCCTTTTCCAATTCTTCCAATAAGCTAGTTGAAGGGCTGCACAGATCAGTTATTTTTAGTTACATTGGCCAACCAATGAGCTTCAAACAAGGTGATGTCTGGTCAATTAACTTCAATTTGTTCCTTTTTCCATCTCCACAATTTTCCTACCTATTTGAGTTGATTATGTTTCCAAAAGCTACATGGATAAAACTTAGAACAAAGCAGCTATCCCACGTTATCCAATAATGATGTTCCACATAATTTCCTCTCAACCATCTTCTCTCTAAATCTACCACTCATTTTGATCAATAACAATTGCTAATATCATTGTGGTGATGCTATATGGAGAGATTCATTCATAACCATTTCAAGACTAATGATCACTAAGGCACTAAGTCTCCATTGTGTTAATTTGGATTAATCTTCCTCAAAGCCGTCTTTATGCTCTTTCATCTCTCTTCATTTGAATCAAGCATTTGATTCCTCATTTCATAGCTTTAACTACCAATTGGAGCTGACTGGATTCACCTTTCGGTTGTGTAAAGAACCAACTCCTTAAAAAACTTTAGAAAGGTTGTAACGTACACACTCAATCTTCTAACAAGCCCCCTCACATGTAGCCAGACTCCTTCTCATCATGAATGGGTCAAACACGTTCATCCATAATAGTTTTCAGGAAGGCAGTAATATTCAAGCCCAGGCTCTCCTCTGGTTTACTACCATGTTAACAACCAACTATTCTAAACACTTAAACTATTAGAATTTGTAACCTACAGATTTATATCCTTTGACAAGCCGTTTGACCGGATAGGTAAACTTATGGTTCATATGATGTAACATTTGCTTCTCTTTATAAAATAATTCATAAATGAGCCATTTTGATGTATAACTTTAGAGTAAATTTTTTAGATTAGATCATAACTATTTTAAGTCCTCAAACATCCATAGTCAAAGCTGATACTCCTAATCAAAGACATCAAAGATCACTACCACATGTTTCTTTCAATACGGCCATTAATTTCATAGGACAGAATAATATATTATTCACTGGCCCCATGTACCAAAATAGACAAGCTGATTTAAAGGAATATGTATTTCCCATTGGATGCAGTCTTTTAGATCTAACAAAGAAGATGGACATAAACAACAGCCAAAAATATTGTTGAGCTAGAAACACCATACACAAAGCATCTAATGCATACACGAGCAAGAAATTCTAAAACCATAGTTGCAAGAAGCAGATACCACATAATAATAATATATGTGATATTTGTACTGTACTACCTGTATTAGTACAAGAACAAGCTCCCCTGGGTAGCTGGAAACTATGGATCGAAATGTTGATGTTGCATTTGTTGCAATGAAGTATCTATTAAAAACCAACCAGAATACAATGGATAAGATGAATTGATGATCAGTGGAAACAAAATCTTCCTTTATCCGAATGATTTAATCATAGAACACAAACTCAAAAAAATTTACCACGTCAAGAGAGTTGCACTCATATTCTATTTTCAACTAAACAGATTAAGAAAAACACAATATTAAATCAATATATTTTCTAGAAAAAATTACTCGAACTACAACTTTAAGACAGCAAATAACCTGAACAACCCCTAGTACTTCAAAAGGGCACTTTTTACTTTAGATTCCAGAAACAGAAAGACAATCTTAATATTATTGATTAACATGAATTGGCACACAACCGGGGGGAGGGGGGGGGGGGGGGGGGGGGGGGTGTGGTGTGGTAGTAAAAAAGAAGAAGCAAGAAACAGAATGACATATCACATTAATTAATGGGTGGCAGGTATAGTCAGGGCAATACTAGGTCATAAAGAATTAAATGTGAACGTCTGTACACTGAGAGCAAGAAATAAAATTGAATCTGTTTTTAACCAGCACTACTATGAATTCCAAAGATATGCTAAATGGATCCAGTCAGTTGCAATTTACAATAAATAGTTCCACAAGACAAGAAAATTGTACGAGATCACGAGTGCATAAGCAATTAGCAATGCTGAAAGGCATCACAACTCATACCCGTTCTTTATGCCAGATTGATGGATGGAGTCTAGACAATGATTTACAAGCTGAAAAGGTGGGGAAAAAAATGATTTTAAAATTTACAATAGCCAATGAAGGAAAAAAATGTCATAAGGGAATCAAACTACCTTTTCATTTATCTCCAAGCCAAGAAAATTCAGATTTTTCTTTTTCCTTGCCATTCTGAAAACAAACAATCCATTTCCTGTCATTTACAATTCAAACTGTTAGGAAACAGCCAATAATTGTTGAAAGATTACAGAAAAGCTGTATCAAAGGAAATACCACTTCCAATATCAACTACCAGAGGTTGAGCCGGATCACTATAAAGAGCATTCCATTCAATCTCAAATGGATATGCCTGCACAAATCAATTGTTAAAAGGTAATCAAGTGCCAATTAGAGGAATATTAATATTTGACCAGCATCACTAAAAATAATATTATGCAGTGCTAGAAGTTTAAGCAGACTTAGCTCATTTATTCAAAAATTATATGATTTTTGGAGGGAGAAAAAAAAATCTCAGATAACATTACCAGCCTTCAGCAGACCCAGGTCCTTGCATGATTTCTCATAATAATATATCTCCAACTATAATGGTTCTCCCCCAAAAATTCATAATATGCAGATGTTTTCTGATTTAGATTGAATAACACCACTTTGTGGCTGGTAATGCCATCAATTTCCACACACATACAGCAAATATAAAGCAATTTCAATCTGTTAGGAAAGAAGCAACCCAGCAAAGGGATTGACCATACGAGTGAATTGATGCACTATTTATAACGACCTTGCACATTTCAATTCACTCATTATAACAAGCATGCACACTGCATCGAAATAACAACAAAGATACTGCCAAGTACAAATTATTAAATTACTTTTGGGGGTGTTTGGACAATTCAAAATTTTGAACCCATCCATTAAATAATGTAGCATTTGAATAATTAAATACACGATATAGAGACATCAAAATAGCGAATTGTTAAATATAGGACTGTTACCCAAGGCTCCATACGTCAGAGTGTGCTTTCAATCAAACCTAGAGGGGATTGAATAGGTCTTACGGATATTATATTGAAACAAACTTATTTTTTAAAATTATCATTAATCCATGTTTAAAATTCAGTTATTAGTTTGATTATATGTCTCAATTGCAATCACATAAACGCATAGACAATAAATAAACTAAAGCAGAAACATAATACTTTTTACGTGAAAAAACCCTAGAAAGGAAAAAACCATGGAACCTAGTCCAGGCATGTCAAAATCCACTATATGAGAAAGAGGTTACAACTAAGTTACCAAACTTATGCAAGATCAAACCTAGATCCTCCTACTGTTGCTCCATCAACAGACTAGCTCCTCAAACAATCTGCTTCTCCATTTATGCTTCTTCATGGACTTTTAATCTCCATGACTAGTGATGTCCGATCAACTTGTTCTTTATGAACCACCCAGTTGATACTATTTCTGGAAGTTTCAATTCAACTCCTTTGATTCAATCAATAGTGTATAGTATGGTAATCTATGTAGAACCCTAGACTGGTTTTCTGAACTTTCTCTCTTTAAAAATATAAGTTTTCTTAATAATATGTACAGAATTAAAAGCTCCTGTGAGAGATTCCCAAACTGACTATAACCACATATTTGTAGCCGACATACAAGACTTATGAGGTATAGGAAGTAGAATCCTATTAGAATTCTGATTTAAGAGAGTTTCCTAGATTATAGTTTGACTGATATACACTGCCATAGCTTTGATTGATCAAGCTATTAATCAAGGCTTACTGGATTTTGATAACATTTCCCTGCAAAATTCTCGATCTATTGACCATTCAATCGGTGCTCACTTTTCTGTAAATATCTTCAATTTAAAATCATTTTATAAAAAACCTTAATGTTGATAAACATGATTAAAGTCCTTTAAATATCATACCCAGTTAATGATTGGTCTCTATAGTCTCAACTTACCTTAATCTAGAAATGTGATTGATTCTTGAGAGACTCGCAGCTTGTTTTTTGCTGATCTTCATCTCCATCTTTATTGGTTGCAAACGCACGACTTATGACATTGATACACATTTCAACCCAAGTTTTGAGTAAGGAAATTGCCAAACACCTAGACTCATATTCCTAACATGACCATAAGTTCATAACAGCTTTCGAGGTCTTTTTATTGAAAATCTCAAATTCCATCAGGGAAAGTCATTGCTCAAATTTTGCAGAATCATTTGATTGCTATCTAAAACCCAATGGATTGAATACCCTCCATAAAAATAATGGATTTCATTAAATTTCTAGGTTTGGAAGGAAGAGAAAAAGAAAAATGATTTTTCCAGTAGACAAAATAAGATATCATTACACAATGCTATCAACGAGTAAAGGACCAATCATGAATTACAATAGTAGGATTTCTATCTAAATATGCAAAAACCTACAATTTTATTTCGAAATCAACTACCAGTAACTACACCCAGTGTATTACAAGTGACTGAATATTTTGCGCAAGTAGCTCCCAGTTCTACAAATTCTTGTAGACCTAAACTTGCAAATAGTTATCACCAGTACGAACAACTCGGATGGAAAATCCTCACCTTTTTGCCAAAACAAAGAAGTATCAATAATAAGCAAAATTCTGTATGGTATCTGCACATAGATGGATAAGTGCATTGACAGGATAGAGACTCCGCACGACAACAAAAGTAAAACATCCACTTTAAGGCAAATTTTCACTTGAGAACAGAAGGATTCAAGAACTTTCTTGCACCAATTTATGGACCAGAAAAATAGCCAGTATACACTGAATGATAGATCTCAATGTGAAATCTTCTAACTTTGACTTGACATCCTAACCACCTTGTCCATACACTTCTACAGAAATCATTTATAACCACATAAACACAGATCATATGGCAAAGATCATCAAAAACTGACTTTTCCTATTGGGAATCTCATTGATGGAATTCATATGGTGGACCAGAAAATCTTGATGTGTTATTAAAAGATAAGAGAATAGCATTACGCTTCTATAGTCCTGAATTGTGATTTCAGAAATCATATCATAATTTTTGTTGCAGCAACAGAAGCTGCTTAGAGATAAAGTTCAAAAATCATACTCTATCTAAGGCCATGAGCCCTGGAAGCTTTCTTCCTTTGAGAATCTCCCACAAGACCGAAGCATTCTCAACCATATTACAAATTGAGACAGATTTTGATTCCCTCAGAAGTGCCTTGCATGCCATATTCCCAGCAACAGTCACATCACAACCGCTTCGACTTAGTTTATCAAGCATTAGTGCCAATTTAGATGCTCCATCTGTATACTGATTGGATAAACTGAATTTCACGGGACCAATCCATATAATTTTCTGTAAGACATGGATATGACACATTTGTTAAAAGAAAAGGATGCAACAAAGAAAAGCCCAAAAAATAAAACTCTATTGTCACATAAATGCTGATGACGTAAGAATGGAACTGAAAAAATATGTATTTCAAGTTCTCTTCTTGGAAAAATCAACTAGAATGATTCTTGCTCAGAATCTAAAGAAGCAGAGAGTACTATTTGAACTCAGTTTACATGCCCAAATATGAGCAAACCCGGTATTCAGATGAAAGAGAAATTACAGTAGCAGTGCGAAACAGATAGGACAAATTGCCTGGCAGCATAAAGTTAATACCCATCTAACAGCTACCTGAATCCATCCTTATTGATTGTAATTTAAAGGAGCACACACATCATTGACTGTAGAAAGACAGCCACAAACAAATGGCTTCAATGCATTATATTCACCACAACTCTTGAATAATAAGGCAAAATCAACATTATTACTCTGAAATTTCAGATTGTTATTTATCGATCAAGTAGAGAGAAAATCGGTTAAGAAGTTAAGATGGTTTGGACATGTGCAAAGAAGACCTTTGAGCGCGTCGGTTAGGAAAAGTGACATAGTTCACATTGAGGGTAATACTAGGGGAAAAGAAAGACCAAAGTTAAACATGAGTATATCAAGCAGACCAAACTCATAATGCGTGGCTTCAAAAACTTTTGCATTGAATTATGGTTAAAACAATCTAATGATAAGAATTATGTGGAAGTAGAAAGATTCTAGCAACAAAGATTAAAAATGGAAGAGAAGGCACCAATGAGCCATTAGCCCCATGGTATAGCCTCTCTACCCTCAAAAGAGGAGGGGAGGGGTTTGAGCCCAGCGTGGGCAATGTGTGTGTGAGTACTTATCTAATAAAAAAAATTACAAAAAAAAGACTTGGAACATGTTGCACAAAAAGAGAGAAAAAAACATCAGTGAATACATTTAACTTATATTTCATGAAACATTTAACCCTCTCAAACTTTGAAATGTTGCATTATGAAATAAAACGACGGGATCTGGTCGCTAAGCGTATTATTACGCCTTAAGATACAAGTTATGAAACTCCATACCATACCTCACCTCACATTTAGAAAGCAAGGAGGAAATCTCATCCAATGACCCAGGCCCAAGATCAACAGGTAGCCAACCTAAAAGAAAGAAACTTTGATAAAGAGAAAAAATCAGAAAACATTTTATATTCAGAGTACGATAACAAACTAGAAAACCAAAAGGAGAGCAACTTGTATAACAGATTGAAGGAATTAATAGTAACAATCCTGATTCACCCATCAAAAATTCTATTTAATTAGTTTCAGTATTCTAGATACATAATACTCTTGACAGCTGATAAAAACAGTGATTAAGCTTTCTTAACAGTAATTGTTACTTTTCCCACTTGTTAAATAACAAGGACGGTGGTTTATATAAGTTAGACTAGTTTACACATAATCAAGTACGTAAATTATATCCAGAAAAAAGACTTGAGTATTACAACACAGGTAAAATACATTTTATAAGTGAAATATGTGACATGATAATCTGTTAATAAAATTTAAAAATATATTAAGGAACATAAAAGTGATAATACCAAGCACCACATTGGATTGTGGTAACAGGCTTTTGGATCACTCACTCACTAGCGTACCAGCTCTTAGATGATTGGTCCCACTTTGGTACTTTAGCTTTGATCAGTCATGAGACTTAAGCTGCTGAGGAAAATGCTTGGTGTAGAACTTAAGATGACTGACAAAAACAAGACTCTTCTTCTGGAGTCAAACACCCATGTAAATTTAAACAATTTTTACACAAGAAAACTAAGTAAAAATGGGAAAGAAGGTACTAGGAATAAACACATTTAAGAAAACCTGGGGTAGCCCATTTGGAAATAGATTAATAAAATACATGATCAACATAGTTTGAGGAAATAAATCATTAACATATGCAACAACAATATCATCAAAGAGATCAAATGCAAAAATATAAGATGAAATAAATTAGATTTTACAAGAAAAGAGAGTTTCTTGACCAATTAATTAGACACCCAACCAATCAGATTAAGAGATAATATGTGTATTTTAATGGTTTAATACAATGTTAAGTAATTGAATCCTAAAACCAAAGAAAAAGTTTCAGAAGAACCAACAATTGCTACAATATTTTACCCACTAGGAAAAAGAAAACAGTGTGCTATGTTCAAGGTTAAAATTTTCGGACCTCCCTATCACCTTACCATCCAAGATGCAATGCACAGGAAATATTTCCAATTGCTTCGAAAGGCGGCCATTCACGCACCAAAGATCTTTTGGATACAGAATTGGTATGCTTCTAAATTTCGCAAACTGGATTAGATTTTGAGCTTCTTCAAGCGCTCCATGTTCCACCAGTTTCACAGGAACTGGCAATCCTAAGGCATGCATTATCTGAAATGCCAACATTCCAACAAACACCAAACCATCACATCTAGAGGCTAAAAAATGCAAGGCAGTTGCTTTGTCCGAGAGATTACCCCCTCCAATCTGCATTCATTGACAGAGTTTTGGTGATAAGTGGCCAGCAGAATTAGTAAATGCCAAGATTTATTCAAGGTGCATGATACATATTTAACAAAGTTATCTTGTAAATAGAAATATGGCATACAATGGCAATAAATGGTCTTTTGTTTGTTCTGATGACCTTCTTCAGTTGGTATAGGCCCTCCTCGTAGTGAAAACCAGCAACACAAGCACAGCAAAAGCGAGTAACACCAACAGTTGATGCAAGAATTTTGTGAGATTGAGAAAATGCATCATTAACGAATATATCTACCCCTGATGATAACTGTTCAGCAAACTTTGAACAGTTGGCAAATTCCTCTTTGAACTGAGAAAGATTCTCAAGAAGAAGGATATTATATTTCTCTACATCTTCCATCTTAGACTGAACCTGACCAGAAACAAATGTTGCTGGTACAACTTTAAGTTGGAGCACTGATGACAGGAATTCTGAAACGTTAAGACTGTCAGCATTAAAAGGCACTCCTCAAATGTAGAAAACAGCTTATAATTTTCATGCAGAGATCAGATGAGTCCACTTGCTTCCATTATTTTTAATTCTTTTCGTTTTCTTGATGTTATATGCACAGGAAGAACATTCATATTTTCTGACAGAAATCTTTAAACTGCTAAATATAATCCATCCAGTGTAAATTTCTTAAATTACTCAATAACCCTTTCCATGAACCACCACGTCAGATAAAATGTAAGTAAGTAATTAATTTGAAAGAATTATCATGAACTAACAGATTAGAAGAAAGAACAGTACTACATTATATACCTGCAATAGACTCCACTTCAAAAAGCCTTGAATTGATTTTCATATTCCAGTCACCTACTAGAATTATTTTAGCCCCAGCATCGTATATGTACCATATTGTGGAAAGTGCATTGGTGAATGAAAGAGACTGCTGATCCAGCTTCTCTCGAAGTAGAATGCTAGAATCAAATCTGACCATGACTACTTTTTTGAGAAGCTCCTCCTTGGGAAACTTTGCAAGAGTTTGTACATGTGGAAAGGCATTCAATTCTGCTCCATCACAAACTTTTGCCTAAAAGGAAAACAGGATTTAGATGAAGATAAGAACAATACCCATGTTGCAGCCGACATATAACTAGAATGTATTTTAGGGAAGTCATTTGATCGTGAAGGACTAAGGTATTCAAGCTAACAGCCTGTGGCAACATAAAACATTTGTACTTAGTGACCTAACATTTTTTGGAGCATTAAACCTGGAATTGATGCTAGAATTGCAACGCATGAATTTTGAATTAACAGAAGAACACGGGTTCATATATACTTTTCTTGAAAATTACGAACCTATCTAACCTTTTACACTGGCATTATTTTTTTCTTATTTAGTGAAGACTTGAGATTTTATTAAGAGCCAAGTTGAGAAGCCACCTTAGTGGGGTCTGGCCATCATCAACTTGTGGGGCCTTTCATGCAGTGTCATAATTTCAATTTATTGCTGATTTAACACAAGTTTATGAGTCAGGAAATTTAAGTTCTAGTCGGAGTATTCTTATCTAGGTGTCTTGTTTTTAAAGACGTGAGTTTTTAAGCAAGTCCTGTGACCTCTAAAGAACTGTTTAATCTTTTTTCCTTTTGCTGGATAATTAATTCCTTAGATTAGATTAAAATATAGAGGTGAAATTGCACTAAGGAAGATGAAATCAGGAAGGGCTTTTGGCTCAGATTTCATTCCTATCGAGGTTCGGAAGTGTAAGGGAGGATGGTTGTCTTGGCTAACAAAATTGTTTTAGAAGATAACAACTACTAAGAGAATGTCTAATAAATGGCGCAAAAAGTAATTTAATACCTACATACAAAAACAAAGGGGGCATGCAAAGTTGTAATAATTATCATGGTATTAAATTAATGAGTAATACTAGGAACCTTTAGAAGAGAAAGACTGATCAATGACTAAGACGGAAAACAGAAGTATCAGAGAATCAATTTAGATTCCTGCAGTGAGGTCAACGATGGAGGTTGTCTACTTATTAAGGAGACAAATGAAAAGATTTAGAGAACGAGTCAGTGCCAAGTAGGAGGTTTGGAGGGAATTTCCAGAATTAATAGGGTTTGAGATAAGTAGAAATAGAATTGAATATATGAAGTTTAACTTTAGTAAATCTAGAAATACAAATGGGGATGTAGATAAGATTAAGGACCAAGAGGTACAAAAAAATGTATATTTTCGTTACTTAGGCTGAATCATCCATAATTAAGGAGAAATTGGAAATTATGTTAATCATGAAATCAAGGCAGGATAGGTTAAATGGAAGAATGCATCTAGTATATTGTATGATCAGTGTATCTCTATAAAATTGAAAGAGAAATTCTATAGAACAACTATTAGACGAATCGTACTCTATGAGATGAAAAGAAAGAAATGATAGGGTCAGAAATGAACATATCTATGAGACGATTGAAGTAGCACCAGTTGGAGATTAAATGAGATAAATTTGATTATGATGGTCTAGACATGGGCAAAAGAGATTAAGTATGCCAGTTAGGAGGAATGACATGTTCCACATTGAGGGTAACGCTAGGAGAAGGGTAAAACCAAAGTTAATGTAGGTAGAGTTAGTAAGGAAGAATATGACAACATGTGGTATGACTAAGGCTACGGCCTTAGATAAAGCCGAATGGAAGAATAGATTCATTTAGCCGACCAAAAGTAGTTGGGAAAAAAAATTTGTTGTTGTTGTAAAAACAAGAGGAACTTGAATTGAAAAGAATTGAGTTTGCTGGGCTTAAAAACAATATAAAAATTAAGTCCTTTTTTCTATTGTCAAGGAGCAAACATTGTGGATGGATCATATTTTGTCTTGTTCGAAGTGTTGATGCATTATTATTAAGTTGTTCAGTCCATTTTTTGTTTCTCACTTTTTTTCTTTGCTCTTCTTTCCTTTTTTTCCCCTTGCATCTATTTGGGTCTTCTCCACTTTCTTGATGCTTTCTAAAATATAGTTTCATTTATCACCAAAAAGAAAAGAAAAAAAGGGCCCTGGAAGCTGAATCTATTACAACTTAGGCTTGTAAATATGGTTTCACTTTTCATGGGTTCATCTAGCAAAACATTCTTCAAGCACTAGATGGACACGATTGAAAATCACAAAAGGTACTATGAAATCCGATTACCTCATATGGAATTGAACATCTCTCAGCGTGATCTACTACCCCACAAGGGCCACAACTACCTGCATTGAAGTCAATTTGAAAATCTAACAAAAAGGTCATAGGGGAATTGGAGAAAAAGTATTAAGAGAATATTCATTCAGTTCTGAAAATTAACCTTGCAACGGATATTGATTTCCTTGAAATTTCTGAAATGCATCATAACTTCCACTACATAAACATGATTTATGTTGAAGCAATTTCAGTGATTTATTGGGACAATTGTATAAACTCAGACTGCTGATGGAGAGAGTTCCATGAAGTAGATTCAGAAGTTGACTCATCTCTTATAGGAACTATATGCAGCACCAACGGTTGATAGATGATCATGAACACACAAAAAATAAGTAAATAAACAAGGAGGAAATGTAACAAATCTATCATGTTAGGCCATTAGCAACGTGGTGAATTGAATGTTGATTTATTACAGAAAGTTGATGATTTGAATGAGTATGACAATCATGGATGGTCCTTTAGCACCAAAATGACAAAGGACTGTCCCCACATTCAACGAAATCTACAAGGCAAATCAATTACAAAAATAAAATTTTAAAAACTGAATGAATAATCTAGTCTCAGACTAGATGGTATAAGCATATGCTTCTATTTTTCCTTTTCATCGACAGACAATGTACCCATTCTCAAATTGTTCCAAACATCTAATGGAGAAATAGAAGGGTTTCTTATCTCCCCCAAGCACTGGTTTTAGCATCTGCCAACTCAAGGCCAAAAAGTATTTTTACAATTAAAAGGGACAAAAATTCTATGCCTGAATCACTACAAACCCCATCTGCAAGGACATAATGCCCTTCCGTTTTGGGGCCGCCAAGAATCATTACTTCTACATATAATATTATTTCTTCTAAAATATACATATTACAGCACATTGCTCATCATTGTTTTGACATTAAAAGTTTGTGACTGATTAATACTACAGATTGAATTAAAAACAAGGCACTTAATACTAAACTAGTACCAAATCACAGATGTGGCACTTGTAGTAACCAAAATCTCCTTTATCAAAGTTCATCAAACAAACAAGTATAATTCATTACTAGGTGAACCCATGCATTACCTTGGTACTAAAAGTACAAAAGCCTTTCAATTGCCAAAACTAATACAAAACTTCATAAGGATAAAAAAATGTTAAATTGATGACTTGAAGCTCAGTGAGCGACCCATGTATTTTAACATACATAAACATAGATACGAAACTATACCCAACCATTTAAAGCCAGAAGAAACCCAACAGTTTGCAAAAATTGCTCTATGAGATACTTTTCCAAGTAAAAGATTAAAAATTCTTATAATTTCTTTTTTATATATAAGTATAAATTTTAGCATTTAAATTATCAACAATTTCCAATCTAAAAATATTCTGTTTGGTTGCCAAGAAACTCGTAAGAAAACAAAATAAGATAAGAAAATCTGGTTTTCTTTTTCCTTTTGGTTCTGGTTTATCAATTGGCTGAAAGAAATATTATCTTGCCTACCTTCGCTGGATATCTGAAATAATGGATAGAACTGGATGAAATGCCTAGAACTACTAAACAAATTAAGCCATTTTTAATCTCTCTCTCTTTTCTTTGTTGGTCTTCGCTCAAAAACTGAACAGAACACAAAATCAAGATTAATTTTAGTTTCTTTCCAGGTTATTCTCGACAATCAAACAGTCTGGACAGAGGTAATACAATGGGTGAGTAAGTGTGTGTAGGAGAGAGAGATACCTTCGAGCCTCAGAAGAACTAGATGACGGATGGGTGAAGCGTCAAATTTGAAGCCTTTTGAACTATGATATGGTTATATAAATATATATGTATATCAGTGTAACCTCCTCACTCTACTTCTTGGGCGGCGGTGAGTTTCTTGATATTATATATCTTTATCCGGTATAACCAAAAATTTGTACCGCATCAAATTGTAATGGTTAATTTTGACCTCTTTTTTTTATATGAAAACTTCAAATCACCTTTAATAAAATTTGTGGTGTTTTTAATTTTTTAAATTTTATTTTAAGGACATTTTATTTTAGTTATTTCAAATTTAATACAGAGAAAATGTCCTTATTTATTCAATTTAAAATATGTAAGGAAATTTTTTGAACAAGGCCTTTTTGCAGATTCTGTATATAAAGATTTTTTTTTTTTTTTAACTTTACCCTATAAATTATAATTTGTACCAACCTTTTTTTATTTAGATTGAAGTATTTAAATAAATACCTCTCAGTCAACCAAGAAAATTTTTTTTCGATAATTATTAGGTGTATCTAATATGAGAAACTTATCTATAATTATGATCTATTCTCTCACCTACATCCTCTGAGAAAAAATATATTTAGACAAATAAATTTTTAATTGAACATTTTTTTTTTTTAAGTGTAGTTGAGCTGTCCAACTAGATTTTTCCCTTTGTTTTTACTCGGCCTAGATTTTGCCTGTGTTTTTTTCACTTGCTTGAACCCTGGATGCCTCGATCTCCCCAAAGTATCACTAAAGCCTTAGGCTTTAGTTTGGTTAGACAGAAATAGCAAGAGTAATGGCCTAGTGGAAGAATGTGCGCGTGCCAACTAAAAGAATAAAAAAATTAAAATTTTCTGAATATTTTAGAAGTTTGGTTAGCAGAAAAAAAAAGTAAATTTTTAGAAAAATTACTTTCCATAACCACCTAATTTTTCTACAAATTTTTCTTCCAAAAAACCCAAGAAAATTTTAATTTCTTGAGAAAATTTTAATTTCTTGAGAAAATTTTGTAAACTTACAATATTGGATTGCCATTTCTTTTATAGTAAGTTACATGCTATTCAAATCATAAAGTAGTGATTTTACATAATTTTGTTTCACTTCTCTTCACTTTCTTTTACTTTCCACCTTGCAAGAAATATATTTTCTTTATTTCCTTCCATCCTATTGTGGATAGAAGTTATGGATGGATTGTAAGGCTACTAATATTTCGATCGACGTTCAGATTTATGAGTTTGAATTTCATTTTGACTTTGAACCAAAAAAATAAACTACAAACCACTCTTTAATTTAGTTATTAGGTTAAATTGCAAGAACCACCTTCAACTATTAGAATTTTTGCAGCAAATCTCATTAATTATACTTGGCAAATAATCCCAAATTTATGCAAAACAAATTAAAAAAAATCAAATAGCCCAATTGTCTTAACATACTAGGTAAAAGTAGTATAACTAAAATTGTTTGTAATAGTTTTACCGTGATTTTGCTACTTTGACCATCATCTCTTTTACATGATGCGTTGGCCATTTTGTTAATTCTTTTCAGTTTGACTAATCCTACTTTTTGCACACTTTCACAAGAGACTCTGTCGGTCAGGGTCTATGTTAGGATTTTTAAATGAAAAAGAGGAACAAAAACCACAACAGCAAGCAACCACTATAACACTGACATTTTAGAAGCGTGGAGAATTATTTATTCCTCAGTCTTACTCTGTCCATCTTCATGGTTGAACCAAAAAAACAAGTCTTTTCAATGTCAAAATGAGGTACAACCATATGGTCCATATCTGATCAATGTCATGTGAATGTTTAAGGCGTTACTGAAACATCTGCATGCACACATTCAACAACCATGGCAAGATTAACACTCACTACCAATCACTATAAACCAGAACTAGCTTCACTCAGATTTTTAACAGATTTACCTGTCATAGTGCCAAAGGATTTTTCTGAGGCAATTCTTGTCATAGTGCACAGAATCTTCTGGTCTTTTGAATTTGAGAAAAAAACCTAGTCTCCATCTAGACAATAGTGCAACAAATAGGAGGTTCAAGAAAATATTCTTCAGGCCCTTTTCAATGTTACAAAGCTGTGTCCTGTTTTCCACCAAACAGGTGACACCACCAATACGTAATAAACATGATCCTAAACAAAAACCACCTAAAGTTTATATCATCAGCAAGAAATAGATAGTAAAATGAGTTAAAAATTGCTAGTAGTTAATGTTATTCCTTCTCTCGCTACTACACAAGCTTCTGTCACTAAAAGATCTTCCATGTTCAGTTAAATTAAACAGTAACGCAGAGATAAAAGAGAGAAACAAGTAGGCAAAGGAATACATTATTGTAGTTGCTGACTTCAACTGCACACTCTCATCTGCAGCAGCTAACATCCTCTTTGACATATCAATTCTAATGCATAAATTTTCCTGCTTTAAATGAAGTTTCACAATTAGATAATGATCCCTATATTTAAATTTTGGAGGCAGAACTCTAATCACGGTGAAGCCATCAGAAATACTATTGCACCGCCTACATTAAGTATAGATGCATCTCTCAAACAATTTTGTATCATAAACCCTGCAATAATGTGTGCCACCATATTGCAGATTGATGCATCCATTCCGGAATCAAAGTGGGGATTAAACCTCATAGGACCAGGAAGCTTCTGATTAAACTAAACCACACCAAGGGTCTTTATCAGGTTGAATTGATCCAGATCCACGGCTATCACCTCCTTCAGATCCCATCAAAAGGCAAACAGTTACTCCAAAAAAAAAAGACACAACTGGCATGAAATGGTATATCCAGGAAAATGCTGGAATAGTATATCCCCGGGGTGCTCTTCTTAACATATCACTTACAGACTCGAAAAAGGATAGGATTTTTGCTTTAATGGAAGCTCTTGACTCTGCAAATTTAGAGATAAATATATCAACTCTGTGTTTCCTACAATTGCCTCCAAAATTTCACCACACTGGCTTCGTGTGAGAACAACTTCCACATTCAACTTTAAGATATATCCCTAAAGGCTTTCCAGCCAACTCTTGAAATCAGTACAGGACGATGGCAGGAGGTAAGAAGAATCCAACGCTGTCCAAATTTGAAGTGCAAACCCCCATAGCAGCCTTCCTCACCACCCAAATTGGACAAGCTACAATGAAAATATTAACAAATATAACTGCCAATATGGGGGCACTTAACCAAAAGCATACAAAAGAGAGAACCTAGAAGTGTATCCTAATTTTGATTAACTAGCCCAGATGTTTTGATCAAGTGATAAAGATTATGGACCAGTAAAAGGATTGGTTCAGCATTAAATAAATCTAATGGCTAGTAATAGCGTTTGTGTGTTGAGAGAGAGAAAGAGAGATTATGTTTCACAACCGAATATACATGTCATTCTTCAGTATCAAGGGTGTTGGAAAGAATGGACTGATATCCAATGCAATTTCCATCAGTAGCGTAGCTAGTGACTTTATGTAAGTTTGAGAGACTGGGTTCTCAACAATTAAATAAATTAAGTGGTTCAATTAATAATGATGATGATAACATCGTCATGATGTTGGTGAAAATTAATATAATCAAACGGTGAAAACAGATCATGCTATGCCTAGAATTGCTGATACTGGTCATCAGGTTGGGGTAATCCTGGAGAAAAAGCAAGACCGGTAAAGGAAAATTGTCAAAGACGACTGAAGTGATTGCCTTTTCATCAAATGTTACACGACATGATCAACATTGATTATGTAACCATATTCTCTTCCTTTAGTGGATAACAAACATCATCAAATTGAAAGAAGAGAGCAAAGAAAGTAAATTAACAAGAAAAGCAGAAATAAAATTGAACTAGACATAACAAACCAATAAATAATAAAGTACCTTCTAAAGTCTAGACAGACAAAAAAAAAAAAAAAAAACTTACAACAAACTGAATCCCTTTCTGTTTGGCATGTATATCCACTAAAGTCTAAGCAGAAGTGTATCCTAATTTTGATTAACCAGCCAAAAGTTAAGTTCATAATTTCTAAATATACCACAATACCTAGACATATACCAGGACATAGTGTCAACTTTTGGCATATTCCGTAAACAGAATTCATTACGGTAATCAGAATTGTTGAAATTAGATCATAGTACTAAGTCACATATTTGGTCATTCAATATTGAAGAGTTGTCATTTAAGATTGAAGATGGACTGCAAATTACTTCAAACAACAGATCCTGCACCTTAGATAAAGGTAAGTGATCAAGAGGACGAGGGTCTAGGTGGCTATGGCTAGAGTAGTTGGACCTTTGCATAACTTAGTTGACCCCATTTAATGGAATTGAATGAATAAAATATGTTTCGGTGAGTACCTAATCTATCGATTGATTTAGAAAATCAATCAATCAATCAAACTTCTCTGAGAATAAATTGCCGTGACCAATAGCTACACAACAAATCAAAAACATACTTACCAAATAAAAACAACTTATCAAAATGAAAGTTCGACTCAAAGAACTTTCTAGAAAATTAAGGATCGAGCTAAAATTGTGGAAGGATGGACCGAAAATTTTCAGTAACTTGTGGTCTTATAGAACTAGATTTATGAACGGACCAAATTTAGCCCGGAACAATTTTAACATGTTTCTTATTACAAAACAAAGTCCCTTATCACCAAACTTGTCTAAAGCCTTCTAAAAACATATAGAATTCAGGCCACATTTGATGCACAACAATAGAGACACCTTAGACATACTTGAGAGTTTGTCCTTGATAGACAAATGATGAAAGCTCGAGCTCAAGCATTAGCCATTAGGATGTGCGTTTGAGTACAATAGCAATCACTATGTCCAAAATAATATCAAATGTCAGGTTTGTATCCAATCTTCCCCTCCCAGACAAAGATATACACTAGGTAATGCCCTTTAGATCAAGATTATGTGCATCAAATTGTTCATAGAGATTTTCAGCTTCTTGCTTCACAATAAAACTGTGAGCTACGTTCTACTTCTCATATTGATCTACTATAGCACGGATCATTTGCTCATGTGACAAGTGCAAGGTGACTGGTGAGAAATGGATTGTTGATTGTGAAAAGAACTCTCTGTTTATAATGTATTCCTAGCTAGCGCTCATCTACATCTGCCTCATAGTTGTGCACCATATGTCAAATAAGTAATATTATGACAGTAAAATAAATACTTAGACCTTCTAGTATCAAGCTATGTTACATGGACTCCTAAAAAGCACGTGAAGTACTTGTAACAGACACACAATACTTGGACATGGGTATGGGATGTGTGTTAAGACACTTTTGCTTGGACATGCACCTAAATCACATCCAATAATTCAAATTTGTTGCTTCAAACCGAGTGACATACTCACCTATTAGACACTATGTTACATAAAGACAAAAACGTTAATTTACTCTAGAAAAAAAAATAATTAAATAATATGAATATTTAGCACTGTCCATGTTTCCTTTATTTGGGAATTCGACACATTCAACGTGTGAATACATACCCATAACAGACACACGTACCAAAGTCCAAGTAACATAGCTATCGAGAACCCAATAATTGAATGAAAATGGGAAAGGCAAATAAAAACATAAAATAGATTTTCCAACCAAGCCCCAAGTAAAAATTGAATTCATACTTTATGATGTGTTTGCTCATTCCTTGATCATAGCGCCCTTAATGTAATTGACTAAGGTCAACTAGAATTTACTTTAGGTCTTGCAGAGTAAACTAAATTTGGTGGTCAATCTTTGGTACTACAGGCTTTGGTGTGGATTGGTCACAATCAATTATAATATGTTATCGTATTTTATGAGAATTTTGGAGCTCATCAATTGTTCAATCTTCAGTCAATGCTCTAATAATTAATATCTGATAACTTAAGTAGTCTAGTAACTGATAATTTTCATGTTACCCAGTATCATTTGGCCCACACTGGGAGGAGAAGATCAGGGACGGAGCCAGAAAATTTTGTGTGTGTGTTGTTGGGGGGTGGGGGTTGAAAAGTCACATTGTACATTATAGTATATGCATATAAATAAGTGTTTATGAGGTATTTATATAGAGAGGGATGGGTGGATACATAAAGAGATTGACAATTTTGGGAAACATATATAGTACGTGGGTGGGGGTGGGGGTGGGGGGATTTTACACCTTTCCAAAAAATATATACATATCATAGGAAAATTTTATATAGAAAATAAGGGAGGGAGAAAATTCAAGAGGAGGGGGGGGTAATGTGCCCCCCGGGCCTATACTCCCTCCGTCCCTGGAGAAGACTACAGACATTACAACAATTGACACTATTTACTACAAAATAACTGCTCTCAAACTTCAACAGCATCTTCACATTAGTCCCTATAGTGAATTGCCTATCCCACCTACATTTAATTTAAAGAACAATAGTAATTTTTATTCTTTCAGCCTTAGAGTTGAGTTAGTAGGGCATGATTATCTACATTTTCTGAAAAGTTTTTATTATGTTAGAAACCAATTGTGTAGGAATTTTTTTTATAAAAAAATAAAAAATAAAACTTTTTAAGAGTATTTAATAATTAATAATTAAATAATGAATAAATCTATGCAAATATTATTTACTATTAGCTTTTTTGATAAGTAAGATACTGATTATTGAAGAAATGAACTTTACATATTTAATCTAGGTCTGTCTAATTTACATGCTATTGCCAGATATTTAGTAGTTCATGCTCAGAATTAAATGCCTGCTTCTATGTTAATGTTTGTGGCGCCGTTAAAAAAGTTTGTAAGAAGTAGTTTCTCATAACTGGGGTACTTAACTATATTCCTTGAAAAAATAGTTAAACAATTCACCATGCATTCTATAATTTATTTAGACTACTATTTTAACTAACATTGTAGGATATCAATCATATCATGCATTGATCCTTAAAAAAGTTGCAAATAGTTAATTGGTTAAAAGAATTGTCTGCGGAATAAAGCCATAAAGAGGTTCAATAAGCTTAACATACCTTCAAAAATTGTTCAAACTGAAGTGACTCCTAGCTAGATTCTCATAACAAACACTGCATTACAACAGTATGCCCTTGACTTTTGATTGCTCAAGGAACATACTTTTAACAATCTCCATCAAGCAATCCATGCGATAGATTAATTTATAACTGAGTGAGCTCCTGTGGATTTTCCATAGATTGTCTGAGAATCAACTCAGCTCTCCGTTTCTTGTCATCCCTTTCGTCTTCCCGCCCAATCAAAGACCCTGTTTTCCCAAAACCCTTTTTCTGGAGGCTCAAATCTAGAGGTTCACCTAATATTTTCTTACCAGTCTTGAAGTTGAAATGAACAGCAGGTCTCTTGTCAGGAAGAACCTTTTTATAACCATCTCCGCAATCAGAAAGCGCCCCCTTCGCCGCTTCAATAGCAGGAGCAAACGTCTCTAAAACAGAAACATGGTTTTCCACAATGGGTTCATCAGAAAGTCTAGCTGGCAGAGCAACATGAGAAACATCTCTCTCTCCAGCACCCAAAGGTGTACCGAGAAAAGGGTTTTCAGTTTCAGCAACTTGTAATGCATTCACATCATTACCCGCCTCTGCTGAAGTGGAAGCTACTGCTGAACCATTGCGCACCATTCGCTGCTGCAAACTCAACAAGGATCTCTCAGCCTTCCTCCGCTGCCTTGCTAGCTCAATTTTGTCTGCACGAGGATCCGACGCCCTCTCATTCCACATGGGCGAGTGTATGTAAGTGTGCTGATCAGGAAACGCCGGTAGCCAAGCCGGAATGTGCTTGAAAGCTGGAGTCTCACCCATTTGCACAAAACTTGGTGTCATCTTCCGATCTCTAATCACCGGAAATTGGGGCACAGGCTGAGCAAATGGAATCTCCTCAGCTGATTCCACATAGTCAATGATCTCCCTCACAGTGCCCGAATCCGCGAGACAATGAGTAGCCTCAGATGCACCCGAAAATCCCATTGACGTACTCAAATCCTCTAACCCTTGTATAATATCAAACACGCTACAGTCAGTCCTACCAGCTAAATTAGCATTAAAACTTGCTGTCTTTCCTAAGTCACGGAGGTATCGGATGGCAATGTCGGCAAGAGCCTCAAGAGCTGACTCATTGATACTTTCGAAGCCAACGCTCCGGCATATCTGTGCCACAGCAATCTTCGACACTGCTCGGCCAAAATCATCAGCACCGGCACGCTTCGATGCTTCATTCCCATTCTCTTTCTCTCTCTTACTCTCCAATTTACCTCCATCGCTCATATTCAAACCGACGTATCATTTAGGGTTTTGTGCAAAAAAAACCCTACTGTACACCTTATAAATCTTCTTACTCATAACAAAAATACACAAAACTCAATCCATATTAGCAACTTATAACTCATCGTACTGTTTATGTAAACCCTAGAATTCTGTCGCATTTAGACAACACAATCAACGGTTAGCGTGCATAAAAATTGGAACACTTACCGGTGATTTGAAGCGCTTTGGAATGAAGCTCACGGCCTTTATTGAACAGAAGATAATGAATTGAGAGAATTAAACGGTGGATAAACCCTAGAGAGTGTGAAAAAAGATGGGTTTCGGGAATTGTGGAGTGCGTTACCACAGAGTGGTTCGGTCAACAATTTAGGGTTTATGAATTTTAATAATGAAAACAAGTAACAAAATAAAAGTGGAGATCTAGTACGAAGACGAGCAACAACATAAGAGTGGAGATCTAGTACGAGGCGAGAGAGAGAAGAGATGTCGAAGCGAGCTGGGATGGTTTATTTATAGACCTCAAATAAAATATTTTTGTCAAATTGCATAAAGCACCCTACTTTCAATTTATGGCAAGAAAAACCCGATGAAAAAATTTGTCATAAAACCTCCCTAAGAAAAAAGTTATCATCAATTCGTTGCAAAGTATTATTATTATAACGAAAATACCTTTAATATAAATTTTTTTTAAAATCATTTTTGAAATTTTATTCCTTTTAAATTTTTTTAAAATAGAACTTTAAGAAAAAAATTAAAAATACACACCACTAAAATGAAGTTATGATATGAAAATATCCCTTGATATAAACTGTTAAAAATAAAATTAAATTAACACCACTATTTCGAATGAGTTATTTGTATTAATTTTAATTTTATAAATAAGATAAAACAATTTTTAAAATTTATATTAAGAGACATTCTCGTTATAATAATATCACTTTGAAACAAAATTAATAATTAAGAAGGACGAATAAAAAGTATAAATAAGACTACGCGCCAACTTTTGGGAGTATACGGTAAGGTGTGAGGATTGTGAGGAATCAAAATCCTCTCGACCAACACGAATTTTCCTCTGTTTTTTATTTTTTACTTTCCACTAATAAATTTTAACACCATAATGCTGAAATTTTATCAATTTAAATTCAATAATATAAGCCGTGAAATTTACCATTTAATCAGGGGCTGAACCAAGATCTTGAGGTGGGGGGCTAAAATTATAAGCAATATTACCTAGCCATAACTTTTGAAATAAAAAATAAATACATTACGTAGGCAAAAATATTTTACTATTCATTATATTCATATAAAAATATATCTATGTAAACTTTTGTCAATTTATTTAAATAAAAAAAAAAAAAAACAAGTTATTTAAAAAAACTTTTTATCAAACTTTCTGAACAAATACAAATAAGATTTATGCCAAAAAAAAAAAAAAAAACTTTCAATTAAACAATTAGATTTTAATTTTTTTTAAAAAATAAGAAATTCATGTAATACTTGCACAAATTAATAATCATTACACAATATATCAACAAAAAACAAACAACAATAAAACAAATTTGACTAACTTAAATAAAAGAATATTGGCAAGTAAAAGGGGAAAAAAAAAAAAAAAAAGTGATAAATAAACATTGTTACTTTCTTATAAACTTATTTGATATTCAAAACAAAATTATACTACAATATTAATATTTAAAATTGCAGTTATTAGATCTAGGAAGAATGCTATGTATTTTTATGAAATTAAAAATCAATACAACAATATACCAAGTAAAATTTTGAGAAATTCAACTTTTTTAGAGATTAAAAAAATCATAACTAATTAGTCTAGTCCACTCCAAATAAATAAATAAAAAAACAAACAAATAAACAAACCGATAGACACACACACCCACACAAAAATACATATATACATACAAAATTTATATAGAGATATGAAGAAAAAAAAAACTTTGAGATTAACCTGAGTTACAACGTGCATAAAAATTATCTACATCAGTGAGAAATAAAGTGATTCCGTAGGTCAAATCAATACATGTGTGCAATGAAATAAGGGATTATTTATTTATTTTAACAGAAATTTACATTGAAATAAGGGATTGTAAAGATATAATATTTCTTTGTGTGTGAAACTTGTCTGTTTACACTCTCTTTCTCCATGAAAAAAATGACAAACTAATTCAAGTGGGAACAAGACAAAACAAAAATGTTTAAAGTGTGGATGAAAAGCATTAAATGGCAGTGTAAAAATAGGTAATTTAAAACCAAAATATAAAATGCCTTTCAAAACAAAAACTCTCAAAAAATAACTTTCTTTACTTACCGAAAAGAAATTAAAAAAAAATAACTTAAAAAAAAGTAACAATTGAAAATTTAACAAAACAATAACTATGATAAAAAAAATTAATGAAATGAAATTTTTGTTCTAGATTTTGTAAAAATTAATTTATTATACAATTCTTATAAAAACATTCCAATAAAAATAAAAATAAAAAGTGATAGGATAATAAGGTTATGAAAATAATCGCGATCGAGTTGGAAGGATTTTAAGATAATCACATTATGAAAATAACTATATTTGAGTTGAAATTTTAAGATAGCTATATTAAACTTTTATGTGAGTCGGAGTTCTATAGTTTTCAATTAAATCAGTTTCCATAAAGAAAGAAGTAAGTTTTATTTTTTATTTTTTGGGGGTGGGGGGGTGTATAACCTCTAACCCTCCTTGTCAAGTAAAATAATAATAATAATAATGTGACACTTTAACGTTTAATTGGATAACCTAAGATATCAAGTTTCGACAGTTGCGCATTAAGGACATGTTTGATATAGTGGAAAAGAAAAGAAAGGATAACATAAGTCAGGATGGTAAAGAAAAGAAAGGAAATGAGATGATAGTGTTAGTTACTTGTTGTGTTTGGTTGATTAATAAAATAAAAAAAAGGGAATGAAATGATAGTAATCATGTTTGGAAAAGAAAGGAAAGGAAACTAATGTAATGAATTTACAATCATGCCCTTTTTATATAAATTTTCTCTTATAGATATAAGGGCAAATTTGATATTAACAAAATTTCATTAAAAATATTAGCTTTCCTTTCATTTTTGAGAGGATAACAAAAGTTACTGTTTATATTTTAATCTTTCCTTCCAAACTCCTTCATTCCCTCCCCTTTCAATCTAAATTTTTATACCAAATACAACTTTTAATTTTCTTCCATTTCCTTTATTTTCTTTTCCCCCATTTCCATTTTACCAAGAGCCTGGGAGTAGTCCATTTGGAGATGGTTATCAATGTCAATATAAGTGTTATTTTATGGGCTAACTTTTTACAAGGGCCATGAAGAGATTCTTTCTTACATTGTAAGGAGACAAGTATTACTCATTGACTTTTGGGTTTGATTTTTATTTGTTTTTTATTATTTTATTTTAAATATAATATTAACTAGCCATGAAAGCCACGTTGCTCGCTTCACGAGTAAAACAATATTTAGATTTGATAACGGTTCTTCTTTTAAGGTTGCTGTAAAACAAATTTTTTATTTTTATATTTTCCATAATGTTAGTCACGAAAATCAAATATTTCTACTGAGGGCTTTAACCCCACATGGTATATCATTAGTTGAATAGTGAACATGTTTTCCCTAAAAAGTAGGCCGTATTAGACCCGAAATAAAGCTTGATTGGAAGCCCAATAGGGCCTCATATGGCCTGGTTGATTGACTGGACAACAGCCCAATAGGCCAGGATATCGGTACCTGGGCTTGAAATACATAGGCAATAGGCCTAACTGTCCTAGCCCACTGTGGACATGGATTGACGCGCTTACCGTGTGAACTAGAAGACGCTGTATACCTTATCAGGGAAATTTTGAAGAGAGAGAGAGAGAGGAAATGGAGAAATTCTTCGGGAATGCGTACAGAGGCGACCCGGGCGTTCCCCACACAGACCCGGATCGATTCGTGAACATATGGATAGGATCGTTCGCCTTCTCTGCCCTCACTTTTGTCAATCCCTACATGTGGCAACTTTCCAATCAATTCAAGTACTTTCTTCTCTCACTACAGAGTACAGACGCACACTGACACACAAATCTGTATTTATGTATGATGTTATTAGTTTTAGTATACTCTCGTCATTAACTTTACTAAATTTGTTTTGGGTCTATTTTTCCGAAACAATTTCAAGTATATGTAACTTCTATTTTTGTTTTCTCTGATTGTATATTAGTGGCCGGTGTTTATTTGTCGTGTAAATGAGTGGTTGTTCAATGAGGCGGCTTTAGATGAGGGGTTTTATGATTAGTTACTAGTGATGTTTTATTTGAATCTTTTCATGGGTCATATTTCTGAGCATTAAAATCTTCCAAATTTATTAAAAATGTCAAATTAACTTAAAAAGCATCTCTGAATCATAAAAATTAATAAATCTTTCAAATTTAGATCGTATTATACAATATCTCAATAATTTAAGTGGGCTTTAAATTATATATATATATAGTATATCTTACAGAAGGGGCCATTGTGTGGTGCAATGAAAAATGCTCAAGCTCTCAATACTGTGGGTGCAATGTGTGAGCAGTCATTTTGTGCAAATAATACCAAAGGTTAGGTATATTAGGTTTATGTTAGCCTGCCCGAAAACTTGAGAGGGTCGCCTTTGGAAGCATTTGGCAGTCCCAACACCCACGCTTGAGTAACAGGGACCACACAACACTTATGAACTTTTTATATCTTAGAGAGGGATTAAGATTATTCATAGAAATCGAGTTGTTCTTTTGTGTTTAGTGTATAACTGTATGCAGATTTATTAGTGTGAATGGGGCCATTTACGAAAGTGTTGGCTGCCTATGAAGATGATAATAGAAAAATGAAATGCTAACATGCATACCATCACTTGTTGCAATGACTATTACCGTCTTTAGTGACCCCATATTAAATGATGTATTTGTTTATTTGAATGATATGTCATACTCAATGGAGCCATTCAATTTCTGAACATTTCCTTCCACTGCCTGTATATTTCAAAATATTGTTGATGAATTCAATACTAATTTAACTTAGAAAAACACGTTGCTTGTTAAAGTATAATTAATCTAGTTCAACGTGTTGTAAGTTGATAATAACTTGTATGAGGTTGCTGTAATGAAGCACTTAATTTTTGAATTTGAGTGGCTTTAGCGAAATCCAACTATTTTATAAGAATGTCATAAATTAAAATACATTAAGTTGCTTGTAACAAGCGGAAAATACGAGGTAGCTGTTAAGGTTTTTATTTATTATGGAGACAATTCTATTAGACTAGATATTCTCATACCACCTTTCAGCTAGATAATGAGTAGAGAGGTTCCAGAGCATATCGCCTGTAGATACTGTGGACTTATATTACTTTAGCGGAGGTGTAAAGCAGCAAAGTTTTTTCATTTTTTCTTTTATTTTATTGGCTGTGTTTGTGTGCACCTGATTATCAAAGATGGTAATTTTAATAGAGCAATTAGCAAAAGAAGAGGATCTCCCTGTCACTGCTTCTTCCCAACTATATAAGGCTGGATCTCATATCATCTTTAATACGAGAACAAAAGGGAAGAAACAACGACTGCTTTTGCTTTCAAGGAGCATAATATCTCTCTCTTACTAACTATCTAAGAATCTTAAATTACTATCTCTATATTTACGTATGCCAGCAATTAGTTCTTTCTTCTGTTCAGTCAGTAACTGCATATTACATTTACGGTAAATCTGGTCACTCAGTAACCTAAAACTAGTTTGTTACTATAGACTTTAGACAATGGCGGTAAACATTTTACACTAAATCAAATTGATGCCCTTCCTTGTATATCTAAGAGTCAGCCACCTCTGGTCCTCTACCATAGCTTAGGAAATGAATGCTAGACTTGGTGATACCATATGTTCTTGTAAGGAAGTTTGGTGGATATCTCTCTTAGACGAAATGCACACCCACTTGCTCGAAGGTGGAGACAACTCAAACAACCGCTAGGTGGTCTTGTTAACTATCTCACTGACCTTAACCAGTAATTGCTCACTAATACTTCCCAAACATAAGAGGGATATTTTGTGGATTGTAGTAGTTTCTTACCTGCTGCAAGCCTGCAACTCTCTCCTACATTTTTTAACACTGGGGAGTCGATCTTAAATCCAGTACTTCTTCCTTATGTTCAAGTAACTTATATGGGACATTAATGTTAAATTTGCTCACTTGTGTTGCTTAGGAGAAAAAAAGGATATTTTTATGCTCCATCTGTTCTCTTTTCTGTGAATAGAGAAGGGGAGTGAGTTCTTATCTAATAATTTTTTAGTGGAAGCTTCAAAACAACCTTCATTGCTCCACTGATGAAAACTCGATGTTTGATAGATTAACTAAAACCTTAACCAATCTATACAATTACTTACAAATCCTTACTTAGAAAATTCAAGCCACTAATCACTTGGTGGATCCATCAACTATCTCACTGATCTTAACCAGCAATTTGCTTGCATATGTTTCCTTGTTGTAAGAGGGATATCTAAAGTATTGTATATAACTCACTCTGTCCAAAAATAAATGTCCTTTTGAGGGCTCAAGCTTTTTTTTTTTTTACATTGTCTTTTCAAAATGATCTCTTGTTATTGGGATGTGGAGGGAGTAATGCTGGTTATGCTGCTACTCTCTTCTAGATTTATTTTTAATATATATTTTTTTTATGTTATTAGCATTGTGGAGTCAAATCTTAGGTTCAGATTTTTTGTTTTGTCTCCAAGTAACAGTAAGGACATTAACGTCAATTTTTTTTCACTTACATTGTTCAGAAAAATGACAATTTTGCTCAATCCATTCTATTTTCTGTGAACAGAAAAGGGAAGTGAATTCTTATCCAATAAATGCCCCTGGAAGCTTTAGAAGAACCTCCGCTGCTCCACTGAGAAAACTGGATGTTTGATAATTAATTTAAAACCTTAACCAACCAATCCAAATAATTTCAAATTCTTTCGGAAATCATGATGTAAGAATCACCCATATATTGCTTTACCTGTCTTTCAAAATCTATTGTAGTAATACATTTTTATAATTGGATCTGTTTTAAATTTTAAAATGCCCTCCAAGATTTTCCGTGCTTTGGAATAAGTAAGGGTGTCATCTTTTCGTTGTGAGAGGAGCCATGAAGGTTTCTTTATAGTGCATAGTTGACAGCCAATAGCCTTATTTGTTTTTAAGGCAAGTATATTCGTTCTGGCAAGTATATTGCATGTGCTCTGACTCGCACAATTTTGCCTTTTTTATTTGGCATCACCACATTTTGCTTCCTTTCTCATGTTTTGGATTACTTCAATATGCAGCTGGCATGACAAAGCAATGTTATTTGAGCAGCACCATTGGAAGAAAGCACTGGAAAAGAAGCAGCCATACAAATTTAAGGTACTGTCATTTTTAACGGTTGGGAAAATAGCTACTTAAGTTGTGTATAAGTTCTTTTTGTTTGTTTAAAATAACCTTATCTTGTCCATTATAAATCTCTTTGTTGCAGTGGAATCAGTACATGGACAAGAACACAAGGGACTCGTACTATATCAACTGGCCTGTCTACTTCCCTTAGACTTCTCTTTCAATACTTTAGTTCGTTTCAATGAACTTCGAAAACAGTGTGAGTTGTAACTCAAAACCGTCATTTGCTATCTTGTTATTGGATTGTATACCTTTTATCAAGTAGTATCTTCCTTTTTAGTACTTCCTTGGATAGATCCGGTCACGTGATGTAGAATGATGTAACAATGAATGGTTGATTGGTGCTCTCCCTTGTTTGAAAGTTGATTTTGATATAAAAAGTCCGGATGCAAATGGTGAGGGAGCAGTATGTGTTAGTATTAAGGCTAGGTAGCAGTTCCTCACACGTCCTTTTGAACAATATAGATTTGCACACTTGTGAAGGTTTGTGCAGTAAGTAATTCTTCTCCAGCTATTAGTTTATTTGTTTTCCAAAAAAGTGCATATGCAATGCCCTGTGAAGGTGCATGCAAAAACCTGCTTAAATTACTTGCAGATAATGACCTCAAATGATCCACACAATTGCCCAAAGGGAACATATGACTTAACAGTTTGATTACGCGAAGCATATGACTTAACATTTGGCTAAAGGATTGATAATGTATTTGATGCTGAATTAACAAATAGTTTGCTGTAAAAGAAAGAGTAGTGCTGTGATGAGGGCTCTTCAGTGGGCTCGCACTCTCATCACCGTTGTATCTAGTGGCTGATCCACATGATCCATCGGTGATGAGGGCATGTGTTCATTGACGGCGTCTTCACCACAGTGTTTTCCTAAAAGAAATCATTTGCATATCTTGGCTCGACTATGAAAGAAAAACTAACTTTATGAGTTCATTCTCCTGGTAAGTCTCTGACATTGTGACGCTACGGATGGTCCAGAGTCCACCCTATATTGTAATATTTTTTTGCAACTCCCAGGTTGGCAAGAGTCTATCTAATTGAACAACAAACCTATTTGGTTTCATCGAGACTTAATTCCTTTCTACCCTACACGTATTAAAGTTGAAACCAAAAACCCCTTGACCCGACAACGCTACAAGCTCAATTTATAGTGTGGCGTGGGTGATATACATACCGAAATTTTTTCAGGGTGAGCAGTGATTATGGATAAGGATTGTATATGGCTTGAAATGATTATTACAGAGCAAAAAAAATATTTGATGCAAGAAATCTTGAGCGTGTGCAAACATCAAGCACATATAGTCAAGTACTTGTGATGAAAATTTACATAGCGAATCAGATTATTAACCAATATCAGGCAAAGAGATGGACAAAATGCCATATAAGTATATACTAATATCACTTTTGCCTCCGATAGTTGAACAATCATTTTATCAAACAGTTTGTCTGCGTTCGAATCCAGAGCCAGGATCATCGCCGGAAGGGGAAACCTCAAGACCGGTGACCATCGCTGACGGTGGGCCGCGGCGACACCGCTGCTCCATCTCCTGGACCTTCTCATGACTCCCAGAGAACAATGCCTCTACAGACCCATCTCTCCGATTCCGAACCCAACCTCTCAAACCCAATTCCACCGCATTGTCCACCGTCCAGTTCCTATAGAATACCCCTTGCACTCTCCCCTTCACCACAACCCTAACCTGCACAACACAACAACAACAAATGTTAGAGAGAGAAAGTGTAGAGAGTGTGTGAAGGAACAAAAGGGGGAAGAGGGTCTTACGGTTTTGTTGTTGGGGTTTGAGTTGGGGGTTGTTAAGGAGGACATGGAAATCGAAAAGGGGGGTGGAGGAGATCGGAGCAAGGGAGGTAGGAGACGATGAGAGAGAAAATTGCGATGGCGAATGGGAGGTGAGAGAGAGTGATGACGAAGACGATGAGAGAGAGGAAGAAGAAGAGGAAGGTGGCTTCGTAATAGCATTTTCTGTTGTTGTCGCTGTTGCTCTCTCTCACATCTCCCCACTGGTTCCGAAGTTTCTGGACTTGGAAGTTTCAATAACATGAATTTCCGAAAAAGAAAAAAAAAAAAAATCAATAATATCTTTAATTCTTTGGAAATATTTTGTTCACCTAAATTTTTTAAACAAGAATGGAATTTGATTTGACGTTTTTATAATGCTGGGAGAGAGACCAGTGATTAAAATCCAAATTTAAACCTCATTTTGTTTATTAGTGTTTTCTGAAATTAAACAAAGATTTCACAGTTATAATTTTTGTTCAAGAAATTACTTATTCTTGTTCTCATTGACCATTAACCATTAAATATTTAATATTTTCTTTACAGTTTTTTTTTCCTTCTCAAATTATAAATTTTAACTAATAAGTAATTAGTTTATTTTATAAAGTATAAGATTTTTTTTAGTAAAAATGTAATATTACTATTTTAAGAATAGATTCATATATATATTTAGAGTTAAAATTGACTTTAAATATTTAATAATTGAGAATATATACTGAGAAATCAAAAGAGGTAAAATTGGGCTTTGAAAGATTTAATATGAAAACATATATCAAAAAATAGAACATAATGGTCTTATTGGAAATTGTTAGGACTTTTTGGTGACAGAAAATGAAAAAATAGAACATAAAGACAGTGGTGCTATTTAGTAAGATCATTAAACCTCAACCCAGCCCAGTAGTGGAGAGTTTGGGTTCAACCGGCCCAGTCTACATTATGATGTTAATCCAATTAGTATATGGGTATGGTTAGTGAACCCTGTTATTGGACAGTCAAGATCCAAGTCATTATTGACAACGAGTTTTGACACAAAATTGGGCCTAACGTTCTCTCGAGTAGGCCCAAACCAACCATGGTTTCATTCGCAGCCCTGCCCAAATTTGATTTCATGGACAATTGGAAGCCCAACACGAGCTGGCTCATGCCATTACACAGAGAGATTGTTTTTCTGTTTTGAAAGGGTGACCTCTGTTTAGATCAGAGTGAAGCAACTTTATCCAAACTAAATTCAAACTAAAAAATATAAAATAGTAGAATTGCCGATGCATGCTTGAAATCCAATCTCGGAGTTTATTTTTAGGCTATGTTAGGTTGCATTGAATTAGAATCTTGAAATTGGAATTAGTAAAATTGAAGAAAATCAACTCACAAAATTAAATTAATGTTTTTTGCAATTTCAAAATACCAATTCCATACAGCAAAACACAACCTTAGAGTTTTGGTTATACTAGAATTGCTAATAATACTCCCTCTGGACCCTCTATATACTCTATATATACATATACATTTGTTCATTAAGAATTATGACACACATGCTGACATGCAATTTTTTTTTTACTCCCATCTCATATGCACCAAATAATTCATAAAAAAAATCTTTAAAAATAGTATGGTTTGCTGTTCGTCAGGGTCCGTTATATACCATCATAACCAATACAGTCGCAAAAGAATTCCAAACTTTTCATTTTCCAAAATGTATATAGTCAAACATAGAAAAATAATCTCAATAGAATTCCAACTTTCCATTTTCCAAAATGTATATATACATATAGTTATATATGTATATGTAGGAGTATAAAAGTAAGATTTTTTCCCCGTGGAGACTTTGAATTTTCAACATGAGGAATCAAAACTACGATTTGTTAAAGTCGTGGCTATCTTCTTTTTTGACTTTAGTTTAGACGTCATCTGGATAAGCTTTACAATAGTCTTATCTAATAAACTGTGTTTGGTTACACGTTTTCAAACACCTTTGCTTCATAAAGTTTGTGTACCACATTTTGAATTAGTTTCTGTCCCACGTTTGAATTCTTGATGTTCCGTCAAATCGTTTAGAACATTTAGCGACCTAATCATTTCATTTAGAATACTACTAATACATTACTAGTATTTTAGACGAATAGGCAAATGTTAATCAATTGAATTAGGGTGTTGTGTAGATGTTTGGGTCTCTATAAATTAATGACTTAGTATTTTTGTTAAATTTTAAAACGTTATGTTTTGACTTTATATATCTATTAATTTAATTTTTAATATTTTTTATTTTATAAAAAAAATAATTAAAAAAAAGTAAAAAATTAGGGTGTTCTACATTATAAAAATTAAAAACAAAACAAATGATTAATTCTAGATCCTAAGTTTCCATTTCAAAAAAATGTTACATTAAAACTTTCCAACCCGAATTAAAATAAGGAAGATGATCGTATTAAGTAATTAAAAAATCATAATTTTTTGTTTATAAAATCTTTATGAGATTCTCATACTCTTTTAAAGACTACAGGTTACAATGACAATTAATAAATAACTCAACCGAATGGAACACATTGTTACTTGTTAATCATAATTTTTTTCTTTAATTTTTTTATTTTTATTTTTTTAATTATTTTTGTTTTCGTGCAAAATGACAAAATTAATTATAGGGTGTATCTAAATGCCCCCACGCGTGCCTTGCAAAGTCAAAACTCGTGTATGACGTGGAATGGGGCCCACTCATGTCTCCATCGTGTCCGTTGGCTAAATGCCTTTTCCTATGAGTCACAAACAAAATTCTACCCTTCAAACTTCACACACGTCATTCATATTACATTTAAATATTAAAAATATTTATTTTTCTTGTTTTTTATAACTGGACTAATTCACCGAGACTAATGTGAGAAAAAGTCTGGAGTCTAAACAATCGTTTGCACCTAGAAACAAGACATAGGACCTAACTCCGAGGTTTAAATATTAAAATATTTTTATCCATGTGCATCATGATCACTAATCATATATTATACATGCCATGCATGCTCATGCAAACATATATATGTATATGGCCATATATACACACATACATCGCATGCTTGTAGATAATTCCAAGAATACCCCTGTCATAGTCAGAGCTGAGTCAGAACAATTGGAAGGTCAATTTCATGACTCATCACCTTCTGTTCCTTGTTTGGTTGTGTCCTTGTTTTGGTGCTGATGCATCCCATTACCAATTAAACTTCATTATCTTGCATTAATGCTAAAATTAGGTCATTCATTCATGCCACATTTAATTTTAGACTTGTCACTACATCACCACATGATAATGTAATATTGGACCACACTTATGAAGCCCTCCATGTGAACTAAATTAATTTTTCATACTCTCAAAATTTTCATATGTAAGTTCGATCCCAAATTAAATCGTAATCATTAATATAAAAGATATTGCATTTCGTATTTTCGTAATCTATTTAAGAGTTGTCATTTTGTACAGTTGTAAAATGCAACTACACCACTCTCATAATATACAACATATAAAAATCGACTCTTATCCCACATAATGATGTGGACTCCAAATTATTATAGTGAACTAAGCTAACTCAGCTTTGATATATAGTTGTTGGAGGCCACAGTCTTCAAATATTATAGTATATAGACTACATTACATAATAGGTGACTTAATAGATTCTTATATGAAATCAAGCGACAAAAATGTGAGGTTTAACCTAATTCTTTGTTGCAATCCCATACAATGTGTGTGTGTGAATGAATATATTTAGCCTCATCGATAGTGTTTGGTTCCTGCCCCCACAATCTTAGGGGATTATGAGTGAAAATATTAAATTAGGTGATCATATTGCATAGATTAAGTGACTGAATACTTTAAATTCATGTAACAGTTAATGGAATAATGTAGATTAATTTGATAAGTCTCCTTTCAATTCATACAATTCATACTATAAAATAAAATTAGGTGAAATAATTAAAAAATTTGTGTTTCCTTATTCTCTTTACTGTAGAAAAAACACATCAACAATATTGTATTATGTTGCTATCAAACATGCCCTAATGATGCATGCATTTGCATCAGATTTCTCTTATCCTCATAATGATTGGTCGTTCTACTGTCTCCTTTCAAAGTAGAATTCAGAATACACACGTAACCATGCATCACATTATATATAGTATTATATTGGAAAATACACACACACACACACAGTGTTACAATCAACCAAAAACCACCTTGGTTGCTGCTACGATAAGTAAATTAAAGTTAAAAGAGTGTTTACTTTTGGGAATCAAGACATTGATGCTTTGAAAAGCCTCTTTCATGGCTTAGCTTTTGGCCTTTTCTTCTTCTATAATTTCTATATATATGCTCCACTCTTTCACAATCTTAGTTACTTTAGGATATTAATCCTAATTACTTACTTTAAGATATTTTCACGGTCTACTATATACCTAAACGCATTTGTGAGTAGTCACGCAAAATTTTTTAAGAAAAAAAATATATTAGGGTACAATGAAAACATATCATCATCACATCAGCAATTACGCACCTAAACAAATATATACAAGTATAATTATCAATATTAATTTTATATAGTTCATTCAACCTCAAGTATTACGTATACGGATCAGAGGGAAAACTTTCACTATTATAAATCAAGTAAAGATTTTACAACCGTAAAGAATGCACTCTGCTTATCCCTAATTAAGAAGTCTATTTACTAACCAACCAACAACTCTTTTTGGACTCAGAGCAAACACGCATACTCTCAATTGCTTTGCTGGTTGAGAACAAATTCACTCCTTAATTACGAGGCTACATTCTTCTAAACTCACCCACTCTCTTCTCTCTTCTCTATTCTCTCCTCACATCACTCGCCAAATTAACCATTTTCCTTTTCATTACCTTCGGCAGCCAACTCCACTTCTATTTATAGATTCTTCCAACTCATTTGTTATTAGACAAGGATAACCATTCTTTGGTAGTCGCTACTTGCCTTTCAACAGAATGAAGTCAGATCAATGAGACTTAAGTTCGACTGGTAGGTCTTCTTTAGAATTCAGCAATCTTCAAGAATTTCAGCCACAAACCTAACAAAAAATAGTAATAGGATGCTCCCCATTTTCATAATAAAGGCTAAAAGGGTGATAAGACTTGCTTTTTTTTTTTTTTTTTGATGCCAATTTAACTAGCATCGTCCCATTTTTATTTGGATGGGTTTGGGATCATGCTAATATAGTTAGGCGCAAATTTGAGAAGAGGGTTTAAAACTCACAAAGCTCCCAAACCCGCTTCAATTAATAATTAATATATAAATAACTATTTTTTTTATTAGCTATAAATTTTTTTCTTTCTCTATTTTTATGATATTTAAATGCTAGCAACATTTTTGTTATTATGATTGGTAAATATTTGAATATAATAATTTTATCTTACAAAATGTATCTTAAATTTGTTTAAGTTTTAATTATTATTATTTTTTAAATATACTTATATCAGAACTCGCCGAGCCTACCCAACTTAGATGTGGGTGTCCCAAATTGGGTTTAGATTCATTGGTGGGACGCGTTTTGTCCTTTTTATAAAAATCTTTTAGTATCCATATCAATATGCATTACACAGGGATTATTTCTGTTGTGTTTGGAAGTACTAAATTGATGCTTTAAAATAAATTTACTCTAATTACAATTTCAAGACAATTTAACAATCCAATATAACAATTTCAAGACAATTTTAGACAATCTTCTGGAAGGTTCCTAATTTCATTCTATTTTGAATCTGCCCATAGATTTGTTTAAACAATCTGGATACTGTGTGGTTAATTAGTAACACAAGGAGATTAGTGGTTGGATTAGTAAAATAAATTAATACCACTTGCAAGTACAAGTCATTGTCCTAATATTTTAACTATGCTGCAAAATATGAGGTTAGGTACTAATTTCTTCTTTTACTGGCTCATGAGTACAAATATATTACAATAATCTTGATTTTGAAGCAAATTAAGTGAGAGTGAAAGTGGAAACATATTAGGAAACATCCGGAAAGTGTGATTTGAGTATATGGATTAATGATAATTAGGATTTTTTATTGAAAAAAATAATAATTACAAGAGGAGTAAGCAAAAAGCTACTAGAGTGGCGTCGGTAGTCAGAGATTTACCTGATAGTTACAAGTCTAAAGAACGAGTGGTTACGAGGATTCTCACATCATCAAAAGAAAAAAGAAAAAAAGAAAAAAGACAAAAAAGAAGCTACTAGACCTTTAATTGCGCCTTGTATGTTGGTACATATGTTACTTTTCATTTTGTTTGTTATTCTAAAACCTATCTTCAAGACGTTAGGCGTTGTTTGACAAGGTCAAACGCTTGATGTAGATGTCACTTAATATAATAAGTGTGTTGTGTCACTTCTACAAATAAGCCAAATTATGAAGTCATTCTCTCTTAAAATTTTCATTACTTACCTATCATCATCAAACTCATATTTTTTAAAGAGAGATTTTGAATTTGAGTCTCAGGTGGAGACTGTGTGTGTGAATTACTTTATTTTTTTAAAAAAATTCATTACTTAATTTTCATTTAATCAAATAGCACTCTAACGCTGGCCTAGAATTTTTTTTAGAGTGGGGCGGCCTTGAGCACAATAATTTTTTTTTAGAAAATCATAATAAATAAATAAAAAAAATTAACATTAGTTTATATTTTAATTAAAAATTGCTCATGATTTTATTTTAATTAATTTTTAGGTAGTTTACTTCCATTTTGATTATTACCTAGCTAAATTTAAAAGGTTGCTAACTAGATAATAATCAAAATGAATCATATACTTAAAGCACATAATTCTTATAAATGAGCGTTGCTCATATGCTTGGTGTGCACTCTTGTGCCCAATTCTTTTTTGTGTGACTTTAATTCCGTTATTTTTGTGCTCCCACTCCACTCTAGCAACAAGATAAAAAATATGAATTTTATTTTTCTTTTTTATATCTGTATATAATTCAAATTTAAAAAATAACCCACGCTCGCTTTACGTGACTTAAAACTAAACCCAATAGTTTGTTAAAAGCTCTCAAAAAGACTTATGATCTATTATTATTATTTAATTGTCAAAAGTGTCCAAATGAATGAGTTTATCTTTATTTAGTGGCTTTAAATTTTTACTTTTAAATTCTAATTAAAAATTTAAAATTAATAAAAAAAAAATCATATCTGCTATTTAGACACAACTTGATTCTCCTACTGCCATGGAGTATTCAAATCATGACTCCACTAAAGTATTATGCCCAACAATTTGTGACACCTAAAGTTTCTTTAATTCTTGAACTCTACATATTTTGTCTTGTAGTTTTACGATTGATTCAAAGCCTTTTGGCATTATGAGGGACTCGAACGTCATAAGGAAATGACATTTATTAATATTTATTTGGCATCTCACATCATTAACACAAATTCAGCTACAATTATAAAAAGGACTCATAATGACCCACCTCTTTTTGGACATTTGAAAGTCCAATTAGATTTTTGCCATTCAAGGTGAAGATTGATTTCTTTAATATTAAAGTCTCAGATATTTGAATGCAAAATCTGCAACTTGTCCCAAAAAAAAAAAAAATAGTTTCTCTGACACGTCCATCAATATGTCTTTCACCCTCATAAAATTTCCTAACCATAAGCCAAACACAATAAATCCAAAATTGACCCCACTAAAATAAAATTCCAATTCTGACCCTGTATTGAGAACAACTAATGGAGTTATTTTAACAATTGACAGCCTAGCATGCCTCATAGGAATATTGATGACTAGGACAATCACAATTGTCAAAAATAATCACACATTCTAATATAATAAGACAATTTTAATAAATAAATAAAATTCAGAAACTATAGTAGTGTACACATTACGCTGATATAATGTATTATGGAAAATAATGGATACCAGTGCCACACAAAAAAAAAATAATAATAAAAATAAATAAAATAAAAATAAATTATAGAAAAAATTAATCTATAATCAACTAAAAACAAACAAGCTAAACAAATAACCAACCAACAAACCTAACAAATGAAACTGGTTAAATCGCCGGCCGACCGTCCAATTGTGACATTTCCGAATAGGAAAATTTATACCTCACATAAACATTATTCTATATAACTATTTACCATCTCTATCACTTCATTTACAATTTTTAACCCATCACTATCTCTCACTCAATAATCACCCATTTTACATTACAGAACATGCATTAGGGTTCTCGTCGCTGAACATTTGCGGCGCGTGCAGGTGCGGCGGCAGGTAAGGTGGCGCGTGTGAGTACTCCATGGCATAACCGGGATTAACATAACCTTCATTAAATGGGATTACTTGACCATAACCCTCATTGGCATAACCTTGACTAGAACTTGGCACGCTATAATACGAATACGGGTTGTATCCACCATAATATTCCATTTTGTTCATCTCGAGCTTGGTCTCGTCATTCCTTTTCCCATCTCCGCCGGCTTTCACCTCGCCTTCTTTCTTATCACCGCCGCCTCCCTTCTCTTTTTTGTCTCCGCCACTGCCTTCTTTCTTTTCGCCGCCTCCACCTTCTTTCTTTGGCGGGACAACCTCCACATTCCTCTTCAATTTTTCTCTCAAATATGATGCGAGTTCTTTTGCGTCCATTGTCCCCTTCACCGTGACCAGATCCTTTTGGTCATCTATTGTTACCGAGTCAACCTCTGTTCACCATGTAAGTAATCACCATTAATCACAAAATATAAAGACTAAAATGCTACTTATTCTGCCAACAATTGAAATTAAAATAACAACAATCATTTTGGAATAGGTTTACATTTAAAATAAAAACATACGTACTTTTGATTAGATTAGGTGATTATACATATAATTCAAACAAATATTATATACTAAATTATTAATTCGTATTAATAAAGTTTAGGTATCTCACCTTCCATCTTTGAAATGGTTTTTCTGATTTTATGTGTGCATCCTTCGCAGTGCAATCGAATCTTCAAAACCACCGTACTCATGGCAGGCTGGACAAAAATTACGAAAATGCAATATAAATTTCAATAATTAATTCAAATATCTAAAATTAAGTCATAACTAGAGCATTTGGATCCCCTCCATCACGCAATCATGATGTAGCCATAGTAATAATTTTCATAAATTTATTAAACTAAGAGAAGTGATATTCCTCTAGTTATCCCCACAAATAATAATAATAATAATAATAATAATAAATTTGTTGCACAAGATATGTAATTGAGAGTAGGAGTGGCCACATCGAATTGGATTAGACATCAATCTTAATTCGATCTGTTTCCAACGGATTAGGCAAATCTTAATTCGCCACCAATCCGTTATTCCACAGATCGAATCAGATCGGATCCGTATAATACCAGATCAGATCGGATTGAATCCACGAATTGGATTTTATCTAAATTATCCATTATTATTATTATTTTATTTTTATAATTAATATTATTTATTATTTATTTGTCTTTTAACCATAACCCAATAGAAAATATTTTAATTTATTTATATTAATTTATATATTTAAATAATTATTAACTAATACATCCCTAAAATCTATTAAATTATCATTAACTAATTAATTAACAAATATATTATTTGAAAAAATATATATATTTCACGGATCGGATCGAACTCACAGATCGGATCGAATTTTTAACAGCCCAATCTGTGATTCAATTCGTGAGTTACGGATTCGATTTGTTTGAATCTGCCACTGATCCGTGGGTGTGTCAATCCGATCCAATCAGTACGGATTGAATCGGATCGGATCGGATTCACGGATTATTTGTCCACCTCTGATTAAGAGAGAGAATAAATCTGATTGTCAAATTAACTTTCATTTGTTCAATTGACCTAAGCCTTTTTAAAATAAAATTGTTTGTCAAGTTAACTCCATTTTTTTAATTGACCTAAAAATTCAAGCTTTTTAGGGTTTTCTTAATTAACTATTAAATTATTAATTAACAAATAAAAGAGTTATAACAAAAGCCATTTTTTTTTTTTTAATTGAGCTTAATCTAACACGTCCTCAATCCCACGAATGAATACGTGAGTTATAAGCTGACTGCTAAGCTTCTTTTTTTTTATCCTTTGAAAAAAATAAAATAAAATTTGGGAAGGTGTGCTGTATAAACCCTGAAACCCAAAACAGCCGCGTGAACACGCAAACGGATGTTAGAATCGTACCTCTTTGGGTTTCTTATCCTCCGCCTTCTTGTCGTCAGATTTTTTCTCCGATTTGTCGTCGGACTTCTTATCTCCGCCACCACCGCCATCCTTTTTAGGCTGAGGAGAGATGAGGTCCACCTTCTTCTTGAACTTCTCTTGGACTCTCTCTCTCAGCCTCGCAGGGTCCACCTTCCCCGTTACCGTCAGTTTGCTGCTCGCACTGTCCGCTTTCACGTTTTCAACACCTTCACTCACCACCAACAAAAAAGGTCAGTAACTGCCGGAGTCTATCATGCGCCATGTGCGTAATCACGAAAAAAAACGTTGATGAAAAAACAATTTAAGGAGAAGAAAAAGAAACGATAACTTGTTTCTGTGTATATAAATATTTATAATTAAAAATTTACCTCCGAAATGACGAATTGATCGCATTGATAAGTAAAATAAAAACAAATCAGAATATGCATTCTTCAAAACTTTACAAATTTTGAAAATTGACCGTTGAATGGAGATCTATAGTTCTTCGCGATCAGCTCCGAATTCTTTTTTATATAAATTAAATTAGATCAATACTAACAAAATTTGTAACTTTTACAATTAAAATGATGAATTGATCACAAAAAACACATTGATAAAGATACAGAAATGAATCAGAATTTAAATTCTGCCAAACCGTTAAAAAAATTAAAAGATTTGACCGTTTAATGTGGATCTAATGCTCACCATCAAAATGACGAACTGTTCGTTTGGCTTTCTTGGCACAGCCTTCACAATGCAAGTCCACCTTCAAGACGACGGTGACTGGACCGTCGTCCTTCTTGCCGCCGGCGTCGGCCTTCTTGCCTCCGGCGTCGGCCTTCTTCTCTCCGTCGCCTTTTGCTGCATCTTTCTGGAACAACAATTATGAAATTGAATATACACACATTTAGCGATTATATATATATATAAAGTTTGTATAAGAAAGTATAGTAATTAAAGGGCCGAATTGGAAGATTACAAGACTTGTGGATCACTAACCTCACCCATTCGTTGCTAATTGACTCTTCTATATTGAATTATAGATTGGAATGAAATGATTTGAAGAGAGAAATTGGAGGCAAATGCGGGTTTATATAGAGGAAACGGAGGATGATGTATATATGCATCATATATGTATGTATATATGTTTATACATGGATGGATGTGGAGGTGATGATGTTCGCTGCCGTCGGATTGGACTAAGGGGTATCGGTGTAAGACGGTTTTGTTTTACGTGACAGGTCATCTAACTTTGACGACCCCCGATCCGGTGTTTTGCAGTAACCTTTTCTTGTAATTGATGGTGGTTGGTACATATTTTCAATTTTCAGATTAAATATTAAACAAATAACACCTGCCTAATATGTTTGATAAAGAAAAATATTTAAATACAATTATTTCAGATCCACCCGTATAATAATTCAACACACATATATTCATATTTATAAAATATTGATATTTCTTGTGATCTTTCTCAATAAATGAAATGATTAAAATGTTCATCAGATAATTAATGATAAGAGGCTGCTTTCAGGTACATAGTAACATTGACAGAGATTTAGAGGATAAATTTTTGAAGTCTTACCTACACGTGCTCGAAAAAATAAAAATAATAATAATTAATTAATGATAACAGTTTAATTTAGTTTATTTGTCAAAATGAATTATCTAATGTGAGACCCATACTTCTTTCATTTTAGGCCAGCCTTAATTAACAACTAGGCCAAATAATAGGCATATAAAACATTTTTCAATAATTAAATACATAATTGTAAAAGTTGTACATAAAATTTGAAATAATTGCAAGTGTGATTGCTTTCAAATGAAAATTGTATCATTTTAATTTCTAAAGAAATGCAAGTGAGTGCAAGTGTAAAAAATAGTGTGAATATATATATAGATATATAAAAGATTAGATAGAAATAGAATATATAGTAGAGTTATTTTGGTGGTTTTAGATGAGTCCGTGTTTGGTGGATTTGCAGTGTTGGGATAGTGGTGGACTCTTGAGTCAACTAAAATAGACCTCAAAGACTACCTCACAACGTGATTGAAGTTGTTGGTTCCGTTCCGTGAAAGTTCTCGAAGATAACTTTGTCACTAAGTAGTCGCATGTTCTGTGCTTTCCCGGAAATTACTCAAGTGGAGTACAGAGGATGTGTTTGTCTAGAAATAGTACCATCATCTCCTTGGTACTATGTACTATCCTTGAGTGCCATTTTGTATTCTAGGGGTGATTGAATCAAGTGGTTGCAGAAATGGATCATCAACACCAACCACAACATAAATTATTCACATTTTTTATTTTTAATGTTGCGTATTAGAATAAATTTATTTCAGTTAAACTCAACATACCATTAAGAGCTTTTACCTTTTAATAGACGAGAATCTTACAAAAATGTTGTAATTATGTGTTTGTTTGTTTGAATTTTTTAAATAAATATATAAATAAACAAATTCAAACTTTCATACTCAAATAAAAAATCTATATACGAAATAATACTATAAATATGTCTTTAAAAAAAATTATGCAAGAGCTTTAATGATTTGCTAGAAAAAAGAAAGAGCCAGAAGTCTCTAGAATATAAAAAATTTGGCATTCTCACAAACAAAATACGTGTAATTGGGATGACACGTAGGACCCACAACTCCTATGTGAAAACGGTCGAAAAGTCTGATTCGCACTGTGTTAAACCATTAACAACAACGTCATATTATTTGTAAAATAAATAAATAATAATTGCAACATTTTTTTAATATGCTGCGATAGTAAAATTTCGGACCGACCACCCATATGATAACCGAAATTCGAATTTAGAAATAATAATTTGTGATTCTGTCTAAAACATTGTCAAAGATGACATTTGTCTCCAATTATATATCTTGATAAAAAGTCTATATTACTTTGACAAATCAAACCCGACACCATAATTCTCTATGTTATCGATAACTCCATCTATCCCATTTTCGAGTCCAATTTACTTCCCTTGATTTTGATGTATTTGAACTGATTAAGCCTAGGTTAGGCCGCATTATTCACATGTACCTCTACAAGAATAAAACAAATTTCTATATGCCAGTTATTTTATATTTGTGAACTTCCTCAGCCACTTTCTATTTTGTAAGTACCCTGTTGTCCAGCGGGTCGGATTACTCTCCGTGTTTATGTCTTGCACCTTCTTTTTTTGATAACAAATTCTTTTCATATTCTTGACTTGAAAAAAAAAAAAAAAGAAAAAAAAAGAAGAAGAAAAAGTCTTCGGATTTAATTTTGATAAAGTGCAAAAAAACCCTCCTCAATTATGTCTAAATTTGTAAATAACCCCCCTAAACTATGTTTTGTGCATAAAATCTTCTAAATTATCACATTTAGTTGCAAAATACCCCATTGTCTTACCTATTTTCATTAAATAACCATAATATCATTTCTTATTGAATTACACTTTATATATTTTTCTTGTTAAAATAAATTATAAAAAAAATTCATACTAATTTGATGAAATATTCTTCATTAAATTTGCATAAGTTTGCCTTTAATATTTTAATTAATTATTTAAATAAAATTCTTAAATAGAAAATTTTGAAACAATTTAAGTAATTTCTTAATTTTTATGAATATATTTCATTAAAAATAAGATCATAATTTATTAATTTTTTATGAATATTGTTTAAAAAATAAGATATTTTTTTATACTAATTTTTTTTTAAGTGAGTATAATAAGTTAATCATTTTAGAAAATTACAGTTACAAATTTATTAATTTTTTCCATTTTTATAATCAATTGATACTGCTTATAAAATTAAGGTAAATGGTATAATTAATATTCAAATAAGATAAAATATAGTAAAAAAACACAATTTAATAAGAAATGACAAATTTAATAACAAAGGGTAAAATAGTCTTTTGTGATGAATTTGTCCTTAATTGCAACAAATCAATAGCTTAGGGGGGCAATCTTTAGTTCAAGAGTTAGTTGCAAAAAGTCAATAACTCAGAGGGAATTTTTGCACTTCACCCTTAAATTTTTTCTTAATAATTAATAATACGTATAATTTATTTTGTTTACTATAATAATTAGTATGATGCATTTCCATTTTCCACCCATAAAGTTGGCATAACCTTACGGCAAGGCCCTCAAAGAACTGTTCTGCGTCACCGATAGGTGGCCGGCGATGACTAATTCAACTTCAACAATTAGGAAAGAAAACGAACCAGTACCATCTAAGACATTTAATGCATAAATGAAATCTTTGACAAAATACCATTCAAATGATCTTCTGGACCACACAACCCTAGTTATTTATCCAGTCAATATCACAAAACCAGTTCTTCTATGATATTTTTTTTTAATCAGGTCACCTTTTAATTTGGGTTATATGTCTAATAAATGTTTTGATGTGTCCTAGAGTTTGAATCAAATTGGAAACTAAGAATAGCTAAATCTATCAAACGGAAATAGAATCGTTCCAATTTTTTGAGGTACAAAAAATACCACTTTAATTAAAGTTCTATGGTGAAATTAAACTAATATTGACCGCCCAATTAAATGAATGATGGAATCAATCTACCAAAAATCAAAGAAAAACTCCTTTGAATTGAGCAGCAAAGGAAATGAAAATGGCAACTTATGGGCCATGTGATACATGTTGAATGTCAAATTTTGAAGTTGACTTTTATGTCACTTTGTGGGGTACCCTATAAAGAAAGAGGGAGTGATGATTTTGTTGTGGAAAAATGATAACCATGGAGTCCCCAGATACTCAATGAGGACTGAGCCCTCCTCCTCTCAGTCCAGTTTTATGAATCCATTATCATTTTTGTAAGTGTAAATCATGGACGGAGTTAGAATTTGTTTGCTTCTCGGGAAAAATCAAGGGAAAATAAAACAAAAGGGGGAAAAACGGAAAGAAAGCAGAATTCACGTACCATCAAAGGGAGACCCAAAAAAAAAAAAAAAAAAAAAAAAAAGATTAAATTGGTCCAACATTTGCAATTGAAAAAGTCAAGTACAGTAATATCTTCTTGGTCAGATTAAATTGGTCGTGTAGGTAAAATGCTGAAGTGTTACAAACCAAAATAAATAAATAAATAAAAAAAACCTTAAAAAGTTTCTTGTGGTGAATGCAATGAATCGAACTGCAAATAATAAAAAATTCAAGAGTCAAGAATATAATGTAATATTCAAAACTTGATTAAATCAACTTCCACAAAAACAAGAAAATGGTTGAATTGAACGAAGACCAAAATATTGAATCATCTTATTCAATCCCTCAAATGACTGCTATAAAAATACATAATTTTACAAGTTCCTTAGCGGATGAAACACGTCATACGGTATCGTGGACAAACAACTCCTCCACTGATTAAACTAAAAACTTTTGTGCAAAAAGTTAAAACTTGGGATTATTTATTGGAAAAAACGCACACTCCACTTGCAGATATATGTATAATTGTGTGTGTATATATATATACACAGTTACACACATACAAATAGATACATACGATTGCCGTTCTGGGTGTTTGTTTTTTCGTGTGGCTACAAGTGCTTGTACATAAGTAACTGAAGGTTAGTTCAAGACTTCAAGTGGTATTTTTCTTTATTTTTAAAGGTAAGAATTTAACAAGTGGTATCTTTTTTTTTTCTTCCGTACAAATTCAAAGTTTTGTTGAAGTCTCTGATGAGAGATGGGCTGGCCTAGTGAGAAACAATGGCAGCCCATCTTCTGAGCAAACGGGCCAGGTTATTGGTTTCTTCAAGCCATAAAGGTTGAGTTTGTTTCTCCGTAGGCCTGTTTGGTTCGTGATATGATATTGTTTTGGGTGTTTTGTTTTTGTTAGAGTGGCCCATATAACGTTTGGAGGAGTTGGTATTGTTTTAAACAGTGTCAAAACAAGTCCAAAATAATGGGCCAAATCCATATCACCATATTGGTGATACTAGTTATTCTGACACTGTAGCAGTATAGCGGTCAACACATAACAAAAACAACCATGTTATATGGACCGCTACTGTAGATATGGATTAGTTTTTTTCTTAAAATCTAAGTACAATCTACTACAAACACTTTCAGTTGCATGTTACTAAACCCTAGAAAAAAATAAAATAATAATAAAAATTGTTCTGCTTTATATGATGTGAGGGTTGAGTGCTTTTTTTTTTTAAACCATATTTTTTTTTTTCGGAAATCAGTTTTTTATTTATTTTTCAAAGGAGGGGAGGGTTGAGAGTGAGAGAGTCCTGACAAATTCACAATATTGGATTAGTTTTTTTCAAAGTTTCATTTTGGAGTAGTGAAATTTTTAAACAAATTGACAACCAGTTTTGAAAAGGTCACGGACTTTTTATTGTAGTTAGTAAATTTTAAAAATGGCATTAGAAAACCGGAAGTGTTACCAAATAAAGCTTTAGAATTTGAGTTTTATCAATAATTGTTCACTTTCTCACTTCACTCTCAATTTTCTCACACAGATTTATAGCCAAAAAGCCCTAAAGCTTAAAAATCACGATCTGAAATAATTAGGGCAAAAAAAACCACTATCTCAAAAACCTAGGACTGGCAAAATTTATTCGATTTCATTCATAAGTATTTGACATCCTTGATTTTTTTTTTGAGAATTTTTACAATTCTTTAGGTCGTATCAGAAGGGTGTTGCATAACGCGGTAGTACTACGGAGTATATTTTAAGATGGGCCCAATCCACATGTCACATGGACGGACATGTAGACTCGGCAACGAGTCGGTTTTTTTATTTGTGGTGGTAAATAGCATTTGCTCTCCGATTGTAGGGTTCTAAATACTGTAGGGTTTTGCAATGACACTCTTTGTTTTTGCAGAAGCCGAAACCGTGTCTTCGGTGGTTTCAGAAAGAGAGAGAGAGCAAGAATAGATGCAGAAGCTTATAAAGAGAGAGAATTTTTGCGTAGGGAGAGAGAGAGAGGGTTTTCCATACAAAATCTGAAGACCTCTCTCGACCCAATTTCAGAGACCTCTTACATGGCTAACACTTTGATCACTGCATCAGAATCCAATACACAGGCAGATGGGTTTTTGGATTCTCCGGCTCCTTCCTCAAACGGATCTCTGTTCCACAGACGAATTGAGTTCCATCTAGCTAGGAAGCCATTCACTGGGTTTAGTAATGGCGGCGGAGATTTTCGGTTGGAGACTCTGAACCCAAACTCCGAACCCCAGAGACCTGGGCAAAACCAGGATGGTGATCCATTGGCATTGGCAGGGAAGAAATCAGATGGGTTTGAGTTTTCTGAAACTGGGTTGGATCCCGAACTCAGTTTCCGGATTACTTTCAGGAGAATTGTAAGTTATTTAGTGGGCAGTATTCAATTTTTTATTTGTGGAACGTTCATATTTATTTAAACTCATTTGGTTTTTGACTTGTGTATATATATATATATATATATATATATAATTTCTGCGTTCAGTTGCTCTATGCCGAGTATGCTCACTGTAGGCGCTTTTTTTTTTTTTTTTGTGGGATGTCTCAGAAGATTTTTATTGGGTTATCCATTTTTAAATTTGGTTATGCAATTTATGCTTACAGTAAATTTGATTTTTATTGGGTTTCTGTGTTTATTTTATTTTTAATTATTATTTTTGGCTTCTCAATGTCTTTAACGATTTTATTAGTTTTGAGGTTTTCTTTTTTTGTTTTTTTTTTGGGCAAGAAACTCAAACACTCACCCCATTTGTCCTACTTGAATCCTCACCTCTCACGATTCAGGATCACCTCATGTGTTGGATCCAGTATTTGTGTCATGTACAACTTACATAAAGCAATACATTGCTTACATACATCTGTTACACAACACAATACATTGGTTCCAGTGACGGACCCAGAGATTTGTATGAGAGGGGGTGGCTTTGAACAATAATAATGTATGGTGGGGTATCATTAGAAATTGAATGGGAGCATATTTAAAATTTTCACAAAAGAGTAGGGACATTTTTAAAATTTTTACAAAATCTATAGGTAATTTTGTAAATAAAAAACATTTCAGTGGGGGCGGCTGCCCCCACTGGGCCCTTGATGGGTCTGTGCCTGATTGGTTCCACACATCCTTCTTATGCAATGCAATACATCACTTACAAATCAGTGATGTAAAGTTGTTTCGTAAGCGATGTAAGGTAGTTGCATAAGCAATGTGAAATTGTTGCTGTGAAAACGATGTAGAGTTGTTGCATTGGCACAAGAGAGGATCTGGGTGAAGTTGTTGCCGAGAAAGTGATGTAAACTGTAAAGTTGATGCGTTGGCACAGTATAGGATCCAGGTTCCACCTCACTCACTTTGGGAGGTTGAGGAGATACCAGTAGACTACAACTCTTGTGGTTTTGAGTTTCTCTTTCACTCAGGTGGATTTTTTTGGGTGTATGGCCCATGTTTCTTGAAAATTTATTTTTCTGTTTTTTTTTTTTTTTTTTTTTTGTCCATTTCCTTTTTTAATCGTTTTTGTTTTTCTTTGGGTTGGTATAACAACCATTCTCCATCTGTGCTTGTTTAATTTTGTTTGTTTTAATGTTTCAAGGATTTTATTGTGGGTTTTCTCCTTTTGGTTGAGTTTTATTTTTTGCATTTTCTGTTTTTTTATTCGGTGTTTTGCACTTTGTGGTCATTATATATAATATTTTTTGAAGATTTACCTTTTTTTGTTCCTTTTTGTTGCATTGATTTTGATTTTGTCCATTAATCATTATCTGGTATTTTTAATAATTTCATTTTGTGTTCGTTTAACTTTAGTTGGGTTTTTATAAGTATTTATATGTAAAGTCATATATATAAATGCCTCTGAGTTAGAAAAGATCAGAGAAATGGCTTTTGATAGAAAATTAAATATAGTAAGAGAATTGAATTATGATAAAAAAAAAGATTGGAAAAAGAGAATCCATGTGGCTACCCTGTTTTTACGGGATGATTTATGAGGTGGTGGGATTTTTATGCACGTCAAATATATAGGAGTTAACAACCAAAATCCTCCCCAAAAGCTCAAATCTGGTATGATATAGAGAAAATAATGAATGGTGTATGGGACCTTCCCAGAAAACCAAAATTGTGAAGAATTCAACATCATCTTTTTAGTTTGTGGATTGACATCTCCACATCCTTAGAGGTGCACTAGTGTGCTGCTTCTTCTCGAGGGAACGCCCAAGGCACAAAGTAGATGTTGATCATACCCAATTTACCCTTTTTCTCAGGAATCCCCCATCTATTACCCTGGGAACTTCAGACTTGAACTCGGCATAACCCACATCACCCTACTGGATCTCAATCTAACACTGATTAGTAGACTCTTCTTCCACTTGACACATGGAAGACCAATTTGATAGCAGTTCTCCCTCTGTCCCTCATCCCTAGTTGCCTCCTAAGTCCCAAGTCCAAACTAAAATGGTAACTTTGGAAGGCAATTTGATGCAGCAATCACTCTTCCATGGGAACCACGATCCGTCCTCTCCATAAAGTTATCATGAAAAGACCTCACCCTGAGCGTGCCAGGTCTGTCAAACTACCATCTCAAGGAGTATGAGTATATGCTTCCTTTGAAAGTAGAAGCACCATAAAGCCTCTTGCAGAAAGCACCCATTGCTTTAAATGCTCATTATTTAAGGATCAGTAAATTGGGGCTCCGAAACAAGTTAACAACTCAATCCTTTTTTTTCATCTATAGAGAAGAGAGCCGGAAAAATATTCCTAATGTTTTAGTTGAGTTTGAATTTTGAGATTTACTTTTTTAATTAGTGAGTTCTGTCTTATGGGTCAGTTTCAAATGCCTTTGAAAATTTCACTGAATTATTTCATCTTTTGACTTGAGTTTGATGTGGGGTTCCTATTGGTATTCTTTCTCTATTGTTTGATGGACATTGTGTAATTTGAGTCTGCATTGTATGTATTTGAAGTTCTCAATTTTCATTCTCTAGTGCCAGGAGGTAGATTCCACATAATAACGCTATGCATAGATTATCAAATACGAACAATTGTAATTCATATGCTGGTAGTTGTTTAACACTGCACCACATGAAGGTTAATCCTAGCACAGGAGACGCATAGAAGATAATTCTCCCAGAGCTCACATAGTTGCATTGAGATGAGCTTTTTGTCGGTTAATAGAGAAGATTTATCTCTATAAGGTTGAAGGAGCCCTTCAGAAGTAAATATTGGATGTGTTGTGTTCTCTGGTTGCAGTAGAGCCTTTTAAGTGTGGATGGATCAAGAATGAGTCTCTATAGAAAATAAAAAGCAATTTATTTATATTGTTTTTGTGGATTGTTTTTGGAGGACGTCTCATGATTTATTTCTTGTTCAATCCAATTTGCTTCTAACTTTTCTGAAGATCAGTTGTTGCTTTGTTTTGTTTCCTAAAATTGAGTCTAATTTCTTACTTTTCAAAAGAAAAGAAAAGAAAAGAAAAGAAAAAGAAAAAAAAAAAAGAGTCTAATTTCCATCATTTTCTTGTTTTTTAATTGAGTTTCTTGATGTTATAAGCTCAGTATTATTTTGTAGTTCTTATTTATTTATATTTTATTAGAGTTTTTTTCCCTTATAATTTATATTTCTCTTGAGTTGTATATTCTAGTGCCTTGATGCTGTGTTCTTTGTTGTTCAATTTCTTTTCACATTTATGTTTTTTGGTTATCAAAGTTGGATTCCTCTTTATGCTCAAATTTTTTTATTTATTTTTTTTACAAGTGCTCCATATAATTTCATTGGTAAATGGCAAGTTATCAAGTTCTCTAATTTGTTGGTCGCTCTGATGTTGCGACTGTTTTAGAATTTCAGTCCACATTTCCCCCACCCAATTTTCTTATCAAAGTAGGATTCCCCTTCTGTTTAGGTTTTTATTTTGTTTTATATAATATTCCTTGTTTAATCTTTTACCAATGCTCAATGTAATTTAATTGGTAAATGGCAAGTTATCAAAAGCTCTAATTTGCTGGTCATTTTTGTCCATTCTCTTTCATTTTGACTTGCAGATTAAGTCCTAGATGCTTTCTTGGTATTTGGTGTTTTCAATTTGGTTTCTTTCCAAATGGCGCTTTTGATATTTAATGGGTTTAAAATCTGTGCCAAATCTGATGTGGATTGAGAGTTATCCATTTCAATTTTGTATTACGAATTTGATTAATTTGGCATTGTATGCTTTTTTTCTTATTTTATTATATTTTTTGTTTAAAATGTGGAAAATTTTGATTCCATCTGAGTTTATCAGGTTGTTTAAATTATTTTGTTAAAGGTGCGCGCCTAGGCTCCAGGCTCATACAGGCGCAACACTTGCGTTTGTTGTATGCCCAAGTGCGCATTTGACAACATTTGCGCCTTTAATATGGAATATGAATATGCTTTAATAGTAATTTAATTTTTCAATTGCGTGCCTCGTTTCGCTCAGGCGCACTCCTCGGTCGCCTACGACTCCAAAGGACCTCTAGTGCCCCTTGTGCCTTTGATAACACTGTATTGTACATGATGACGGTATAAATTATTTGCAGGGTGCTGGTTTGGAAAATCTTGGCAATACTTGTTTTCTCAATTCAGTACTACAATGTCTTACTTACACAGAACCTTTAGCCGCATATCTACAAAGCGGGAAGCATCAAATTTCTTGTGAGTCTCTTTCTTACTCTCAGTGTGTGTGTGTGTGTGTATGCTGTGTACAATTGGAAGGAGAAACTGTAGAAAGAATGTTGGTATACTTATTTATATTCAAAACATACTCAATTTAGTGCCTATTTTTCTCTTACTCCATTTCGTTTAACTGCCCAAAGAGGATAAGTGATCTATTATATTTATAAAGAGGCTAAGGATTATTTCGAAATGGGACTAACTATCACTGACACTCCCTTCTAGTTTCTTGTACCCCACATAGGGAGTGTTTGAAAATTCCATAGTATGTAAGAATTGGTGTCGCAAACTGTAAGAGTGAAGTTTCTAGTGAGGCTACAATTATAAATATATCTATATATATATATATGTATAAATATATTTATATGCATTTATGTTCTTTTGATTCCCTCTATGCCAGTCCTTAATTTTAGAACTTCTATTTGTGTTGAAAACAATGGTGTTTTTCTTCATTATAACTTTTTTTTCTTTTCAAAATTGATTCTTGAAGGTCGCACTGCTGGGTTTTGTGCCTTATGTGCCATCCAGAAACATGTTAGCCGTGCCCTACAAGCAACTGGGAGAATCCTAGCACCTAAGGACCTTGTTTCCAACTTGCGGTGTATCCTTTTAATGTTTATGGTGAACCATTTTCTTAAATTTCAGTTAAAGATTCTCCATAGTTTTCTTTTTTTAACTGTTTGCTTTATCTATGGGAATCTTTTATTATTTCTTCTATAATTGCAAAAAAGGGGTTTTTTTTTTGGGTTTTTATTGCAATGAAACTAAGGATGTTTTCTTAAGTTTTTATGTAATGGCCAAATATACCAACTGCCTCTCCTGCGCAAATATGTATATATCTTTATGTTGGATAAAATACACTGACCTCCCATGAGGTTAAGTGAAATTATACTCGGCATGAAATTCTGAAAAAGTAGCACTGTGCTCTCATGAACTTTGGCTGTGATAACGACCTCCTCTATCCAAAATGCTCTTGAGTTCCAACATACCAAAATGGCATTCAACCTATCCAGGACATTGTTACCCCTAAAATGCTATGAAATTTCCAAAAAGTCTTTGTTTATTGAAAAATTTATTGTTTTGACATTGTTCTGTTGTTGCGCACCGGGGGGGGGGGGTGGTTGGTTAACTGGAATGTGTTTATAAGAGTGGGTGTGTTTAGAGCCTGGAAAATAATCAGAGGTGGTGGGCCGGTGGCGGCAGCGGGAGGAGGTGATGGTGAGGTGGCAGTTGTGGTAAGAGGTGGAGAAGAAAGAAAATAGGTGGTCGTGGCTGTAGAGATGGTGATGGAAGTTGTGGGAGGGTGGCATCGGTGGGTGGTGAAAGGGAGATAGAGAATGCAGAGGGGTAATAATAGAGAAAGGAAGGGGAGGCTTAAAATTATGATGGGGCAAAATTGTCATTTTATATTGCAATAACATTAAAATATGAAGGGTATTAAGGACATTTCACATACTAAGTTGAAGCACGTAAGTGCAATTTTTTTTTTTCCCTTTAAAATTTTCACTTTGTGTAATTTCACTAAACCTCATGTGAGGTCAGTGTGTTTTACCCTTGCATATTTTCAAGTTTTCACATATTGGGCAGTGTGAGTAGCCATTCCCTAGTAAGTGCTTATTTTAGGAATAAATTATTATTATTATTTTTTCTTTTTTCATGGATTAAAGATCCACTAAGAATCAATGGTTAAGTTTAGTATATTATTGATATATATATATTTATATATATTTGTACATATATATATTATGCAGGGCATTTTCTTATTTTTATGGTAGAGTTTGGAACACTTGACTATATAATTAGGCGTATCCAGGAACTTCCGAAATGCTAGACAAGAGGATGCTCATGAGTATATGGTAAATTTGCTGGAGTCGATGCACAAATGTTCCTTGCCTTCAGGAGTGCCAAGCGAATCACCAGGTGCTTACAAGAAAAGTCTGGTGCACAAGATCTTTGGTGGTAGACTCTGTAGTCAGGTAACTGTTTCTTGCCTGTATGGTATATGTTGCCTTTGGCAATGACTCAGAATTTGCTTGCGGTACTTTGAAATTTCCTAGGATCCGATTCCCAAACCTTTCACTTCTGATGGTTCCCCCCATATTTTTTAAAGGTGAAATGCATGCAATGTTCCTTCTGCTCCAACAAGTTCGATCCATTTTTAGATTTAAGCCTTGAAATTGCCAAGGCGGATTCATTGTATAAGGCACTTGCACACTTCACCGCCAAAGAGCAGTTAGATGGAGGGGAGAGGCAGTACCAGTGCCAGAAGTGCAAGCAGAAAGTGAAGGCAATCAAACAGCTTACAGTTTACGAGGCACCTTATGTTCTTGCTTTCCACCTAAAGCGGTTTGGTTCATATGTATCTGGACAGAAGATCGACAAGAAAGTTGAGTTTGGTCCCACATTTGACCTAAAACCTTTTGTCACTGGTCCTTATGTAAGTTGAATTTTTACTAATACCAGTTTCATTTCTACTAGAACATATAGGTTGACTGTGCGACACTATTTTTCAAAGCATAAAAGATTTTAAAATTTAGAATTTCTGTTACAAACAAAATTGAAATTTTAATCGAGATGTACCACTTTCACTCATGTTCCATATCTTCATTGAATTTGTGCTGTATATTCTGTTTTTGACCTTAATTAAGAGTGGTTGAATTCATTGTTTAATTGCTGCCGGGGAAAAACTATTTAAGAAATGTATAGCTGCTTAAACGGAAAAATGGCCTGAGAAGTTATTTTTTAGCTTCATCACTACTTCTATTTTGTTTGTTTGTTTGTTTGTTTGTTTGTTTTTAAAATGAGGGTAAGGGGAATCAAATGGGGAACACCGAGGTCTGAGTGGAATAGTTAATAGTTTTCACCTTATTAGGCCTTTCTAGGCACTTAAATCTGGATTCTTTTTGTTGTTTTTCTCAAGTTTCCATAACAATTTTCCTCGTCATTTTGCATACTGTTTATCCTTATTTTTTCAGATCTATATATAATTTGTCGAACATATTACAATTCCAAAGTTTCCAATAGGGAATGCACGTCAAAAGGAAAGGTAAATCATTGCTACCAATTTTGTTAATTGTATGTCAAGTAATGTAATTAGGGGTTCACAAGCATATGGTATGGTAGTGGTATGCTGAGTCTTAGATGGTAGATTTTTTAGGCTGAGAACTGAGCCTAATATATTGTCACTCTGTCCTACTAAAAATTGCTAATAAATCAGATTAGCTCTCTGTCAGATTCTTGCAATTAGCCTAGTGGTTAAAATATTATAAGGACATTGTAAGGGTCTGACAACTCTCCGTGTCTTTAGATGCTTGGTAGATTTACAGTGTTATTTTAAAATTTTCTATGTGCTTCCACTTCTGATTACGATGATTATTATTTTTCTCATTATCTCATAAATGGCAGGATGGAGATCTTAAGTACACTCTTTATGGTGTTTTGGTTCATGCTGGTTGGAGTACCCACTCTGGTCACTATTACTGCTTTGTTCGCACATCAAGTGGCATGTGGTACTACCTTGATGACAATAAGGTACTAAAATTAATTTCATTTTCTTTTTATTCTACCATTATCCACGGGTATTTTCCAGGAGTTGTTTTGGCACACATTCTAGTCCATTTTATATCAATAATTTTGTTTATTTTTTGTCTTTATCTTCTTTGAAGATAATTTCTATTTTTATTTCATGTAATACTTATTATGGTTTTTCAATTGTCTGTTCAGAAGATCCAAAAGGATCTCTAACTTTTAGGATTTCAATAATTATCTTAAATTTTGGTTAATCATTCAGACCCGGTACTTTAAATCCCCCACAAGTTTTGACATTTCGATAACTCTTGAAGTGTCACGTACCTACATCAAGTCCCCTAGGGCTTTAGATATAATGCCGGGCTCTAAAATTGGCTATTATATGAACCTTCCATTGAGCTAAAATACATCTATGGTGTGCATGGGACTGTGACCAGAGCATTGGCAAACTATACAGGATGTAGTGCAGTGTCAAAACTTTGTGGCTAGTCCAAGAAATTATGCGAAGCCATTTCAATGTTTGAGTGAGTGGCAGTACTTCAAATTTGTATCATCATTTTTGGCGAGGGCTAAGCTTTTTGTGACGTCTCTTTTTATAATGATATCATTATTACTGTACTTATCCCTTAAAATGCTATATAGACCAAAGGATGGTAGATATTCTTTTCCCATGTTTGCTTATTTTTTCTGATCTCTAGAACCTTAATTATCATGTTGCCTGGATATATATAACCTGGTGGGTTTAAACTGCCATATTGCTTCCATATATGGTTTGGAAAGACAATAGACTACCATGTTGACCAATATGTAGTTAACCCAATGTGCATATACTTGTTCCATAGTTAGTTCAATTGTTATGCAGATTACTTTATTAGACCCCGTATTATGCTGTTGCCTTTTTGAGAACTTTAGAATCCAAAAATTTCATGTTTCCTTCAAATATGGTTTGTATGGATCATAGGCTTCAACGTTGCTTTGTACTTAGCTGCTTTGATTCATGACTAATTTGGAAGTTTGAAGACTCGGTTGTTGATGTGGATTTGGTGTAACAGATGCGGGGCTGTATGGGGTGTAATTTAACGGAATCAGTTATCATTGTGGAATCGTTTATTATAATAGTGCTACCTGCCGCATAGTTTACCATTAAAATTATTTTCTGTCCTATGTGAAAAAACAGTTATTGTATGCATGACTTGTGGTGATCATGTTTACAATGTCAATTTTTCTTAAAGATAAAAAGGTTGAACACTTTGAGCCTCGCTCATATTGTTTCTAGCTAGGATTCAGGGGTGGACCCTGAAACTTCTGTTCCTATTAACTGATGTGTGTGTATTAATATATTATAACGGGCTTAAATTTTCTATTCAGATTTGGGATTTGTTTCAACTGGATTAAAGGGCCCAAGTTGACATATTTTACAGTCTTGGGGTTGGAGGCCAATAAAATACGCTATGGACTTGTGCTTTGGGTGTTTGGGGGGGGGGGGGGGGGGTGGCAATTCATATTTTTGTATCAAACTACTACAAATAAAGGCCTATAACTAAAGGGCTTTTGAATTTTTTTTGGGTACCATGGCCCCCCCTTGGTCCTCGTGACTGTCCGTGTCATACCCTATATTTTAGTACAGTCACTTATTTGTTATTATGATTTCATTAATGTTTATTTGAATTAATTTGTATATTCGGTTGAGTGGTGAATCAATGTTTAGAAATTTAATTACATAGGAAAGCAGGTTCATTAGGTAGAAAGTGTAAAATATCAAGGCTATATGACTTAAAGTACATGTGATGTTATTGAAGTCAGATACATATGTCCTTAGGTAATTAAGTCTCCATCTAACAGGTACACGTGTGTGTGTGTGTGCGCGCGTGTGTGTATATATATATATATTCTATGTGAACATATTTCTAATGGTTAGATTACCTGGTGCTAATGTTCATGTAATATGTAGTGGTTATGAGATTGGGAAAAAAAAGAAAAAGAAATTACACCTATTTATTTAATACCAACAATTTGACTGAGATAGTGTTGTAGATAGAGCCAAGAATGGAAAATTAGTATTCTTCTAGTAACCTTGTTGTGGTTGAATAAGGATTGCTGAGTTGTTTATTGCTACAAGGAAACTAAGGATAACCTTTCTAAAAAAATATCACAATGTCAACTCATATCGCAATATTACACCTAGGAAAAAAAAGGGTGTTTTTTTGGGGGCTTCCCCTATACTCAGAGACCGAACCCAGTAGAGCGTGAAAACAGCAAAGAAAAGAGAACCCTATACTCAGAGACCGAACCCAGTAGAGCATGAAAACAGCAAAGAAAAGAGAACCCTAGCCTCCCCTCCTTCAACTCTTCTCTCTCAAATTCAAGGCAAAGAAGAGGGAATTTGTCAAGGGTCCAAGAACGGAAAATATTTATCTCGACAGTCTCTATGAGACTGAGGTTCGAAAAGCTCGAATTGAAGGGGTTTTGATAATTGAGTGTTTCGAGTTTAGCACTAGAGGTAGGGGTGGTATACTAACCCTAATAACCCATAATTATATGATTTGTCGTTCCTTGTATTTCTTATATACCACATATGATGGAAGTTTTTAATTATTCCTCATATATTTGGTTGGGTCTTGGTCTGGTTGAATTGTTTTTAAAGTGAGGTTATTTTGCCTTTTAATTTGTGATCTGTATTGATTCTTTTGAGGAATTACTTCCCTTACGGATTTATCTAATATGATACAAAACAGGTTGTCCAAGTTAATGAGAGGAAGGTTTTGGAGCAGAAGGCCTACATGTTGTTCTATTTCCGAGATAGGAAAAATTTTGCTCCAAAGAAGCCTGTCAATATTGTCCAAAAAGATAACTTGCCCATGAATGCCATTGGAAATAAAGCACATTCAAGTTCGAGCAAGAATTTGAAGGAAATGATTCATAACATTCCAATTGAGAAAAAGTTAAATGGTGCAGTTTCTTCTGCTTCTGTAGACCAAAGGGGTGCACTAAATGCATGTGCAGCAAAAGTGACCATGGAGAAAGAAGCATCTGTTCAAAAAATTAATGGCCCGATGATGACAGAATGCAACAAGGACACTTCATTAGAATCTTCAACTAATCTGCTACCATTGAAGGATCCAGAGAAGGAGCTTCCTGTTTTGAACCTGAGTGGTGGAGATTGCTTGCCAACATCAGCTCCATCTGTTAGGGGCTATAGAGAGACACTTAAACTTGATAAAGCAATGATCACAACAACTGCTGGTGAAGTTAGTGACAGCAATCATGACAGAAGTACAAAGAAAGATCTGAATAATTCTGTTGCCTCACCACCCAACTACAGTGGCCACCATAACCCTTATACCAAGAGAGATTTGACGGACTCAGTTGCCATGCCTCCCAACAGCAATGAAGACAGAAGTACCAAGAAAGATCTAAGTGGCTCGGTTGCTATACCAAGTAACTGCAATGGCACATATTTATCTGCTGGAGATATCTGTATCACAGAGGAGACCCAGTCTCAGAAGGTATCCAGATAATTTAAGTTCAGGATGAGGCTCCAGTGTCTTCGTTTCTGCCTGGGGTTGTAAATTTCACTTCCCTTTTTCTTTTATATAACATGTTCTCTCTTTTATCCGTCCAGAGTGATAATAATGCTTCATTGCGGGATCCTAGTAAGAAAAATTTCCTTGTGAGGTCACTAAATTTGACAGGCAATGAAGATAGTCGGGTGAGTATCTTTATTCTTGTAATACCTTGAACTTCAATTTTAATTGCTTGGTCAAATCTTAAATTCTTCAATTTTCTTCCTTCTGTTTCTCTTGTTTACTTTTGCTCCCAAGACTGGAGGAGGTTTTCCTAAGCAGAGTGCTGTCAGCGGTCCCCGAAGTGAAAAGGATGGTGATATTGGTCAGAGAATGGTGGATACTAGAGCTGTAGAATTGTCAAGCTTACTAACCACAACAGCTATCTCGTTACTCAGGAAAGCTGTTGACAGCAATCCCCCCAAAAAAATAAAAAAGAAGCTCCTCAAGTGCCAGATTAAGAGCGTGCATCTTGGCTCAAACATCCTTTTTGGTGCATCCTTGAGCCTACGGAAGAAAAACAGCCATAAACGAAGCAAACGGCGTCATTTAAAGGTCAAGAATCTCACTCAGAATCACTTTTTGGATGTAAATTGTTTCCCAGCAGATCTTGGCCCATCTACGTCTGAGAAAGCCAGGACAATATGCCTTGCTGGCTCAACTCCCCCTCGAAGAAAAAAGATGAAATCCAGATCAAATATGAGAGATGATGGTGCTGTTGTAAAGAATGACGCAAACTGTTATGGTGATATATCAATGAGTCTCGTTGATGAAGAATTTAGAAAGACAGTTGGTCATTGTGGCAATATGCTTGCAACTGATGAGCAACCTAAAAAATATTCAAGCTCTGCTTCAGTTGGAATCCAGTGGGACGCCAGAGGAACTAATGGATCAAACGACAGCAGAAGAGATACGACGCAGAATGCTTTTACGAGTATGCTTACCAGAGGAGTAGAGGAGACAGTTGGTAAGTGATCAATTGGATATTTCTTTCCATCTCACTGATCATTTTGTGGCACTCAAAACTTCAGGAATACTTTGAACCTTGCCTATACACCCTGGCCTTCAGCCATTCATGTGATAGAATTGCTTGATTTAATTGTCATTCTTTTTGACTAATATTATTGATTGCAGTTGCCCGTTGGGATGGGATTGAATTGCCTCGACATCAGATTACAGGATCAAGTAATCCCAAGAATGCCAGTATTGGTTACGTTGCAGATGAATGGTGAGTTGATCTATATTAAGCTATATGCATTGTTTCCTGTGGTTTAAGTTAATTAAATGTTAAACAATTGATGTGGTGGGCCATTCATTGGCAATGGCTGTGGAATGGGATGGGGGTCAGGCTACGTCAAGGGGGTGGGGTACAACCACCATGGGTAAATTCGTGCTAACCCATGACTTATGGGTGACTCGTACCCACCGCTGTAAAAGCTAAATGCATATTTTATTATTATATTGTATTGATAAATCTAAATGGTATGCATGTCTTAGCAATTAGATTCTCACCGTTTATGCTTATTCTGAAATTATTTCTGGAAAAAAATTGGGTTGTTATAGTAAGGTTCTTTATTTTGTATTATTCCACTCTTGCGAACACACTTCAAAGCTCAAGTCCATGCTGTAAATTTAGAATCAGTAGCGTTAAGAGTTCCTTAAAATTTGGATTCTGTTGAAGGCTCTAAGGAAATATAAACCTACTGACTTGATTTATTGCTGAATATCAATAACCATTGTATTTGTTTCACAAATTAAAATTTTATCCTTTTCCAAGTTGGGTGTGCTTCCTCAACCCTAACCCGGATGACACTATTCTACGTTGTGTTTTCATGAACTGAGTTGGCGGTTGTTTGCCTTGGACCAATATCATTGCTTGAAAGATCTGAAGAGCTTGTCCCATTCGCTTCCATAATCCTTATTCTAAAATGGAAAAGTAAAGCTATAGAAAAAGAGTTCTCATCTTTTTATTTGTTCTTTCTTTTGGTCCTTCCGATTATTAGCATAAAACTTCAACTTCTTATCCCCAACCTTGGACTATCATTGTTACGATTCTTGACACCTGACCTCCCCTTTGTGCAAAGCCCTTGATACCGAGGTAGATATCATTTTGTATGCTACCTGCATGCTGCAGAACTGTTATGGTCAAGTTTATGCACAACATTTTAGCTGGATTTAGTACTTGTTTTTTGTTTTTTGTTTTTATTTTTGGTTATAAAAAAGGATGGGAGCATGTATGTGCTTGTGTTACACATTGTTAAGCCTTCCACTTTATCATATCCCCACTGATACTGAGAGATCCAGCCTGCGTTACAGTGATTTTGGTTGATGTTTTACTCTTTGTGCACTATAGATAAATTGCAGTCTCTGAACACATACATAATTGTCAAATTCAACAGGGATGAAGAGTATGACCGAGGAAAGAGGAAGAAGATAAGGAGCTCCAAGAATGACTTTAGTGGGCCAAATCTATTCCAAGAAATTGCAAGTAAGAAGGCAAAATTAAATAAAGCAAAGATGGATCAGTCGAGCTCTGGAAACAGACCATTCAGGATATGATAGGAATATCACGGAGATAGCCAGGATTGTTGGCCAAGTGTTATATTTTTGTAGCAATTATTATTGTCGTGCTAAGCTGAGCTGAGATTGTATCAAGGGCTTGCTTTAGAAGCAATCAGACTTTGAGGATTTTTCTTTCGCAATATATTTTCTTGGTTTTATTTATTTGGGGATCCATTGATTTTGTTCGAAAACTGTATAAGCTGTGAGAGCTTTGTTGTTTGATTAATGTATTGTGCTCTACTACTTAATGAAATGAGACTTGTTTTTCTTTCTTTATGAGACGAGGGTTGAATCTTGGCCTTTACTACACAGTAAGGCACTATTTCATTAACTGATGGTTGAATTTGAACTTAATTCTCATCCTCACAGCTAATGAAGTCTTCTAATTCAAAACTGGTTCTTGTGCCCCCTGTGTTGGCGTGTTTAAAAGGAGTTGGTACCATCTCTAGCACATGATTTTTAACTTTCATGAACCTGACCAAGTTTAATCATAAGCAAACGAGACAACGCCTAGGCCTTGATTTTTCAGAATACATCATCACCCGTGTTGACGTGCAGGCTATAGTTCTTAGAAACTTAAAATATAGAGTTTAATTCATAAAATTGCACTGATAAATTTGAAGAAGGAAAAGAGAGAGAAGGAAAAAGAAGAAAGAAAATAAGGGAGTAGCTGCAAAGTGTAGTGATTTTCTTTGATCGGTGTGGCCTGTTTGGCTGCTTTCAGCTTTGGAGGCTGATTTGTCTGTTGTTGTGGCAGCCGTTGGTGCTGCTTTTGTTGTAGTCTTTGTTTCTTTGAGAAAAAAAAAAAAAAAAAAATTGGTGTTGAGATTGAGAACCCATTGGGTCCCCCACGCAAGCATCAGAAAACTATTCTGGTAAGTAGCTTCGACTACTCCACAACTCTGAAAATGAAACAGGTGATTTACATTTGGAATTTGTTCAAAATTGTACTAACTTTATTTATACACCAATTCCGCAATGGCTATTGCTAGGTGCTTTCTCGCGCACACCAGTTGCAAACATATTCACTTTCCCATGGATGTCAATCTCTGCAAATTGGAGGTGCCACTCTTCTTCATCATCTGCGACACGGTCTCTGAACTTGAACCCTAACGAGAATTGGTGACTCGGCCGTGTATGTCCCTCCGGACTAAGTGACCTTCTAAATTGGCTTTTCCGAGACTTCTGAGAGGTCAGAAAGATTCTGTGATTTTTATGCATACATACGCGCGCACATTTATGTATTTATGCGAATTGATTGGTTTGTGGATGATTGTTCTTTGTTTATTTCTTGTTTCACAATTGTTCTTGTGGATCATATATATATATATATATATATTTCAAGACTTTAAGACATGGATACAGTTTTTTGTGCTTATGAATTGGGTATTGCAAGATATTAATATTAATATTCAATCAAACAGGCACAGTTATAGGTATCCGTTAGGAAATTACAGTAGCAAAAGAATCTAATAGGTCGTGATAATTCAGTGCTGTTGTAATCCTAAAAAACATCCAAAATTTTCCACCTAGATAGGTGTCTAGAAGCAACCCATTCCATTTCCGAGTGATATATGCATTACCCAGGTTCAACCGAACATTAGGAATGCAAAGCGATAATCACAGTCAAGCAACATATAATCCTTGAAAAAGAAAAAATTGAAAATGAAAAAGAAAAAGGAACAAAAACACATAACCCTTGAACTTGAGAGGATCCATTAGATAGAAAATGATGGTATAGTGACAAATTAAAGTCACAGTGTTACACAATAAGGGTCCGTTTGGTTAGATGGAATTCAACAATGGAAAGTGAAGTGGAAATTAGCAATGGAAAGTGAAAGAGAAGGAAAGGAAAATCAATTTTCTAGCATGCATTTGTTTAGCATGAAATTTTTTCAGGAAAGTTGTGTGAGAAAATTAGCATGATCCCTTGGTTCTTTTTTTTTAAAAAAAAACAATAATAATAATTGTGTTTGCCCCAGTTTTCTGGTCCCTTGGATTTGGTATATTCCTCCATGTTTGTGGTTTATATCAAAATTTGGGAAGAGAATGACAGGTTAGCTTAAGGATTACAAATTAGCCTTTAAAGTTCATTCAGTCTTTGAAACTTATTCACCAACTTGGTAATAGTTAAAGAGAAGATATTTAGCTCCGAATGACAAAATTGCAACCATGGGCTTTGTAGCCCAGTGGTTCATGATGGAAGTTTCCATGTGGCACATGCGGGGTTCAAGTCCGAAGAAGCAGTTATCCTTGGACTATGCTATGGCTTCTGACACATGATGAATGATGACCCCCCCGACCCCTGAAAAAATAAATACAACAACAAACTGGTGAGATTTATTTAGAACACGATACGCACTTGCTTGCTATTGTGTAGTAAGTAATACAAAGTATGATACAATGTGTGATTCCCTAAAAACTCTACTAGGCACATATAGATTATTACTTTACTAGGTACACTTGATCATCTACCAGCTGTACTCTGTAGTACCTATCAGCCCGTCTCATTTACTACTGTCCTCTCGATGGCTTAATTTTGGGGTGTACAGCTCTAGTTGGATACATACGTCCCAACATACCCAAATCCTATTATGAAGAAAGCTCCTGCTTGCAGTAATAGATATATGAAGAAATGATCTTTCCCAAAGAGGAGGTTATAGATAGCACAATGCAGCATAAACATTCCCATTACCAGCTCCATGATGTGGATCCTGTTTGTAAAATCAGTGTTAGAATTACACGTTTGATGATTCAACAAAGTGCCGTACTTAATTTTCAGAGTGCCATTTTGTTTTTCTTTATTTCACCTACCAATTTTTCATCCACCGAAGGCATTGTCAAGTGAAAGATAATATATCTATGTTATGAGAAGTACCTTTCTCCAATGCATGATCGTGGTCTCTTTGATGCTTTAGCATTGTACTTCTGTTTCATGGTGTTCCCTAGCTTCTCAGTCACGACCCATTCATTAACTCGGTTAGCTTCTAGAAGTCCTATAATCGCCGCCTTAGATCGATGTAGAGACATGACATTCTCAAACAGGATCCAGAAGACAAGAAGATGCAAAGACCTGTGTCCATGTGGGAGAGAGATATCCGCTATAATTTTACTTCATTTTGAAAAATCTAAAAGAATAGATGAAGAGGTCTTTATGTTGCTATATTTGGATTTTTAAATACCTTGGAGTGCAGAGCGCATTTAAAATGGTGATGGTTGCTGGAATGTATATGGCTATTGCCTTTGGGAGATGGACTTCAGGAACTAAGACACTTGCTGGAACAATTACGCAGTAAAATATAAAAGTGACCCAATGCGCTACTATCTTCCTCACGAAGAGGAATGCATATATGACGTGAAATTTCTTCCAGATTGACACCCTCTGCATAGGATAATAATGATATTATATGATTTTCCTCTGAAAGAATTCTGGAATTCAAATCCATTCAATTTTTTCAGTTCTACCCAAGATAAGGCAGAAGATTCTACTTTCTTTACCTCAGAAAGGATGATCTCTTTGGTCATTTTCCTGAAGAGATTGGCTGGGCCACATGACCAGCGATGCTGCTGATATCGATAAGCTTTAAATGTGCTTGGGAGTTCATTTTTTACCTGTAAAGTAAATTTTTTTGGTGTTTGGTTTACTGATACTTGTAGACATAGCAGAAAATGTGAATTGGGAATAAGAACATAAAACTCACAGCTAAGTCCCCCACAAAGACAAATTTCCAACCCTTGAGGCTAGCCCTGACTGCAAGATCCATGTCTTCTACTGTTGTTCGGTCTTTCCATCCACCAGCATCATTCACTGCTTGAATCCGCCAAACACCAGCAGTCCCTACAAATGTAATCAGGTAGAGTGTTGCAAATTATGTTATCTACAAGTGGTTTCCGACTAGTTACCATACAGAAATTTTTTGTCTCGGATTCAATATCTAATATAGTTTACCATTGAACCCAAAGAATGAACATGTTGAGGAGCCAACTTCTTGCTCAACGCTGAAGTGATAATCTAGTGACATCTCTTGGAGCCGAGTCATCAGACATTCATCCGCATTCACTGCAGAAAGTAATTTAATAAATTACCAAGCAAATAAGCAAATCACAAGTAAACAAACATGCTATATGACGTGCATGGATCGCACACATGAAAGCTAATTCGATCAAACAATTGTAGCAATGATATTCACATTCCTCCAATCCATACCATTTCCCACAAGTATGAGTCGTCAACAAAGATTTGAAGGTCATGATAAATATAGTAGGTGAAGAGACAGTTGTAATGTGAACGTAACTACGTAACACTGTTATAGGCCCTACCAAATTTCCACCTGGCCTGAACCAAGCCCAACTCTGGGTTCTCAAGAAGATAAGGAATGGTCCTCCAAAGAAAATTTTCTTCAGGCTGGAAATCTGCATCGAAGATGGCTACAAACTCGCAATCTTTCACATACTGCTTCTTTAGACCTTCGCGAAGAGCGCCGGCCTTGTACCCGTTTCTGTTGTTCCTCATCTCGTACTTCACGTTTACCCCCTTCTCTAGCCATTTTTGACACTCCAACTCCACCAATGCCTGCATATGCACATACATGAAATTTATGCAAATCACATGTCCATAACAGAGTTCACTAGAGTTTATTGAGTTCAAAGAGATACCTTTAGGGCTTTGTTGGTAGAGTCATCAAGAACCTGAACAATGAGACGGTCTGATGGCCAGTGAAGCCCACATGCAGTTTTAATGGAGAGCTTGTAAACCTAAAGAAGGCAAATAAGAAGAAATTTGTATTATTTGAAGGTTGTGTTGGCTTAGAAGTTCCTAGGTAGTCATGCCAGTGTACTGGGATTAAATCTCACCCTCACTAGGATTGGGATTGGTTTATGAGTTTGGGGGAGGGCTTCCCTTTGTTGACCCCAATCCCAATGCCATCTTTCGGGGGAAAATGGGAAAAGGAGAAGAAGAAAAGGGAAGTGTAGGTTGTACCTTTGTGTACCACAATCCCAATGCCACCGTTGGGGGGAAAATGGAAAAAGGAAAAGAAGAAAAGGGAAGTGTTGGTTGTTTTCTTTTCTAAATTTAATTTTTAAAAGATCTATTATAAATAAGTCATGTCATTATGGTCATCACAGATATGATCACCAGTGTAGATGTGCAATACTAACGAACACACTTTGCATTAGCTAGGCCAGGTTGGCCGCAAGCTGATATGTCTGTTATAAGAAATGGACAGTTCTGATGAGAGATGACATGAAAGTTTACCACCAACTCGCATTTTTATAGTTTTTGTTGATTAGCTAAGATAAAGCTCTTAACAATTATATCGCATGACATGTCAAATAGATTTTTTTGTGTTCTGTTTGTTTTTTCATTTGTAATATGTGAAAAAAATATATGTATTTAGAGCAAAGATTAGATCATGACAACTAATATTGGAAGGTCTGTATTGGTGTTATCTGGCTGGTGGTGGTTAATGTTCAAAATAGAGGTGTCACAATTCCAGCCCATACCCCTAGATATGGAAATCCTAAAAGCTTGAAAACACCATCTAGATATATATATATATATATGTGTTATGTTGACACTAATATGACCAACATCATTTAGTAGAATTTGTAGAGACACTTTTGTTTTTTTGAAACACAAACAATAGTTTAAAGTAATAAGTGATTTATGAGTATAATCTCACTAAACTACAGCGGGTGAGTTAAACTTTCTATATTAAAGTTCTGTAAGAGCAGCACAACCATCATCATTAACAAAGTCCAACGTATACGTGTATGAAATAGAGTGTACATGCAACAAACCAAAATGTAAACCAACCATGTGACAGAAAATGTTTTTCCGACATTGTGGCACAGGTTGAACAAGTTAATTTCATTGTTCTACTTGCTCTACTGTGTCATATGTTACAAGTTACAAAAAATGCATGTGCACATTCACATTAAGACACTCAACATCAAGAGCCTTGTAGCATTCACTTTTAAAATCTGATTTGAGTCATTTGACACCCACAGAATCAGGAATAATTGATTTGACTTTTTTTTTCCTGGCAATTGACTCCCACAATGCACTTGGGGAGACTCAAACAATTGATTGATTGTCAATTAATGAACACTAATAAAATCCTTGTTGACAGGAAAACACAATCATTAAGTGTTCTCCTTTTGAACGCTTTCTAATACATTTTTACTTATCAAAAAAAAAAAAAAAAAAGACAATCATTAAGAATTATTAATCATTCACTGAATGAAAAAATGTCCATGATATTATGCGAGTATAAAAATGAAATGCATAGATCTTTTTGGATGGTAAATGGTGATGCTTTTTTTTCTTCCTTAAATGTAAATAGTGATGCTTCATACATGTCAAGATGATAACTGTGCACTGTGTATATATTCTATATATAGAACTATGCATATGATGATGTGGACTAAAATTTTGTATATATACCTCCTTTTCATTATACATGGGTATTTGAATCAGCACCATGGGACAGCTTTTGTTTTTCTCTAGACCATCTTTCATGGCTTCCAACTTATACTTGGTATATCTTTTCTTCCCCAACAGTTTTACGCAAATGATTACAATTGCCATGTAAACCCTTTCTACAAAAAGCATAATAGACATCCCTGCACATAAGTAAACTGCCACGCCTAGAAGTGGAACTACCACAGGAACCCGAATACACTGCCAAGCATCGCTGAGACTACCTGTTACATCACCGGTCAGTTTCAACTCAGGCTTTCGAGGAACTAAACTTCTCATGGTCACTAGCTTATGTTACATAACAAATAACCCAAATTAAAAGCATAAAAGAAAAAGAGAGGTAACAAATTGATGCGCGTAAGAGATGAGGCAACCACTTAATGTACATAAAGTTGTTTGCAATGTGTTTTGATGCAAGTTTTCTTTAAATAGAATTAGGCCAAAACTGAAGGTTAAGAAAAAGACAGAGATTGGGGCTTAGGTGGAAGAATGTAGTACGATGAATGAACAAGGCCTTGATAGTGAGAGACACACGGACTGCATGCAAATACTACAGCTTAAATTTGCCAGCTGGAATTCTGGCCTTTCCTGCCGACACTGCAAATTGAAACTTGAAATGTCAATCTATTGAGATTAAGTCATTATTACTCTCTCCATCTATGCTTCTCTCTTCAAAATTATAATTAGCTCCAGTCTTTCTGCTTTTCATTTACCTTTTGTTCTTTCTTTGCTTTTCTACAGGATAAACAGAAAACAGAAGCATGTTACCCATGCAGAAGCTGGCCTTTCTTGTTCTGTATGCAAATGCCTAGCTATCCTGCTCTACTCTATTATTTCGGTACTTTCCTTTTCATTGGCCTAAAATTTGAAATAAATAAAATTATCAGTCACTAGCAATTAGTATCATTACATTTCTTTATTTACACCACTTATATGAATTTTAAAAAGCATAATTTAGAGTTAACTTCGAAATTACAAAATTATGTGCCATTAATTATTATTGGTACATGGTATTTGAGGATAGCAGGACTTCTTGTAGTCTATCACAGTGGACCATTTGGATGAAAACTTACTGTGGTTTCTAACGCAAGTGGTGAAGAAAGCACTAGTGAACACTTTGCAGCCACAAGAAGACAACATGATTTGGATTTTTGTCAACATGTAGGTGCAACATGTTTTGCGTGTCAAGTTGATGCCAACCTCAAGGTTTAACAACTCATCCATGTTGTCAGTTTCTCATGAGTTAATTGTCCTATTTAGAGTCATTGACACAATTAGCCGCTGCATCCAATAGGTGTACAACTTATGGTCGGGCTTATTCTTTGAGAGAGGATTGAAACGTAAGCTTATTTATGCAACTGAAATTTTATTAGCTATTTTGTATGGTTTTGAAGTTCATTTTACCCGTGAGAACGTTCAACCTTTTTTACACTTCATAATAAATTTCATGCTCACATTCTATGTTCACTCTTAACTGATGCAAAAGATAGAAGGTGTATGTGGAGACTTAATTTGTAAATATTTATACCAAAATTGGTATTTTATATTTAGCAGGGATTAGAAGTACTGGCTGCTACAAGGAGTTCTTGTGCTTTTTTATTGTTTTAGATGGTTCACTAATAACTACCATGAGAATTCTTATGACATTCACTACGTGATTTTAGAAGTGTGTTATGACTCGCTCTAACAGGTGGATGATCATGTGAGGTTTTTAACCATCTTTTCTAGCTGCTTATTTTTTTTATTTTTTATTTACTTTTTAATTACCTCCCACTATATATATATATATATATATATATATATATATTCTCTCAAAAAATAAAGAAATTGGTCAAAGAAAATTCTTAAGTGTACTTTCAAATGCCACCCGTGTGTGTGGAAGAGAAATGCGTAGTGATAAATTAGTGCTGTAGTTAAAGAAATGGAACACTAAACACCACTAGTACACGCACACACGTAAGGGGTGGGGAAAGTGATAATTAGTGCTTTTGTCTCCAAGAAGATATCTTATATATGTTTCATGTTAAACCTTTTGTTAGTAAGTCAGAACTTTGTTAACAATTTACAATTCCTAGAAAGGAATGATGAATTTTCTAGTACTGTCCTTGTTTGGTCTTATCTATAATGAAAACATATCATATTGTTGCCTTTTAGAGTTGGGAGGGCAATTTTACCTGCTTCGAGGGGTACATGCCCTGTCCTGCCCCTAATGAGAGGGGTTTGATTAAACTCTTAGTGAGGAAGGAGCGTGGTTGGGAGGTGAGTAAAAACCCTCCCCGCCTCACTTCTAACCTTCTCAAACAGTTATTACAATACGTATTCTAATCATTATTCAATTATTTGATTTTTTTTCTTCTTATTTTCGTTCATTTTCAGGATCTTTTGGACTTTTAACTACAAAATTGGGAAATTCATGCATATAATGATGCATTTATTATGTGTTTGATGGTGATTTTTTCTTTGAAAGATTACTTCGAATTAATTTAGGATTAGATTTTTTTTTTTAAGAAAAAAAAAAAAAAAAAAAAAAAAAACTTTTAAGATAACCATGTTAATTTAAAACAGTTGGTAGATATACAAATCAATTCCATATATGACTCCATAATAAATACAATCATAATCTAGTATACTTCCTCAATTCCATCAATATACTATCACTATATGTTCTAGTAATAGTTCAGTAAAATTTGCTCATATATCTTTTTTTATTTCAATATTTTTTGTGTAGATTTTTCAATCTCCAAACTCTTGGAACTCTGTAGAAGTATTATTAAATTAGAGCTAAAAAGATTCTAGTAGTATTTTTGAATGGAGGTATTACATAAAAGTATAATTAAATTAGAGCTAAAAAGATTCTAGTAGCATTTTTGAATGGAGATATCTTTTTCGTGATTGTGATGCTTCAATGCTGAGTGTTGCATAATATTTCTAGGATCTGCTTCTACTGTTGTTGCTGATAAATTGTGATAACATGGATGTACGAGTAAATGATCTCTTGCGTACCGGTTAACAAGAAATGTTCTTCACACCAAGCATGGTGGGCGTTGGATATGATTCAAATGTAAAAAGGGTAATTACCAAAAAAACATAACAATCATATCCAACGGTCAACGTGCTTGGTGTGAAATAATTTCTTGCTCACTTGTGAGCAAGGGATCATATCTGATAGATGTACTACTTGAAGCTCAAGTGAAAAAGTTGGATGAAATTGAAATAGCCAACTGTGTCGCATGATTGATCAGGTATAGAAAGCTTATATTGAACTCTAGAAATATATGCCTACATGATCAAAATCAACTCCTAGAATTACCTTTTCCTATATGTGCTGTGTTTTCCTAACATTTTATACAATTCTACATTGCTCATAATATGTTATTTGCAAATGAGGATTAATGTGTTAGGCATATGTATAGTTGATATTATCATTGTTGACTTTTGGTTGAAATAACTTGATATTGAATTTGTTGGGAGTGACTCAAAAACATGCTACTATGAAAATTTATGATTTTGAGATCAACTAATGACAGGAAGGATCGAGATAGTGTTGGGAGTGACCAAGAAACAAATGAAAATTCAAGTTTGGAGATCGAGTAATGGTGTAACGGAGAAAGAGGAGCGGCAATGTCCTTTTAAATTGCTTGAAGATCTGTTTGGAAAGAAAACAGATGTTACTTGATAGGAAAATACCCTGCACGTTAACAAAACTTGCGAAACCTTCCAACCTTGATGAAGGCAAGATTTCTTCATTGATCCATGATGAAGACAGTGTACCTGTTGTGTGTGTGTGTTTGTGTGCAAGTGTGTTGTGTGGAATTAGGTGCTTCATATTATTCTGTAATCCCAGTAAATTTATTCTACCTTCACAAACCTTGTAGATACTAAGTTTTATTTGTTAAAATCTAGGGTGGAAAATTCATCAGTTTGTGGGCTACCGCTGGAGTCCGGTTTGAAGATGATATAAAAGATTTTAGAAAATTATTAGGAATTTGTTGGCTATCAGTGGAGAGGACAATTTGTTGGTGTTATGTCTTGTAACTAATATGAGAATTTTGAAACAGTAGTAACAGTGGCAGTGTTGGCCTCTTTCTTTTGCCTTTCATGTTACTTGAGAAAGTCAATAAAAGGAGAATGTGTTTGCTGGCATGAAACAAGCTCACACACACTTTTGGCTCGGACTTTAATTTTTGACCTTCTATTTTGATAGGCAAAGCAGTATCACTATGCTACAAAGCCAAACACTAATATGGGACATTTTGAAAATTACAATATTTTATCATAAATATTGCAATCGACCAGTCATTAAAGAGAGAAGTTTGGGTCCATTATAGTGTTTTATGAATATTTATGATAATGCATGTTGCACCTTCTTGTAAAAAACATATTTTTTAATTCCCCTTATTTCTGGGCATTTGTGCTTGCGCATTTGGGATATATATATATTAAAAGTTGCAAATGAGCTGGGTCATTAATAACAAAATTTTAATGCTCATGAGGTGATATTGGCACACTCCATTTTGATAAATGCATCTTGAGGAATGTTAAACGACTGCCTTTTCACAGGGGCTCTTCTCATTGACTATTTTAACTCATTAATTATTTTTTCTTTATTCTCAAGGAAAGTGAAAAATATAACCTACTTTAAAACAAAACTCACATTTTAAAGACAAAACTACCCTTTAAATCCTTTCCTTTCTGTATACGTGTAGTATATATATATATTTTACTGTCTTTATTTATTTCCTTTTTATTTCAATTGTGGACACTAGTTATTTTTTTCCTTCCTTTTTCTCTTTATTTCCCTTTTTTTTTCTAAATTGTTTCCATTCGCCTTTTTTCCGTCCTTCCTTTCATTTTTTTTTTTTTTAAACTAGAACAAATAAGAATAGGGGAATGTTCACCAAATTTAGAAAAAAATTTAAGAACACGAGAATGTTCACCAAATTTGTTATTAAACCAGAACAATTTAGAAAAAAAAAAAAGAAAAAAAAAATGAAAGGAAGGACGGAAAAAAGGCTAATGGCAACAATTTAGGAAGGGGGGAAGGGGGGGATATATAAAAAAAGGAAGGAAAAAGTAACTAGTGGCGACAATTGAAATAAAAAGGAAAGAAATAGAGGCAGTAAAAAATATATATATACTACACGTATATGGATTGAGGGAGGAGATACAAGAAAGGTAATGAAAAATGATTTAAAGGGTAGTTTTGTTTTGGATTGAGGGATGAGATACAAGAAAGATAATGAAAAATGATTTAAAGGGTAGTTTTGTCTTTAAAATGTGAGTTTTGTTTTAAAGTAGGTTTTGAGAATAGAAAGAGTAATTAATGAGAGTAAAAGTAGCCAATGAGAAGAGCGACTGTCCTTAGCATTTCTCATGAATCTTTTTTTCTTTTTCTTAATCCATATATCAAATATTAACTCCAATAAATTCGTTAGGAACATCAATATTGTTGTTTAATTTTAAGAGTGGAGTGCTAAGTTACATAATTCGCTCAAACCACTGGCGCTCCATCGCTCCGAGCGTGAATTGGCATTTTGAGAGCGAATTTGCCAAAAATTCACGCTCTCATGTTTTTGAATTCGTGAATTCAATTTAAGAATTCGCTAATTTAATTTAAGAATTTGCTAATTTTTAAAGTTCAATTCGACAAATTGTGTAAGGTAAAATTGCATATTTTGTTCAAGAATTCGACGACTTTTGACAATAAATTCACTAATTTTGTGTGAATATTAAGAAATTTCGATTTAACCCCAACTTAAATAGACCAAATAAGGTTAATTATGTCAAAAAATAATTAATTTAATTTAATTAAATAACCTATGTCCTTTATAGGTAAAAATCAAATAATATAACAATATACTTAATATTTAATAATACTTATTTATTGGTAAAGAAATAAATGAATGAATAACTTTTCATATTTTGATTGTGATTTCTCCTGCTATTAAGTGTTGGGTTCGTGATTCTTGAACTTCTTTTACTAGTGATTGACTCTTGATTTACTCGTATAGTTTTATTCTCATTCCATCATTTCATATTCTCTCTGCTATTTCATATACTTTTCATATGCTTTTGAACATTGTTATTTCAAAGACAATGATTGTCATCTTGAGAGTTTAAAGCAGGTTAAATATATAAAAGACAATATTTTTGAACATTGCTTTTTCTATTATGCCCTTATGTTTTTATTTTTATGAAGCAGCTTATTTGATTGTCATATTTGTTAATTTATGTATTTTTATAAAGCATGTTATATCGGTTGTAATGGACTCATATTTGATTCACTATTTTATCTTTTTATTTGCATGAAATTTATTTAAAACATATATTTACTATTGTAAATTAATATTTTATATATTTATAATGCGGTGCTCTAGTAGCGCTCCCGCTCTAAGATTTTTTGGGGTATGCCGCTCCCGCTCTCGCGCTCCCGCTACAGCTCCCGCTCCCGCTGACTTAGGTGGAGTGTATTTAAAAGAAAATTAAATAAAAAAAATCCCTTTTTTAATACTCATTCATTTACTGAGCTTCGTTTTAATTCGACTCAATTATCTAGTGAGTATATTAATATTGGAATATATAATGCTCATTTGAATCATTTTACATAGGATCTCATTTGATTATTTGTTAGATAAATAAATAAATTAAGCACAAGAAGTTTGTTTATTCTTCTGAGTCAAAACGTAGCCTTTTCACAGCATGTTTGATTTAAGTAAGGGTTTAGATGAGAGGAGGGGAAAGAAAAGAAAAGGAAAGGAAAAAAAAGGAAGGGAAACTGATGGGAGAAAAAAGGAGAATGAAGGGACTTTTACCCTCCATAGTTTTTCTTGCCCATGGTTGAGTAAGAAGTTTATGCCCCACAATAAAAAATAATAAAAATAAAAATATTTGAAAGGTTATTCAGATTAAACCCAATATGATCCAAATCCCCCCCTCCCCTCCCCCCTCTCTCTCTCTCTTGCTACTCTTTTTGTCCATGGAGTAAATAAGAAGAAGATATTGGCGAAAAAAAATATTTTAAGCTAAAATTCTTAAATAAAATAATATTACAAGATACAAACAAAGCTCATAATGATGAATAGAAAGAATAATTATAAATATAATGATACATAAATATTTAATAACAATTTATCTCAGCATCAGCAAATCATCTGTAAAACCATGTAAACCAGATTTTATGTAATTATGTGTACTTTAGATAAAAATAGTAATTGATATAAGGATTACACATTAAACAATAAAAGTCAAAACTTCAGTATTAGAGCATCTCCAGCGGTATATTAAAATATCCTTTGTGTAAAATATACACTGCACCTATGATGTGTAAATTTTTTCCATCTCAAGCAGTCTATTCATCCACATTGTCACATCACCAATGTGTAAAAGGGTTGTGTAAAATACACAACTTTTTTACACGGCCAAATTAACATATTTCCTTTTTCATCCCTCTTTCTCATTCCATTAAAGAATTAACCATATATTAAGTAACTCTGTAAAAGTTATGTGAGTCCTGACATCTGTATGTAGGTCATAGCATGACACATGGTTGATTGTTTGATTGTTATTGGGACATATATTTTATTTTTACACAAAAGGTATAGAACAATTGTTGGAGCTAAAATTAAATAATTCAAAATTTTTGTGTAAATCCATCATAACACATTAGATTTACAAAAAAAAATATACAAACGGTTGGAGATGAGCATATTAGGGTTTAAGTGGAGTAGTTGAGAGAGAGTGAGAGTAAAATTATGATTTGATTAGCATCCTTTTGGGTTGACCTTGTAAGTAATCAATTTTTAATTTTTTTATTATTTTCAATTTTAGGGACACTTGTCACATTACTTTTGCGCCATATTAAGGGTAAGCATAAACTTTCTACTCACCAGTGAGTATACAGGTATTATTCTACTTTTTATACGAAAACATTTATAATTGGCGAAGTTGGGACACCAACTAAGAGATAAGGAAACTGAGAAGAGGTGTATCCCACACGCTCTCATCTTTACGATCATTGTTACAATGTCCGTAATTATAGCATTTGAATTTAATATATATATATATTACTTTCTCTATAACTCCTTATTTGTTCCTAATTATCTGTTGCTTTGTTAGTGGTAATCAGGAAAAGAATTATCTGATACAATTTATACTTAAGTGTGCAACAATGTCACCTATTACTTAGAAAATGTAATAAACTATATGTACCATACTCTTTTTTAAATATGCAACACTCCTATAAAATTGTATTTGAAAAAAACCATTGCAAGACTATTGAATCAAGAATGTAACAGATTTACACTGCAATATCAATTTAATGATACTATAATTTGATTTAATGTTCTTGTCGTTTCTTTCCTAACCTATGGCACATAATGTTACAATTTGCAAATTCTTCCCACATGACTGCAGTGTTCTTTTCCTTATTGTTTGGCGGGAAGAACATTTGTTGACTCTAAAGATTTTGAGAAAAAAATAATTTGTAAATGATATTTCCCTATAATTTTCTGATATTTTTCATGACAACCAAATCTTGCAAGAAAATATATTTACTTTATTCACTTATTATTTTATTTATTTATTTTATTTTTCAATATTATTTTTCAATCCAACCAGACAGAAAAAATTGGAGATATGAGATTATGAGAAATAATTAAAAAAAAAGTTTTATATTTTCCAATAAAAAAATAAAAAAATATACAAAACCCTCACTCATCTAAGAGCTCGGTCCAGGTTATATTTTTCAGCCACACCCCCATTTGTTAGATGAACATGTTTTCACAGACACACGGTCCCTCCTCTTCACGTAGAGAGAATAACAACAACGTCCTGCAATTACGAAACTTCCGCTTCTCAGTGCAGTCTTCATCTTCTAGAGAGAGAAGAATAAATTTTAGAGAGAGAAAAATTTGACAAAAAAGTTTTATTCCTGCCCATCGATCCCCTTTCATGCCCAAACCCTTAAACAGTTGTTTTATTGAAAACCCAAATCTCAATTTGTCGAGTTTTGATCTGGGTTTGCGTCCAATTCAAAGATTTTTGATGATCATTGGTGGGTTTTAGTGGGGATGGTGACAGGTGGAAATCATCAAGAAGGGGGTGGGGACAAGAACCCTCCGGCCCCTTCAAGGGGAGGAGCTACCAGGTCGTGGGGCACCACCCTTTCGGGCCAATCGGTGTCGACCAGCGGCAGCGTCGGGTCTCCGTCGAGCCGGAGTGAGGCAGCTTTGGCGACGCCGGCCAGTGAGAACACTTTTCATAGGCTAAACCATCTAGATATTCACGGGGACGATGCCGGGTCTCAAGGGGCTGTTGGGTGAGCCTTCAATTCGATTATTTTCTTCCAGTTCTGTAACAATTCATATAATGTTGTGTTAATTTTGGGCCTCACTTGTTGAGGGTTTTGGATGGAGTGGTGAAACCCCATAAATTGTTTTTTTTATTGTAGATTGGGGAATTGTTGAAATGGGTTAGTAGTTTGATAGATTTCGCCCTTAACACAAAGGTTGATACAGTCATATGAAGCTAAGGGGAAGTAATACTTGAATTGACTTTTTTTGGGGGTTAATTGTAGAGGCATACTGAAATGGGTCACTTAGTTGATGTATTTCCTGCTTGAGCTTGGTTGTTGCTCTGAAAATTTATGTACTGAACTATGCTCAAGTTGTAATGGTTTAGAATTGTTGTAATGAATCGTTGTTTGCGTTCGGTTGTGCTTGAATTTGGTGTGCACATCAATGTCATCCTGATTGTTGATAATTTAATTTGAATTTCTTCTTACAACTCTAGTTAACTGTATTCTTTATGGTTTTTAAGTTTTGTATTGTGTTATTCCATGTATTCTTTAGGTAATGTATTTTTCGCTGCAAGTTAAGTGACTGTCGGTTTTCACATAGTAATAATAGGAAGAAGAAAAGAGGTCAACGAGCGGTTGGAGGGGATAAGAGCGGCAGGGGACTCCGTCAGTTTAGCATGAAAGGTATGTATTCATTTTCATGCTTTTGTGTTGTATTTTCCCCTAGTAAATATGGGAAATCATCCCAACACGTGAGTTGTGGCTACGGAAAGACCTGCATTTGATATGGAAGTTTTTAAGATGCATAATAGCTGATGTTCTTGATATTGAAGACATATCTATAATTATTTTAATGTTAGTAGGGTACTACTGTTGTTCCAAATTAGATAGTTTTGTTATTTAGGCTTGAACACTTGTGTTAGGTGTGGGTGAATTTATCATATCTCCAAACCTTAGACACAAGAAAGAACCAAATATTCATATTTTCTACTATTATTCTTTTATCTTATAGGGTCAAATGATATTTTATGTAAAATAAAGTCTTCAATATGGGCATTTCACTCATTTTAAGACAATTGTTTAACTAACAGATATGGTTAAATTTTACGTACAATTAAATTCTAAAATCGGATTTGACATGCTGTTAGGTGCATATCCAACCAAACACATTGGGCACGTATTTCATGCCTATCACCACATGTCATTGTGTTTGGCAGGAGTACTTCACATGTTTTCAACGTTTTTTTTAATAGAACTAGCTAGTTATACTTGGTCTTGTGACAATTCTTATACTTATTTCATGTCGGTTTTGTCTCTTGTTGTGTCTAGTTTGTGAGAAAGTGGAAAGCAAGGGAAGAACCACTTACAATGAGGTCAGGCTGCTTATGGAATTCATAATTTTATTTACCTTAAACGTCTCCGTTGGATTTGCTGATGCTTATTTTTAAGTTTCGTCTTATCATATTATTGTATATTTATATGTCTCAGTAGGAGTCCGTTTAGCCCTTAGATTCATAATGTTGGTATTATGTAGAATTTCACGATTGCTATTTGTGATTATGCATAAAGTTAATAGTATACTTATACATATTTTTGGTAAGTAAATATTGTAGTTATTTGTACTGAATTTTTAGTTTGTGGAATTTGGCCATGGCCATCCCATTATAATAAATTTCTAGAAGGAATGTGTTTAAGGGCAAGCTAAACGTACAAGGATGGAGTCACTAAGAATGGTAGTTATGGTCTCTCCCCCCCCCCCCCCCCCCCCCCCCCCAACCCACACACCAACACACACACACGAAAAAAAAAGGTATTGTCCTTGAAGTGGAACGACCTCATTGACTGGACATCAACATTAATAGAAAGACTTATACCCTTTATTTTCTCTTCTTACCGGTCTCTCTCTCTAAAAGCCTTCCAAAACATTCCAATGCCATCCACCACCACAACCCTCTCTCTGTCCTCCCCTCTTCCCTCCCCTCATTGCTAACAACCTAATTCCATTAACACTGAGAATTATAGGAGCGCTTACAACTGCATGCCCCTACTGCCGCACTACTCGTACAAAACCACCCAAGACATTGGCCACCTGACACCATAAGACAGCCTAACCCACTGCAAAAAGTCAACCCACAACCCTCGTTCCTTACTTACTTGTTTGATTTATGAAGAACATTAATTTGAAACCCCAGATGACAAGCATAAGATTTCCAATCAATATGGGTGTTTATGAACCAGCAACAACTATCTTAGATACTTTAAGCGCCTCAAAATTTCTTCCCATCATCACTGTAAAAAGTCATCCCACAACCCTTGATTTATTGAATTTGCCCACCATTTGTCTATTTTGGTTTCCTTGCTTCCTTGTTTGATTTATGAGCAACATTAATTTGGAACCCCAGATAAAAAGCATAAGATTTCCAATCAATGGGGGTTTTCATGAACCAGCAACAACTATCTTAGGTACTTTAAATGCCTCAAAATTTCTTCCCACTAACATTGCATACCCAACAAGACCGTCGCCTCCATCGAAATGCCATACTATTGCACATGCTGTTCCATTTGTCGATCTGGGGTTATGAAAATTTACTTCAAAAACAGCGGCAACCACCACTAGTATTACCATAGGATTTAACTGAATAGATGCAATTACTTCCTCCTCTCGGTCTTCAGTAAAAACCATTGTATTGTGGAGGTAAATAGGTTTTTTTGATGGTGGGAAGCTGATAACTAGAGAGGTGAGGAAGAACCCCCAACAACACTAGGACTTGTAGACTCATTTAGTAGCTCAAATGAAGGAAGGAAGAGGATGTATTGTGGGTTGCAGGTGGAGCAATGTGAGGTAAGGACTTAGGAGGTCTGGTATTTCAAATTGACCTAATTCTAATGAGTTTTAATGGAATAAACGTCATATACAATCTGTAATATATCTGTATATATAATTTGTAAATATCTATAGATTCTTCAGATTTGCATTTTTATAGTAACCATTATATATTCAATAAAATATATCATACAAATTTAATATACAGTAAATATTTTAGAAAAATTTGTAATATATATCTTTTTATTTGCAAGTTATATATTTAATGTAAATGTTATTGGTATGCATATTTTATGTAAATCAGGGGTAATTTTATCTAGAATATTGTGTTAAGGGCAAATTTATCATTTCCTAAGGTTAAGGCAATTTAAGCCTTTTCATCAAAAAAGGAAAATTCAGTATTTCATAAATATTTCTTAATAGTCTTAATGGCAAGAAAGGTTTTTGAAAGTCGACAAAATCGCAGGGAAGGTTGACTGCAAAAATGCAAAACTTCCACCCGTTTAATTTTCTCAAATCTTGGGGAAGGTCATAGTCATTTATTCTATTAAAAATGTGTCAATGTATATCAACAATTCAACAGAATAAGTGAATCTAAAGAAAACATTTAGTACATGCTTTTAAGCATTGGAATTTAGATTTCTGACCCCTTTAATTCCTCAAAACAAGAACACCACCGAGGCCCTGTGTTGATATCGTGATTTCCACCGCATGAATATTCTGAAAATTTCCATTCGATGAGCAGTGGATTTTCTAATGGTTCACTGACTTGGATTAAGATTCATAGAGGATACTTTGGTTTGGGGATGGCAACCTCTTATATCCTAGAAACTAGATTTTCTCATTTTTCTCCTGCTGGAACTTAGAAGTCATTGAAAAGGAATTTGGCTGTGAAGTTATCGTTGCCTAATTTATGCAATAGCATCTACCCTTAAAAGTACTTAAATCATTTATTATTTTGTTATGAGGCATACAGACTTCATATCCCACTGTATGTACTGAAGTCTTTAATTTTAAAATATTGGGTGGCGGATTTTGCTACCGATGTCTTGAAGGATCTTTAAATATTCAAGTTACACCCTCTCTAACTTCTTAAGCTTTTAGAATAGATGGTTGTTCATGGTATCAGAGCCAAAGGTCTCGTGTTCAAACCTTACCATCATCCAATAATTAAACTTGAAAACACGTGTTTGACCAAAAGAAGGCCACATGTGAGGGGACGTGTTGAAGGTTCTTTAAATATTAAAGGCACACCCTCTTAACATTTTAGGCTTTTAGAGTAGACGGTTGTTAACACGATGTATTTTATTTAGATGCAGCTTCTTCAGTTGGTCTCTAAATGTACCCAACTGTGCCTCAAATGCATGAGGTTCTCAGAGTCCGAATCTCAGGGCCTCTGTGGGGTGGTTTTGGAAGGTGATTTCTTAAACATCAGTTGAGTGATTACGATCGTAAGCTGGTGTCGGCCATGCAGAACTGCAGATAGGGTCATAATGTAGCCAGCAGTTGCTCATAGATGCCTATTTAGTTTGGCAGATTATTGATTCACCATTCATTTGCTATTTAACTTGTGGGCCTATTTTTCTTGCTAAAAGGGGTGTTTGACCTCATTTTGTATTTTCCCTCCCCAACCTTCTCCATCCATTTGGTGAAGGGGATTTTTCAAACTTTTTGAGTTGGGGGATTATAGCAACAAGTGGGCCGTTATTGGTGGCGATTTTTGTTTGCGGGTTATAATCGTGTCGTGGCGATCTAATAGGATTTTGTTCTATAGGTTAACCCGAACATGACCCATTTAATAATCGTATAAGAAACCCTTGGCACGAATATGACCCCTTTATTAAACAGGTAACATGGCATGACCCACGTGACACACAACACAACACGACCCACACGTGACTCACAATACGACACAACCCGTTTAATAACCTATTTATCCTGTTTAAATTAAATGGGTCATCCCGTTAATTATAAAATGCAAATATAATGAAAAACTGATCTAATGGATGACTAAAATTTTGAAAATTAGGATAACTAGGACGATATAATTTCAAAACGTGACAAATATTTGTTTAGGGTTAATATTGAAATAACAGTTATGTCCATGGTAATTAGGTTAAAATGGGTTACGGGTTGATGGGGTTGAATTGACGCAATTATGACAATTAATTAAAGGGGTCTAATTGGTTAAAATGGGGTGAGATCCAAAACACGAACATGACACACTTAAATGGGTTATATTGGTTGACACGATTATGACGCGAACATGATTAAGGTCAACCCAAACCTGCTTAGTGTTGTGTTGGCACGTTGTGTCCAATTTTGCCACTCCTCTGGGCTGTGAACACTGTGTCATGTTATAACTGATAATTCCTCAGATATGCCTATTGGTTAGGGCCGTTAGGCAGAATCTTGATTTGTAACTTTTGGGCAATCTTGCTAAAATGGGTGCTAGCTTTCTGTTTTTTCCATTTCATGGAGCCTTTTGCTTTCTAGCCTTGGTATGCTGTGATGGGTTTGTATGTCCCTTGTATAATTATTTTCTTAGACTTATTCTTATCCAAAATTCAAAACTGGAGCTTGTGAGTGTGTTCCCTTCATGTATTCATCTATCTTTTAGATCTCACTTCCATCACAAATATCATGAATATGAATAAATTGCCATATGTTGAATTGAGCTGAATTTTCTGGAAAAATATTGGAAATAAGCTATTTACATATTTAGTGGCCCTGGTAATGTCAGCAAAACACATGGATATACACTTGAAATTCAAATGATAATAGAAGACAACGCATGATCACTTGACAAGGAGAATTGGCTGTTAGAGATGTATAGTACCTGACATGCAAACTGATGATAAACACTTGAAATTCAAATGATTATGGAAGACAACGGTTCACTGGTTAGACATGATCACTTGACAAGGAGAATTGGCTGTTAGAGATTTATAGTACCTGACATGGAAACTGATGACAATCTCTACGTCATCGGGCTATTGAAATTTTTAATTCTTTTTGCAAGAATTTTATTTTGCTTTTGTTTCTTTTTGATTCACAAAAAAACTGTTTAATATATTAGTACGAGTGTCAGTCTGAAATAATTATGAACCATGTCCACTTGATGAAGCAATTTATGCTCCGTTAACTCTTTAAATGTGTGAGGTACCCATGAAGGACACATGACACCTGAATATGGGTTTGGATTGTGTTTGGTATGTTTAGTTGAACATGCACCAAACAAGGATATATGATAATCAGAGTCCATATTTTACATGAAGCTCTCTTTATGCTTGTTGCATCATATTTTGCTTCAAAACGAGCAATGTGCTTAGGTTGAACACCTATAATACATGAAAAAAATCATTTTATCCTAATAAATAAAAGATAAATACAAAAGAATGAATATTTAATCATGCCCCCATGTACTTGAATATGGGAATTAATAAATCCAGCTCAGACATACACACACCCAAACACTTATTTGATTCTATTTAACATAGGATGCAGCAATATAAGAATGTTATTTTTAAGTTGTTCTTAGTTTAGTTGATAAATAGTAGTTATATAAAAAAATTGTCAATTCAAATATAATCCAGAAATTTACTTCCACTTAACTTGTTGAGTGATGAGTGGAAAGTCAAATACTGAAAAAAAATTCAGGTCCTTGTTGAATGATAACTGATACACATGATAAAACAGACAACAGAATAGCCAGTGATAATTTTTTATTTTTTATTTCCCAGCACCTAATGGCGTATCCAAACAACCCCCAATTGTATGAGGTTTAAATTCAAACAGATGGAACCACTTGTGCATTATTTTTTAAAACTCTTGTTTATTGGGATCTTCTCCATGTGTCATCGCAGAACACTAGCCCTGATTCATTTAGAAGTATATGCACTTAGTCTGTATATAGATGCTTTATATTGTTGTTCACCTTTGCAATGGTTATATATCATACATTTTATAAATAACAATATTATGGTGTAATGCCTAAATCTGAGATGATGAACTATTTTCCAGGTTGCAGATGAACTTGTTGCTGAATTCGCAGACCCTACCAATAATGTTACATCGCCAGACCAGGTTTGTTACTTTTCCAATTTGGCTGATGAAAATGTTGTTGGTCTCTATGTGATGAAAAAGGTTGATAGTATAACTTAGTTATTTGAGATTCTCATTTCTGTTCTGAATTATATATGACAGCAACAATATGATGAAAAAAACATTCGGCGAAGGGTATATGACGCGCTGAATGTTCTCATGGCGATGGATATAATTTCAAAGGATAAAAAAGAAATTCAATGGAAGGGTCTACCTAGAACTAGCTTGAATGATATTGAAGAGCTAAAGGTTTGAGTTTAGGTTCTTCTTCCTTTTCTCTTTTTCTATTCTCTCTCTCTCATTTGGATTTTCTTTAGGAATACAATTTTCTTCTGCAATTATTCTGAATCTAATATGAGCCAATCCAACTCCGTGAATGTATTAACCGCAGACCGAGCGTCTTGGACTGAGAAATAGGATTGAAAAGAAAGCAGCCTACTTGCAAGAACTGGAGGAACAAGTAAGGATTATGTACATGTTCCTAATCTTTTTCCGGTTCATACCAGTTACTGGAATTTTTACTCATGATGTTTATTTAGGACTATAAATATATGTTTTATAGTGAATGATGTTTCGTTATTGGTGTTTGTTCCCTAATGTCTTCTCTCCTTCCACCAAGTTCGTAGGTCTTCAGAACCTTATACAACGGAATGAGCAATTATATAATTCAGGAAATTCTCCTGGTGGGGGTGTGGCTTTACCTTTCATACTGGTGCAGGTGAATTTGCTTGACAATTTCTTTGCTTGTGTTGTTATTCCATTCATGCTAAAGGAAAAAACTGGTAAAGCTGCTACTTCTTGCCTGCTTGACAATTTCTTTGCTTGTGTTGTTATTCCATTCATGCTAAAGGAAGAAACTGGTAAAGCTGCTACTTGTTATTATATTGATGTTTTATTTTGAGTATCATTATTTTATTCTTTTACATCACGAGTGGGTTTTTGCATTTTTAAAGCAATTCCTAATTAACATCCCGTTTGTTTCAATGTAAAACTTCATAGTTAAACATTTTTCATGTAAAATCTTTAGCACGCAAAATGATTTTTTGGGCTTATTTTTTTGTTGTTTGGCTAAAATCTTTAAAACATTATTCAAAAAAGGATTTCAGGTGTTTGGGCAAAAAAAATAGTTTTTATCTAAAACATTTTCACTAATACGCTACAATCTTCAATAAGCATCTAGACAATTTAACATGCAAAATAAAATTTTTGAAATTTTAAAATTTCTTTCATTATTTGAAGCAGGCATTTCTAAAGTTATAAATTGCTCTCATTATTTTTAATCAAGTCCCAAGTATGTGATCGAACTCCAATATAATATAAAGAATTGGATGGAGAACCCCCTAAATTGTGATCAACCAAGACATAAAGCTGCTTAGAACTCATAATTTGAACTATGAAAGCAACTTCCTACTAACAACTCGATTATAAGCATTAATCAGCACAAGAAACTATAATTGATGGAATGCTAGTTCCATTTTCAAAACTGCTTATGTGGGGAGAGTAAAAAATAAAAAGAAAATAAAATAACTTGACAGATATTAAAAGGTGAAAAAAAGAGAAGCATTTTGCTCATCGCCTGAATATTCTTCCAATATAGGAGTCAGAAACATCATACCTATCATCTTCAATTCAGTGAAATTTAAAAGAGCAAGTCTGATGTTCTTCTTGTTTTCTTTTTATTTTTTATTTTTTATTTTAAATAAGTAAGATTTTTTAAAAGCCTCTCATTTTAAGCAAGTTGCAGAGAAGACAGTCACCTAAATCCAATATGTCCTGCATTACCCTCTAAATCAATAGAGAAAAATAATTCTAAATTACAGTTCACTAGCGTCTGACAAGTCAAAATACAAAGGCATGTTTATGGGCTACCACCGCTCATAAAAAAAGAAGAAGATGAAATAAATAAATGAGTACTACAATGGTGTTGGCACTTAGCATACCTGAACTATGTCCTTTCTTCTTCTATATATATATATATATATTTTGTTCTCGAGTTCCTTCTTCTTTTCCTTTTAATTTTTTTTCCAGTATGCCCCAAAAGATTGCAAATCAGTAACCAATTATTGGAGATGTATGATTACTAGAAAGAATAATAAATTCTTGCTTTAGCAACATTTAGATGTGGTGACCGCTAAGGGCTGTAGCCCAGTGGTACTTCCTTGCCTTCTAAAGTAGGTGGTCGATGGTCCAAGTTGCCATAGGAGCAATGTGGGTGTGTCAGTTTCTTGCGAGGATCAAAATAAATAAATAAATAAAAAATAAATTTAGAGTAGGTGAAAAGGGTAAGAGGCCTGATCATGGTGCACTAATACTCGGGCTCAGAGAGATTAACAAATCTGTCAGTTCCAATGTGTTGTAAATTGTAATCGCATGCCGATATTTATAGAACACAGAAATGCATTCAGTGACTTGTGAGGATTGGATCAAAGAAGAAGATGAAGAGGAGAACCGATGGGGAGTTGAATAGAAGTAAAATCATTAATTTGATTGTTGAAGAAGTTTATATCTTTTGATATGCAGGAATGATAAAGCAGGATTTATGCACTCACATGTCATGCTGTTGATTCAATAATTAAAATGTGCTCATCGTTTCCCGAATTGTGTTGTCAACCCAAGACATGTTGACATGGGTTTTGGCTGACTTCATTTCCTTTTCTTTTTTTTCTTTTTTTTTTTTTTTCCTTTTCTTTTTCTTTAGTGCAATCCATTTTTTTATGCACTTAGCATACCTGTAAATCAAAGTTTGTCTACTTGTTTCTTCCAAAATTTCTTTGTTGGTGCTTTGCTTATGGTTCTCATTGAGCTCCATTCCAATGCAATGCTGAGTGAAATGGTACTAAACTATCTTGATGTTAAATGAATTGTAAGTTAAATTGCTTTATCAGCATGGGTTGTTGTTCATTAAGCATTGTGTGATTATTGGGTGCCTATTCTTGACATGACCCACAAACACAATTCAAATCTGACACAGGATAAGAGGGGGTCAGATTGGAATTAAACAGATTCAGTTTGTCAACGGGCCAAGACCACTAACCTGTTAAATAAATGGCTCATGTTAGGGTCCAGAAGATAAATCCTTTTTAACATAACTTGACCTGTTCGCTATACGTATCTTGTTGACAGAACCTGTTTAACCCGTTTATTACCCATTCAATGAAGAGCATTTTAGTAGATTTACCCATTAATAAAGGGACATTTGTTGAAAACTAATAAAATAGAAAGGTCATTTACCTAGTGTGGTCCTTATTAATTGAGATCACTGGGAGGGATAGAGTGAGTACAAACCTTACGTTTGTATCTGAGTCGGATTCCCTTGCTTTATAGCTTGAGCTTTTAAAAATTACTCTTGGCAATGATCCCAACATAATAAAATACTTGTCAAAAAGATATGGGAGCATTAAGTAGTTGTAATATATGCTTGTTATTTTGATTTTGGAAAAGGTTGTATCAAATGTCACTATTATTACATAAATAGGTTGATTGATATTAGATTCATACAATTACTAAGCCGTTTGTGTTTCGGTTGACCATTTAATTGAGTACGCTTATCTCAACATGACTTCAACCCCTGCTTACACAACTTTATCAAACTTTTCTTATGCTAAAGCATTTTCAGGGTTATGACTGAACTGTATTAGGTCATATTTATGGATTTTGAATAATTACTTGATGTCCCTATTGCTTTTACTGTAACTTTTCTCACCTTCTCTATCATTTGGAAAATGTAGACGCGCCCCCATGCAACTGTTGAAGTAGAAATATCAGAAGATATGCAGCTGGTGCATTTTGACTTCAATAGGTAAGGGAACGCTACAAGCATATATTACTCTTGATAGTTTGGCCAATATTGGAACAATGGTTTTTGTAAACAGTTGGACATTAGTTCTATTTAGTGATTCCCCATTCCAACTTGGTAATTTATTTTGAAGTGTGATGAATGATGTAATGAGCATCTTTATATATTGTCAACTTTTTACTTTTCTCCAGCACTCTGACTCTATTCATTGATCTGGTATGTTGATTGCAGCACCCCATTTGAGCTACATGACGACAACTATGTTCTCAAGGCAATGAAATTTTGTGATAAACCACAGGGTGATGAAATTGTACAAGCATTCTCCACAAATGGAGGTGAAAGCTCCAGCATGCCCAGCATGTTTGACTCTCAAATACCTCTTCCTTCAAGGTCAAATGTACCGGGTAGGCCACCCACTTCACCTCCTCTTCCTGGAATACTGAAGGCACGCGTTAAGCACGAGCATTAATCTGGATGTTCCAAGCCCCCTTGTCTAACCATGGGCTATAGTCTCATCACATCTGTATACCGTGTAAAATATTTTCCCGGAAGTGTGTGGGCTCCTTTTGATCTCCATCTCATCTCAATAGATTTTCCACCCAGTTGAATGAGTGGAAGACAACGACGAAAACTTTCAGGGGATCTGTTTCCGGCATTCTCTCACATATCAATGATAAGTTATTGTAATTATTGTCATTTTTATTCTGCTCTTTGGCCCCTGATGTAGAACAATTTAGTTTAATTCTATCAAACCATAGAGGATTGTTTCCTAGAGAATCATGAAATTTATTGACAAGATCACAGTCTCAGTTTCAATTGCATTATGCTTGGCATCTTTGTCATAATGTTTTAGTTATATGTCTAAAGAAGGTAAAAGATACCTAATACAAGAGGTTCAACATTGCTGACTACGGTGGGATCAAGAATTTCTGTTCTTTAGTGAATAGAAAGTGCTCAAATGGAGAGCACATGATGAGGGAAATCTCTTGAGAAAGTTACTCTTACTCGGTATGGTTACTAAAATTAGTGAGAGAATTTAGTGCTCTACCTTCTCCCTCTCGAAAATGAGAAACAAAAATCGCTTATAAATATGAATTCCTTTTATACTGGCGCATTGGATTTGGAATTGATAGAATTTTTGTTCAAATTTTATACTGGATAAAATTTCTTCCTATTCCGATTTGGAAGCAGTGCTTCCAACAGTAACATAGAGTTACTATAGGCATCTAAGGTATGAATACTCTTCCAAGACTGCAAGTTTAACCTTGCATGAAAGACAATGGTGCAACACATTTAGTTCATGGATTTTTATTGTACCCTCCTAAAGCAAAGGCCAATTGTTTTGCACCTGGTAATAGATTTTCAAATTCAACCTGTTTTGACACTCTTAATTCCTAACCCTGCTATTAACTACAACGCAATGTATAATACATGTGTTTACCTGTAATATCATTAACTCCTCTTTACTTCTGTTCAAAGGAATGGAAACAGAGATGAAAGTTAATATTCATTTTAAAAAGAGTGAGAGTACCATCAGTTCATTTTAAAGTAAGAGGAAAATGGTAATTTTTTATTTTTTTAAGAATAACGCCACACTAGGAGTTAATTCAATTGTTATTCATTAGCAAATTTAGAATTTTCTTTGTTAGTTAATGAATTTTCGGTGAATGGTGATTAATTGTCAAAGCAATAATATTCCTGGTTTTTCTTTCCGGATTGAAGGATTGTAACTGTTTGATTTTATGAAGTAAAGCCTTAATTTATTGTGATGAAATAATTTCTCTAAATTAGATTGCTTTTAAACGACACCGCTTTAGGAGGGTAGTAAAGAGCAATACAAACCATATCCCTTATTTTTCCATTTTGGTCTCGGGGGTTTAAACAAAAACCCTAAATTTTGCCGTCGCCGAAGAGGAGTAACACAGAAGATCATGAAGAGAAGATTTTCTCACAGAAAAGCTCGCCGTGTCAACTTACTCCCCGAAGATATCCTTTAATTTCACTTCTCTTTCTTCTGTTCAGATTTTCTCTTTACTTTATTACACTTTGAACCACAATTTTCTCTGCCATTTTTTTTTTTTTTTTTTTGGTAATTTCTTAACCATTTGTCTGTTGATCACGTGACGATGTTGTTGATGAGGGGCTTCAGAAGCCAGATGATGAGATGAATCACTCGCCCGTCGATGAAGATCTTCTCGGAATGGGCAAATATTACTGTTTACATTGCGAGTAATTTTTTTTTTTTTCCTTGTTATAAATGTGTTATGTATCTAAATATACACACATATAGATAATTTCCTCTCTGTATAATATAAACATAAACATTTTCCCTTCTTTGTCGGTGTGATTTGGGTTTCGTTTTAATATGTTGCTTCTTTTGGTTATTTTCTTTAGTCGTTACTTTGCGGATGTGACGATGAGGGATGAGCATTTCAGGACAAATCGACACAAGAAGCGGTGAAATTTTATTTTATTTTCTTTGTTTTTTATTATTTCAATTATTGCATGCCTATCAGTACTTGTTTAATATGAGGTTTTGATGATTGAATTGTAATTTGGCAGCTTTTGTTGATATATATGAGATGATTTTGAGAAAGTTTCTTGTGAAATTACTTGGATAATTGATGCATACATGTACTAGACTGTAGTAGAGTTTTGAGGATCTTATCTAATTCAACCACATTAAGGAATTTCTTATATGCTGATATAGTCTAACTTTATAGTATTATTCTGCATTATATTTGATAGTTCAAGAGATATATATATATATATAGAGAGAGAGAGAGAAAGAGAGAGATAGAGAGAGAGAGAGAGAGAGAGAAAGTAATGATGTCTTGCTCACCAGTGAGCAAGAAATTCATCCGCACCATACATGGTAACCATTGGATGTTAAAAATGTAGTTAACAAAATAACATGACAATCACATTCAACGATTATGAATTTCTTGCTCACCGGTGAGCAAGAGATCATTTATGTATGTATATATATTTATTTATTAGTAACGCCCTCTATGATATATGATGGGCATGATAAATTATGTGAATCAAGTGAAGAGCGTCTTGCGCTATGTTGCTACTTCTATTTTTTAATGGTTTGCTTTTAAGAAGGCTATGATGCTATCTGCTGTTGGGATTTCTCTGATTTTGGATTTTTTTTTTTCCTAGGTTAATGTGGAAAAAAATTTATAAATAAAGAAGTGAATGTACAACTGTACAAGAAAACTAGAAAAGGGATACCTTTGCAAAACAGACAAAGAAACCAACAAAAAAGAGATGAACAGACATGAGTTCAAGGCAGCAAATAAAAATAAACCTAGGCATAGAGCCTCTAAACAATCTAGCAACAACAACAATTCAGTAAAAGAGACTGTAGCAAACACTATCACCACCAAATAGAGCAACTGAAGCAGACCGATAAAACAGCAGAAATAAGAGGCTGCAGCAAAAAAAAAAAAGCCCCACAAACAGGCCAACTGCAGCTGGGCAGCAGAGTAGCATAGTGTGAAAACAGCAGCAAAGGACAGAAGAAGCTAGATTAATGCTAGTGCCCAGGGGTGATAGTTGAGCAATGTCAACTACTGTCACGCCCCGAATCCCAAAGACCTGGTTAATGAGAAACGATAGAAAGAAAAAAGAAAAGAAAATGAATCGAACCCAAACTCGTAACAAACACAACGCGGAAACAACTTACACACCATCAACCCCTAGGGTTACTGAAGCCACAAGCACTATAATAGGTAGTGAACATGGATTCCCCTCCATTAAACATTCATTAAATGCTCCATGAGCATTCAAGAAGGAACAACTTATAAAAACCTCAATTTAACCACGTTCACCTTCAGAACTCACAATAGAGGAAAGAAAGAGAGAGGATAATTTGAAACTTACATCAAATCAACAAGTACCCTTTTTTGTCATCAAACATTCATGGAGCAATTCGTTAATGTTTGGAAAGAAATCGAAGTGAAATAGTCTCATTGCTTCATAAAATAAACTTTGAAACATCATGAAAGAAATTGATAAAAGAGGAAGGAAGGAATTAATTTCTTGTCAACAAGCAGCCCCTTAAAACACCCATTTTCGTACCCAAACCCATTTTAAGTCCCTTTGACATCCATACAATGTCATTCAAGGCCTCGACATCTTCCGATGAAAACCCCTCAGAACCCCCCTGGACCACTCCCTATTGAAGTCCAACCGGTTCCACTTTAACAGACCCAACACCCAAACCTGATGATGTTCTTTGTGGAACCGGTTCCACTTGGGCAGATTGCCCTCCTGCCTTAGAAATTTTGCTGATTCGACCCCAAACTCACCCATAATGATGTCCAACTTGAACCCACCTGCTATAGCAAGCTTTAAAAGCAATAAAATGGAGTAGAAAGAGACCTCAAAACAAAGATTAAATAAGATGTGAACCTTCTCCAACGTCAATTATCAATACTAGGATATAAACACATGCATTTGCCACCATAATTTAAGCATCAACGCAACATCATCCACATGTCCATATACTAAAATCATGAATGAGATTTCTAATTATCAAAAGTGATCAAAATGATGTCTAAAGCATAACATGTCATCATTTAAGCAAGTTCCATCATAGAAGGCAAATAAAAAAGTTTCAAACCATGGCGTCCATTGCCTCATTTACAAGTATTTGTGATAACAAAAGGAACGACAAGATGGTTTAACAATATGAGGGGCCAAGGGTGAAAATCTCAAAGAGAACCTAAGATGGACTTAGGCGGTTCCCTTGCCATTTCTCTCTCCCTGGAATACATAGCATCAAGAGATAACATATCTAAGGTTTAAATACGTCAAGTTTCATAAAAAAGAACACCAAGTTTTACTACATCCGTTTAACACCAAAATTTCCAAAATAGTCTTCATGGTCCCAAGGTGGCCCAAACCTCATCCGTGAGATGCCCCTTGCCTGCAAAATGATATGGTGAGCAAAACTATGCCTAGTAGACAATGGTTAACCCACCCACCCCATTGGTCATGCAAGTCATGCAGCACATCATCATCAAAGTTCATAAAATTCCTATGGGAGCATGCTTTTCAAACATTGTTCATCTACTACCATCAAGCATTATGTACATCTAATATAAGCAATGTAAGGATTAACAATAACAATGGGTCAGTGGCCTAGCGGTATCAGGTCCTAACTTCCCAAAGGGAGGTCAAGGGTTCAAGTCTCAGTGGAGGCACTAAGGAAAAAAAAAATGTAAGGATTAACAATTACTCACAATAGCATCACGTGATAACAAAGACGTAAATGTATCAATTCTCTAAGAATGACCAAAACGAGAAACAGACCTACACTGATGCTTCCCACGATGCATTTCCAATGAAATTTTGAACTCACACATGATGGGATCATATCCCATTTAATGAAAAACCTGAATTGATCGTACTCACGCATCCGAATACGTGTCATGGACGTTGACGAATATTTGTTTTTGTGCCAAGTGTTGTTGGATGTTGACGGCACAGTGGTCTGAAGTATTGTGTGGATGGTTGTTTGCATTCATGGTAATCTTTACAATGCCTGGCATCCTTGCAGATGAGAGAGACAATGGGTGTTTTCAGATAAAATAATATTATATGTTTGTATACGAAGGTTTGGCTAAAATGAGTTTGGTTGGATAAAATTTAAGGTGATGTTTGGTTAGACAATTATAAGGGTGTGTTTGGTTGGACAGAACTAAAAGCCATGTTTGGCTAAACGAGCCTAGCTGAGCTCACCCCTGCTCAAGCTCGACTTGTTTAACAAACGAACTTTTATATTAGACTCAAGCTCGGTTCATATAATAAATGAACGAGCTCGAACGAGCTTCTAGACAATCCAATTCCAAACTTCATGAACATCTCAAATCATTTGTCGCCCTAGATACCTACACTTTGAAGCTCCTGATAACCATATATATGCGCATGCAGTGTTATATATTTTAGAAACAGTTAAATTAATTGGGTTTAAAAAGGTTAATGCTATAGAACCACCAAATGAATTCACCGGGTCTTCTTCTAGTTCTGCATTTGATGCTTGCTGCATTTTCTGTTGTTTTGCTTTTTAAATCAACTTTATTTTGATATTTTCTTCCGCTTTACTAAGTTGTTGCATTCTGATCATTTATTTTTGCTACAATATTTTGCTGTTTAAATTAACTTGTTTTTCTGCTGCATATCCTTTCCTGTTGCTGTTTTTGCTGTAAACTGCATTTTGATGCATATTTTGATCACTTATTTATCTGTATGTTTAAATTAACTTGTTTTTCTGCCACAATCCTTTTCTGCAGTTGTTTTGATGACTGATCATGAATTTTTCGTTGCTATATTTTTCTGTATACTGCATTTTGATGCATTTTTTGATCACTTATTTCTCTGTATTCTAACTGTTGTATTTTGCTATTTAGTAACTTTAAGTACATCTCTCTCTCTCTCTCTCTCTCTCTCTCTCATACATGCCTGCATGCTTATAATGGTCATGTTACATGTTATCAATTTTACATTTATGTTCTCTTGACAATTGACGCTAGGAATGTAGATTCAACTATGCTGGATGAAAGCTCAGCGTCTGATTCCAATGAAATTACTGAAGAAGAAGAAGAAAAAGAAGTAGAAGGAGAAGAAGAAAAAGAAGAAGAAGAAGAAGGTGACGACAAAGCTGCTGAGAGGGATATTGGTTGTTGCAGTAAAAGAATAATGAGAACGTGTGAAAGCTCTCATCAAGGAAATAGGAAACTAATTCAATCCAAGTTGAAAAAGGCAGGGCGCTCAATGGCTGCATGCCTTACTTCTGATCGAGTAGCTAAAGTGCAAAATGGGAAAGGTGGCAAGGTGAAGCAATCATCAATCAAAGATGCCTATAAAAAAAAATTAAGAGATCGAGTGTGTAAGCAATTAGCAAGGTGGATGTATGATGCTGGAATATCATTTGATGCTGTCAATTACGATAGCTTTCCAATCATGATTGAAGCTATTGGACAATATGGCCCAGGTATGAAACCACCCACTTATCATGAAGTGCGGGATTCTCTACTCAAGAAAGAGTTGGAGCACACACAAAACTTGATGAAAGTTCATGAAGAGGATTGGGTAAGAAATGGATGCTCAATTATGGTAGATGTAGGGAAGGACAAGAGGGAGAGGACTATCATTAATTTTTTAGTAAATTGCTCTAAGGGAACCATGTTTATTGAATCCATAGATGCTTCTTCCTATATAGAGCATGATGTAAAAATGTTTCAATTGCTTGATAGATTTGTAAAGCATATTGGTGTAGCCAATGTGGTCCAAGTTATCACAGACACTGCCTCAAGTAACATAGTAGCGGGTAAGAATATCTTACAAGTTTGTTCATTAGTAATATATAGTTTAAATTTCTAATTTTAGTAATTTATTTTTATATTTATTAATTAATGGTATATGGTATTTCTCTAATTTTCTTAATTTTATTTATGTTTTCAATAGGAAGAATCTTGGAAGCAGTGTACCCACACTTATTTTGGTCTCCATGTGCCGCTTATTCTTTAGACTTAATGTTGGAAGACATTGCAAAGTTGCCAAATATTACGAGAACAATAAGACGAGCAATGGTGTTAAATGGTTATATTTACAATCGTGCGGGTGTACTGGACATGATGAGGCATTTCACTGGACGAAAGGAGTTGTTTAGGCCTGCAAAAACCCGGTTTACTACTGCCTTTGTCACATTATCAAGCATTCATCGTCAAAAGGATAACTTGAGAAAGATGTTTACTTCAGAAGATTGGACCACTAGTAAATGGGCAAAAGAGAAGCAGGGTAAAAGGGCAGCTCAAATTGTTTTGATGCCTTCATTTTGGAATAACATATCCTATAGTGTTAAGGTGTCAAATCCTCTTCTTGGTGTACTTAGAATAGTTGAAGGTGAAAAGAAGCCTCCTATGGGATTTATTTACGACGCTATGAAAAGGGCCAAAGAAACTATTGCTACTGCTTCCAGAGGGAATGAAGGAAAGTACAAGGACATTTTTGAAATTATCAATAGGAGGTGGGAAATTCAACTCCATCGTCCTTTGCATGTAGCTGGATATATTTTGAACCCTGAATTCTTTTATGCAAATCGAAGTATTCAGCGGGATAAAGAGGCTCTGATGTGTTTGTATAAATGCATAGAAAGATTGGTCCCAAGTGTTGACGTGCAAGACAAAATTTCTGAAGAGTTGATTTTATATACGAACGCTGAGGGTCTTTTTGGGACAAGTATGGCTATTAGACAGAGATGTACAAGGGCACCAGGTAAATTACATTACAAATCATTTTCTAATTATTAATCTTTTCATCAATAGAATGTTTACTAACAAATTGTAATCAACAGCTAAATGGTGGGATTCATATGGTTCTTTAACTCCGCATTTGCAAAAGTTTGCATTAAAAGTTCTTAGCCTCACTTGTAGTGCATCTGGCTGTGAAAGATATTGGAGTACATTTGAACATGTGAGCAACAAGATTGTGATTAACTTTGTATTTTGCTTGCCAATTTGAAAGAGCACCCCTTCCCTCCACACCCCCACAACACACACACAAAGAAGTGGCATTTAAATTTCAAAAATTTTTTGGTTTTAATTTTTTAGGCTTACTGTTTATCTTTGAATATTTTGCAGCTTCATAACAAGAAGAGAAACATGGTAGCTCAGAGTCGTTTAAATGATCTGGTGTTCATCAAGTATAATAGAGCATTGAGATGTCGATATAATATGCGTGACAGCATTGATCCTATCTCCGTAAAAGACATCGATGATAGCAATGAGTGGTTGATTGAAAGGATTCATGGTGATTCACATAGAAATGAGGAAGAGGCAAAATCGGAGGAGACAGATGAGGAAGAAGAGGAAGATCCTGAAGGTTATGAATCTTACAGTTACAATGAGGGGGAAGAGGCAAATTGGGGAAAGGAGACAGAAGAGGAAGATCCCGAGGGTTATAAATCTAATAATGAGGTGGAAGATGATGATGTTATGTCCGATGAAGAGGATAGTTTTTGGGTCTAGTAGGTCATCATGCGGTAAGGAGTGGAAGCCTTTGATTCAATATTTATGCTTTAATTTTCGTGCTTTTTTAAGCGTTTTAACTCTTGGTTTTCTAATGTATGGATATTTCTTCCATTCTTGAATATTTGAATTTGAATGATAATTTACTATGAAGCACAGACACGCCCATAAGGGGTGCCGTACCAGTGTCGGACACGGCAAAGGATATGCCAGACACGCCGGAGACAAGCCTGTTCGTTTTTTTTTTTTTTTGAAAAGTGTGTTTTTATATATAAATATATATGCATGTGTATTCATTCACTGAGATCTATTAAGTGAGATGACTGATCTAGAAATCTAAAATAGATGAAGAGATTTAGGGAATGACTGAGCAACCACAGGGGGAAAAAAAGAACAAAGAGCAAGATCTTTTGTGGGTGTTGAGCTTTACCGGCGAAAAAGAGGAACAACCTCTTATTTTCCATCCAAAGCTTCATCAGAACTCTTGGCTTAACTGAATGATAGAGAAAGGGAGAGAGGTGGAGTAGATGATGAAGAGAGAAGTGAACCACGTGTGGAGGGAGAAATGGGATAGGATCGAGATTGTTACCTTATCATCTTAAAAGGTGTGTTAAAAAAACAAATAAATTAAAAAGTATATATGTTTGGTTATAAAGATAGCTTATTCAACTGTTGGATATAAACTTATATTTTAATAAAATTTGAACTTATGATTTTTATGTTTTTTAAGAGTAGTAGGGATTATTTGGTTAGCCTAATTTAAATATAAATAAAAAATTAAATAAAAATAAAAATATATATATTATTATTTTATTGCCATATCCTTGTTGTGTCCGTGTCCTATTTTTTTAAAATTTGCCGTATCGCCGTATCCGTGTCGTGTCGTGTCGTACCGGTGTCCCGTGTCTCTATCCGTGCTTCATAGATAATTTATAATGTGAAATTCTGGATTATTTGCATGTCCTTTCTTTAAAATGCCATGTTCTTGACTGTTAATAGCAGCGAATCTTGGGACTATCTACCATTTATTTAAAATTAATGTAATTGTACTATTCCATTGTTGCAAATTTACAATCCTGTATGTATGTGATTTTAGCATGTTCTATACAACAATGCAACTTTAATCACTCAGGCTTTACCCTCACCTTGTGCCTAGGCTCTAAGGAGGCTTTGGCACCTTAGCACAGTTTGCGCCTTTGATAACTATGCATTAAAGAAATTTTTTGCCCCGCTTTCTCGTGTGTTCAATTATCTTCTTCCAAACCCTTTATAAAACACTTCTAATTTTAAACATTTAAAACTAACTACAGCACTTGAAAAGGATTTGCAATTCAGTTCCTTAAAAATCAATATATGTTAGTGAAATAAGTTTGTCCCTAGTCATCTTGAAACCTTGAGTGCAATAAATTTCTCATATAATTCAGTGTTTTTTGTGTAGTCATTTTGGTTTTGTCAGGTGATGATAATAAGAATGATATTTTCATGTTTGGTTCAACTTTTTACGTATGCATTACAGTGACAACATACAAATACTTCTTTTGTATTTAGTTATTTATGATTCCTCATTCTTAAATCATTATGTAAATATGTGAAATAAAGATGATAGTTTTGTTTTGCAGTAGTGACGTAAAAAAGTGCATGAGTGTTCGATGGTTGTTGCAACCTTAAAAAATTAATAACCTCGGTTTTTTGCATTTTGTTGCTAATGTTAGTTACACACATGCACCAGTGATATTGCTTCCGTGTTTGAACCGTGCTGTGTTAGTGTACCGATAGTAGATGACTGTGGATCCTGGTTGTCTCATTTCTAATTGGGCCTAGCACTTGTGGTGGTAGAAGTAGCAGCAATAGTAGGAAATGAAAAGGAGCAATTGGGAGTGTGATTTATTCTTAAGCATTTTGCCTATTTTTTGTAATTCAGTATTAGTGGGTAGTAGTTGTGGAGAAAGATCATTGACCTTGGCTGGTTGCTTAAAAGTATTTGGATAGCCTTGTGTACTATTGCCCAGACCTGAAGCACTTGAAAAAGGTTTTTTTTTTGCTAATTGATACTCACCCGTTTGCATTCCAACCTTAGACCTGATGCCTCACGAGGCACCAGGGCCAAGTGACTTACCCACTTGAGCCAATCCCTTGGGGTCACTTGAATAAGTTTTTCTAAATAGGGCGTGCATTACTCATAGTACAAAGAATTATAGCCAATATTATGTGGGCCAAGGAGGAATTGTAGTAAAAGTGGAAGGGTTTGGTAAAGGAGTATGTGGTAGTGAAATCTCTTGATGATCTCCTTTCCCAATTGGGCATAGGGAATTCCAATTGACTTGTTCTCTCTACTTTTGTAATTCCAGTTAGGAAAAGTGACAGTTTACATTGAGGGTAAAACTAGAGGAGGAGGAAGACCAAAGTTAATGTGGATTGGCTGATGTGCGGAATGGAAACATAGGATTCATGTAGCCGACCGACCCCAAGTAGTTGGGAAAATGGCTTGGTTATTCTTGTAGTAGTGGCTATGATGATTGTTATCACTGCTTTTGTAATTCCATTTAGGCTGGCTAATAGAATTGGGTATCATGATGGTTATTTGAACATCTTGATAAAAAATTTGATGTTGGAAGGAACTTAGGAATTCCAGTTAAGTTGTTCATACTACTTTTGTAATTTCATTTAGGCTGAGTGTAGTGGCTATGATGATGATTATTAGAACTTCTTGATATAAGTTATGATGGTGGAAGGATCTTGGATTTCTCCTTGAACATTCAGCCCTCAAAATTGATCGAATAACTTGCTCTTGATTTTTTGTTTCTCGTGGGGAAGTAATAGTTGTTAAAGGCCTTTAGTCAACTTTTTGGCTGACTGGGCAAAATACATGTTTCTACTTTTGTAGTTCCATATGGATTTAGATCGGAGAGTATCCATGTGGGAAAGTAGATTTTCCTTGTAATATTTTAAAAAATTTGTACACTATTGTCTTTTCACTGTAGTGATATAAATTTTAAAAAACCACTTACTGTTTTCCTTTGTTCAACTTATTGGTTAGGTAAAAAATGTGTTTTTATCCTTCTTGTCTCCGGGTTTCTACTCGGGTGTGAGATCATCTGTCTAATTTTAACTAGTGGAGTAATTCATGCCTATCATATTTTATATTATTAGCATAGAGGATATTTAGTATGACCCTACTGTTGTACTGTTGATGCAGTGTAAAGCAAATGATGGTGCCTGCACTACATACCTAACTCGATGCCGACCTAGCTTCTGTGATGGGAATGCCACATAATGGTCCAAAGCCAATGTCGATGTGAGCTCAATGGATGATTGTCTTATGTGTTGGTAGCTTGAGGATTGCTCTCTTGGTGCTGGAAGATTTTGTTTTGAATTTGTAATGTAAGAATGATCTTTCCTGTCACAGTTACTTTTATGAAATTATGATAAAATGATCTATCTTGTCACAGTTACTTTTTATGTCGGCAAAGCTACTACTAAAAATTAATCAATATTCTGGTTGGTTTGCTCATTTGCTATTTCTAACTATTTTAGTTCTTCGGAGTAGTTGGTTCACTCTTCAATATCTCAGTTTCTTAATATTCAGGACAATGCTTTAAAATAACATATAGCACCAGTGATTATGTATTTACCCATGCTTAAATTCTTGACACTTTGAATTAGTTGCTTCATTAGCGTAATGCTATATTCCGCTTTGCCAAACAATTTGTTATTGCCAAATTTTTTTTTTTCCCATCCTCTTTCCTCATTTTGGGGCTCTGTTTTTAGGGTATGGCTCTGTTATTTTTCATGTTATAATTGTAAATTTGGCAGGCAGTGGAGAACTTAACCCGATAAACAATGTACTTATTCTGGCTTATTAGTCAAATAATTCTCAAACCTGATACTATTATTTGTTGTCTTGTGAACATAGTGCCAACCTCATCTGTTGCTGGAGGGAAGGGTTAGGTTGGGATAAAAGTCAACATGTTTGGCCTTAGTCTTGGGGGTTGGGCATCATTTTATGCAAACTCCCCATTTTTTGGCCTTGGTCTTTGGATGGCATGCTTGATTAAGGATGTTTTAAATGTATCTGGACACAAATCAACATGGGAACAATCTGTTGTGGGAATCTGTCTTGTTACTCAATTTATGTTCGTTTTCAATGGTGGTTGAGTATTTGTCTGTTTTCTGTGTATTTATTTTTGTCAGGCCATCTAATTAAAAATAAATAAATAAATAAAATGTATGATGTCTTAGAAGCAGGTAAGCCTTGCATGGTTGATTTTATGCTCCAATTTTTGGCTGTTCTAGTTGATTTAATATGTCTATCCCAACTTCTCTACTGCTAAAAGAATCTTTGTACCTTATATTCTCTATACTCTGTTGGTTAAAGATGCTTTGTTGAAAATTGAGGTTCAAAGCTCTGTCGGTCGATTTAGGTTTTATTAGTCTTGAATCTGGATACCAAATTTATATTGGAAACTGCTACATTTAAAAGATTTTTTTAAAAAATAGTTGTTATAGAGTATGGTACATATTATGCTGCTAGTACAATGAAAATGGAGCTTCTCTAATCCCATTTTCTAGAGTATAAAGCTTACAAATACCAAACAGGGCCTTGATTTAACTTTGTGAACTGTAAAGTTTTACTCAAGCCAAATGATCACTTGTTTCTTTTGTTCAGATTTTCCCGGGCTTGAAAAAATAAGGCTAGTACACTTGATGCCATTATTTGGCTGGGGATGGGTTCTGATACGATCTGTCTCTCTCGTGGGATCCAACATCGAGCGTCTACACAGTTAGGAAGTATCTTCACAAACTTCTTTTTCGATGGTCACTGAGTGACTTCTAAAACAATGTCAAAAGTTAAATCTTTCACAAATCTTCTTCCTCCAACATTCATTGTGCATAGGAATAGGATGGATTTCGGATAATATGAATGTGCACTCATCTTTACGCCACTAAAACCAATCCATTCGTGGCCACTAACGTCGCTATACTAACAAAGAGATTAGGCATGGCCTACCCTGTCCTTTTACTTTTATCAGCGGACACCATTCCCAAACAACCTCATATCTCTGTCATTTTCCAATTCACTGTCCTTTCTTTCCTCCATACACATACACATCCACCACCAGCTACTGTTGGAAGTGTTGTATGATCATTTCCCTTTCCTTTGTCTTGTTTCTTCACTCAATTCCATTCAGGGTCTCTATCCGCCTTTTTGAAGGCTCCTTGGCATGTGCAATCCACCCAAGTCAATAAAGCTGTTCGCTCTCCCTTTACACATCTACAATCACTTTCATCGTAAATATAAAAGAAGATACCCCAGACATTATCAAAATATGATGTTTCAATATCATTTTTTACGGATTGTGACGTACAAATTTGTCCAATACTCTGAAACCATAAAGCCCATTTCTACACAATTAATGTGAGAAAGTGGTGGAACTCTTACATGTTTGGTCACTGTTGCATTCAAACTACACGCACACTGAGCATAGTTAATATCTATCCCAGAATCCCATTCCTTTTATGCTTGAATTGACACAAGTAGAGAGTTGGGCCTATTTGGATAAGCATGTCAACTTGTAGATTATTATGTTTGGTCCCACCCTAACCCCCTTTTTTTCCATCACTTTCTCAAGGGAAAGAACAAAAAAGTTGCAAGAGGGATGTCTCGGTGTCCAACAAGAACTCTTAGACGATAATCAATTAGATAGAGTCTCTCCTTTTAAAGTGTTTGAAGTTCAACGATTGTCCCCTCAGTCGGTTATAATGATGAGTGTAAATACAATACATTCATAAATCCTTAGAAATCCTAAAAGTGGTGACAAGAATAAGATAATATGAAAGAGGGTTAATCAAAATGAGGACATATATTATAATAAATTTGGATAATACATATACTATACTACTATACCAAAATGGAAAACAGAAACCAGAAAATCCAAAAAAAATCATCCAGTGGTATAAGAGATGTACTCCTCCTCAATAGTAGTATTTTCTTTTTCACCTTACTTGCCTTCTCCCTCCTCATCTTTTCTGGGGCTGGGGCTGGGGCGTAACGAAGAGGTTGAGCCTGATGCCATATTCACAGCCTGCCCATGTGTGAACCTTTGTAACTGTATCATACGGGCGTAACACCCATCAGGATGGTTTTTCACTAGGTGTGAGTGAGAACCTTGTTCCACCACTTTTCCATCATCTAGCACAGCAATGACATGGGCATTTCTTATGGTTGATAGCCTGTGTGCAACCACAATTGTTGTCTTTCCCGAGCAAGCACGCTCCAGAGCCTCTTGTACGCACTTCTCTGACTCGGCATCAAGTGCACTTGTGGCTTCATCCAGCAGCATTACCTCTGCCTTCCTCATGAAAGCGCGAGCAATTGCAATTCTTTGCTTTTGTCCACCAGACAGTTGAACTCCCCTCTCGCCAACATATGTTTTGTAGCCATCAGGCAATGATGATATGAACTTGTGGGCATTTGCTAAATTTGCTGCCTCAATTATCTCAGCCTCGGTTGCTGACTCGTGCCCATAAGCAATGTTTTCGTAAATGGTTGTAGCAAAGAGACACGGCTCCTGAGGGACCATGGCAATGTGCTTTCGAAGTGACTTGAGATTGTATTTTCGAATGTCCTTCCCATCGATCACGACCCTCCCAGATGATGGCTCGTAGAATCGCTGTATAAGTGCAATGACTGAGCTCTTGCCACAGCCACTAGGTCCTACAAGGGCAAGAGTCTTGCCAGCTCGTGCACGAAGAGTGAGGTCACGGAAGATAGGCACATCAGGGCGAGAGGGATAAGAAAAGTCTACATGCTTGAGCTCCACTTCCCCACGAAGGCGGTCAGGTACTTGGGTGGCATCTGAATCATCAGGCTCAATTTCAGTTTTGCGGTCAAGGAGATCAAAAACTGATCGCATGGCTCGACCACCCTTAATGAAGTCAGGGGCTAGGGTCAATGTTTCTGCTGCACCATTGGCGGAGACCATGAGGACCATGAAAACTTGAATGGTCTTTGAGAAATCAGAGATCCTATGCTTTACAAGCCATGACGCATACCAAAGACCAAGAGCATAGGAAGCATAAAGTAAGAACTGGGCTATCCCAAATCCACTTCCAGCAATCTGACCCTTCCAGAAGCAACGTCGTAATGGAGTTTGAAGGCTGGTGGTGAAAAGGGTGACGATTTTTGATTCTGAATTGAAGGCAGCAACTGTTCTTACATTAGCCACAGCCTCCGCTGCTAGTTGTGTGCCTTTGGCATGTGCAGCTTCTAGGTCTCCCGAGAAACCAGTCATGAACATTTTCTGTCAAAAAATAACGGGGAAAGTGAATAGTCGGAGTTTTCATAATGCATAATAATTTCATATAAACCCCACAGTGCTGGTTATGCAATTAGCAGTGTGACAAGACTCTCTAATGTTTCAAACAAAGTGATTTTCAACTATTTACAAAAGTTCAAATTACATGAATTCCGAGATGCAGTTTAACTGCCTATTTTGCTAGATTATTTCATATTGCTAATTCCAGTTTACCATTAGCTTCTCAATCATTTCTCAGAATGCATGTTCTTAGGATTCAAATGAGGAAAACATACCTGCAAAACAGTGGCTGCAACAACGACAGGGAAAACGGCCACAAGGACAAGGGCTAGCCGCCACTGCAAAACAAACCCTACAGTGCAGGCAACTAGCATGAGTGCTGAGTTTTGCATTATCACTGAAATGCGGTCTCCAATGGCTGATCTAACATTGTTGGCATCAAGAGCCAGCCTTGCTGCAACTCTAGAACTCTCATTTTCCTCCTGATCAAACCATGCCATTTCATTTTTTAACACTGCTGCCAGCATTTTCTCCCTCACACGTTTCGTTAGATTTTCTCCCACAACATCCCAGAAGAAATGCTGTAGCGTGTTGAAAATAAGTGCAGCAGATGAAACCCCAATTAAAAGATAGCAGTATTTTCCAATTTCTCTTCTCATGTAAGCATGGTCTTGATTGTAGTAAACACTTAGGACAGCACTCAGAACGTATGCAAAGAAGGCACTGAGTGAGCCACAAACAATGGAGCCTATAGAACCAACTAGGGCATATGCCCATTCAGGAGAGTTCATTTTTGCAAGGCGCCAGAAAGAACTAGCCTGCTCCTTGAATGGAAGCTTTTCAAGCCGATAATTTGGGTATGTGGAATCCATGGACAGGCTAAAGTCAGAAGTAGAGAAGTCAGATAGCCGGCGTGAATATGGTGATCGGCCATAGGAGGAGTTTCGGGCAATTATTGGTGAGCTTACCGAGTTCCTGGCACTAGAAGGCCTGCAACGGATAAACTGTGTTAAGCAACTAATAATCAACTTGGTACATATCATTATACATTTAAGATTATTAGAAATGCTGATAATACACAGTTTCTTAGTTCGAAATGGATATTCAAGATTGCCAAAATAGAGTCAAAGTTGGTGAAGCTACCTTGCACTACTCTTTCTGGCATTGTTGAGAGCAGTTTCATGAGCCATTTCTTGCATTCGGATAAGCTTGGCATAGACACTGTTGTCTCCTTTGGCAATGAGCTCATCATGCGTTCCAATTTCAGAAACACTACCCTGCTGGAGTACAGCCACAAGATCAGCCTTACGGATAGTGGAGAGGCGGTGAGCAATGACAAGAGTGGTCCTCCCAATCATGAATCGATCAAGAGCCTCTTGCACTAGCTTTTCTGATTCAGAGTCCAATGCACTTGTTGCCTCATCTAAAAGCAGGATTGCTGGGTTTTTTAGCATTGCCCTTGCTATAGCTATTCTCTGCTTCTGCCCACCTGAGAGTTGCAATCCTCTCTCGCCCACCTGCCATTTTCAATTGCTTTAGTCCATTGTATTTTTAGTTGTGATTTCTCCCCAAAATCTGTACATTTCATTTGGTTACAAAGAGAACAGTAAAGTAACAAGAACTTGGATTTTTAACAGGACTAGATTTGTTTTTTATTTTTTATTTTTTCTCACCAAGTAAAATAGCAGGAGTAGATTGGACTAAGGCAATTTTTTTTCTATCACTTTCCCCTTTTCGAACGATTACTCAGGTGATCATTCAAAGAATGAATTACTTCTCTATTCGCGTGACATGCTACCAGGCGCGTATGTAGGTCTTTTGCATTTATTTTCTAATTAGAAATTAAAATTTACTTTATATAAAACAAAATCTTGCTTAAATGAATGAATTTACTTCATAATTTTAGACTACTACCTGTTTATTATCGATTTCATCCTCATTTTCAATATAGCAGACACCCCATCTGCCTCCTATGAGTTCCATAAAGTATCTGGTAGTAATTTAATTTTGTGGGCTATCCTTATTATTATAACCTTTAATGAACCCTACATGTTCTGCATTCCTACTGTTTTCTATAGTATTTGTTTCTGCTCTTTTGTCTCCTTGCCAGTATCAAGTTGCCATTATCTAATCAATATTATCTATCCCCTTCTAACCCCCTCTGAGTTAATTGACATATCAACTAGTTCTTAATATTTGTGGGGTTGTTCTCACTATTAGTATAATCTTTGACCAATTCTCATGGAACTCATTTTCTATTATATTTTCTAGTATATATATCTTTCTATTCTGGTGCCCTCTCCCCATCTTATTTAGTTTAAGTCTTTGTTTCTGCATGAATAAATAAAACCCAGTGTACATCTGCACATGCATGGTTGACTGAAACCATGTTACCTTTTTTTTAAAGGCATGACCAAACACCTCCCCACATTGACTTTAAAAGAAGTTAGGTTGTTTGTTGACCAAATAAGCCATCATGTCTTTAATGCTAGCCATAGGAAGCCAGAAAAGAGGGGAAAAAAAAAAAAAAAAAAAAATCTAACTTCAGAAAGCCCTTATTTCAAGATCCATGACTATTTTCACCTTTAAGACAGTGACCAACTGAACTTCTACATCTACATTCTACAGTAACTCCTCTAGTACAATGTAAAAAAGATTTTACCATTTAATTGAAAACATCATATGCAAAGAGTTAAAGTGTTCTCTTTAAGATCTTTATACCAAACGAATTTAGTTCTATGATATTTATACATAATTTAACTTCTAAGATTGCTCATGCCACCTTTTTGTCAACCAATCTCTATGTTAATGTCTCAATTCGCTAACCTGCGTGTCGTAGCCATCTGGAAGCTTGACAATGAATGAATGGGCGTTGGCGACTCGGGCGGCTTCTTCTATCTCACCTAGAGATGCATCAGGCCTACCCAAGAGTATGTTCTCTTTAATGGTGGTAGCAAACAGAGCAGGCTCTTGGCTCACAAGTCCAATTTGCTGCCTCAGCCATTTCAGCTTTAGTGTCTTAATGTCATGCCCATCCAAAAGAACTTGTCCTGCACATCTTCTATTTATTAACAGATTTTCATTCTGTGATAGCATCCACAAAGATAGCAAAATGGACCACATAACTCACGAGCAGAAATAACTTCAGTGGCAGGAATACATTAAATTTTTATCTACTCACAAATCATACTGATTGTGCATATATGTAGTAGTATTATTTACCAGAGGTAGGATCATAGAATCTCTCAATGAGGGAAACCACAGTGCTTTTGCCAGAGCCACTACTTCCAACCAAAGCTATGGTCTTCCCGGCAGTGACGCTTAGAGAGAAATCGTTAAGAACCCGAACATCCGGCCTTGATGGGTAGGCAAAATCAACATTTTTCAGCTCTATTTGTCCAGTTATGGTGTCCAACTCCAAACCCGATTCAGTATTTCGATCAATACTCGGTTTGTGGTCGATTATTTGGAAGATTTTTGCAGCTGCAACCTTTGCCTTGGCAAATGCAGCCATGCTCGGAGCTGACTGTCCCAAAGCTCTGTTCACAACCAAAACATATTTTTGAGCAACAAAACTCAATTGGAGATGTAGGATTGAAGTAAAGTAACAGAGTACTTACAGTCCACCTATCATAACAGAGAACATTGTGGCAATGGCAAGTCCTCCATTAGTGAAATGGTGCCTAACCAGATAACCCCCGTACCAGAGCAGAAGTGCATAACAACAAAAAACAGTGAAGTAAGTTGCTCCCAATCCCAATCCTTTAGCAAAACCACACTTATATCCGATTCTTTGAGCGACCTTCAATGCTCGTGAATAAGATTCTATTGCTTTTGATTCACCAACAAATGCCAAAACCGTCCGAATTTGAAGTATAGTCTGCAATTTGGCTAGAATTAGAAACACCCAAATGTCCAAACACAGAAAATTTACTCTGAATCAACCAAGTCTAGTTTCATTTTGCCACAAACCCAAGAAAGAAACACACAAAATACTGAAAAATTTCGATTTCTCTTACCTGTTCTACAATGTTTCCTGCGTGTGAAAGAGCTTGTTGGCTTCTGGCAGAGAGCTTGGATAATGTGGTGGTGTGGATGCCTCCAATTACAGCTATGAGTGGAACCACAGCGAGAGTGACCAGAGCTAATTGCCACACAGCAGTGAAACCCACCACAAATCCAGAAACAAATGTTGCCATATAGTGTATGAAATTACCCAACTGCGCAAAACATCAAACACAGACTGTTCATCGCTTAATTCAGCAAAAAACATCAAAAGACTAACATTAGTGCAAATTGGGTTTTTCTTCACCTTCTCGCTAATGGCGTCCTGGACCATCACTGCTTCTGTGTTAATCGCAAAAACGACGTCGGATGATCGAACCTCTGTATCAAAGTATTGAATGTCTTGGTTCAAAGCAGCTTCTAAGTACTTGATTCTCATCTTCGTCGATTGTCTCTCTCCGGTCCACATCCAACACGATATCTCTGCAACCCATTTGAGTTCATGCAATTTCAGTGAAAATTTCGTTACCGAAATCAAAACCAAGATGAAAATTCACACAAAATTCAAACTCACCTGCCCATGAAGACGCCCATATTGCAGCTCCAACAACAAGAAAGTAAAATGCATACTGCGAATTCACAAAGAAACCAATAAAATTACATACATATATATACGGCGGTGGATATGTAAATGATTGTGAATTCTTTTTACCTTTACAACTTCGTCTACCATCTTATCTACATCGTTTATATTGGAGCCGAAAGAATTGACGAGATCGGCGAAGAATCGAAGAAACAAAGGCAAAGAACAGCCATGGACAAAGGCACCAACTGACCCAATTGCCATGAGAATATAGTCCAACTTATCTGCAAATCTGAAGAGCTCAAAGAACCCAACTGACGGTGGAGTTGAACCAGGCTTCTCTCCATCACCGCCATCTTTCTTTCCTTCAGGTGCCTCCATTTCTCTTCTCTCTCCTCCTCCTCCTCCTACTCTGTTTTCTCTCTCTACAGAGGACCCTTCACTCTTTTTTGCTTCTTCTTGTTGTGTGTCTGTTGCTGTTGTTGTTGTTGTGGTTGTTGGGTTGGCTTTAAAGGAGGGGTCTGAGTCTGAATGAGCTGACACAAGTTCAAGGCCTTGCATTTCGGACCATTTCCACTGCTAAATCGGTTTTATCCCCTGAGAATCTTGTGACATTGCTTTGCAATTACAAACAAAACCACCACCACGTTCTTTAACTTTATCTCTCTAAAACTTTGTTGCTCATTTCTCTCTCTAGAATTTACTCCCACTCCCATTTGTTTAACATGTCCCGGAAATTGGAATGAAACGACTCAAGTATAGAGAGAAGTTTTTTACGGTGTTAGGTGGGTCTCTGCAGTTGCTTCTTGTGTAAAACACACACAGAAGTCTAGAGAGAGAAAGTTGAGGGAAGAGAGAGAGTGCGTGGGTGTGTTTCCCCCGACAAATAATACTGTGTGAGCTAGTGTATGAAAACTTGAGATTGGGTTTTTGACCGAAACAGATTCGAAGTGGAAGTGATATACATAAATATATATATATTTTCAATTTTCAGAAACAGTAATTTTAAGTGTTGAAGATTTGGCTTCTTCAACAAGTTAAAATTGTAAATGCTTGTGAAAGAAAGCTGACGTTGATGTTTAAACCAAAACATTTTGTCTGTCTCCTTTAAATCCGGCGGATTTTCTTTTCACTGTACAATTCTATTTTTAACATCCATGTGTCTGACTATCTATGTGTGATATATATACATATATACTAGTAAATTATTATATTACTGTATATAGAGTTTGACCGCTAATTGTTGACTGAGAAGCCTATATTAAAGTGGTTGATTTTTTGTATTTTTTATTTTTATATTTAAATAACACAACCTCCCATATCAATGTTGCCTTTGACCAGAATTTGTTAAATTTACATTCGTAGTACTTTTATTAGTAATTTATTATCTCTGTCTGTATTAAAATTTCACTTCTTGGATTTTTTAATATGAGGTGGAGGAAGTAATATATAGACAAAATAATATTTTTTTAACTTTTTAAGATTGTTTGAAATTTTTTATATGTAATTTTAAGTAGTACATAACATGTAAGAGTGTCATATTTTATAACATGGAAAGTCAATATTATTCAAATTTAAACCAAATGAGAGATTGGAAGTGTTATATTTGAAACTAGATAATAAATTCATGTTATTTAGATAATCTCTAAAATGAGGTAAATGTAATCATCTCTATTTTCAATTACAACCCTCACTTATAAAAGATACGGTATTCACAAATTCTACGGTGCTTAAGGAGTTTTTAAATAAATATTTATTTATGATATACGAGTAATTTATAGTTTGACACTAAAGTATTGTTTGATAAAATTAAAAATTTTAAGAACTGAATTTGAAGTATTGAAGTTGTTAAGTGAATACATTTTAATTTTTTTTTTTTTAAAAATCAGCATTCAACATTTAGTGATAAGTGATATTCTCATCACTTAAAATTTTATAACATTTTAAGTGATGATTAATATTTTAAGTGACATTCAAATTATTTTATCAAACGCATTTAATTGAATAAACGCTTAATCTGTTCAAAATTAAATATTGAATTGAATTATCAAACAACACATAACTTAAAGAAATTAAAATAACAAATCGTGCCTTGGATTATCAATCTATACTGTATTATTAAAAGTACAAATATTTTATACCAGTTCACAACATTGATTTATTTATTATTTCAAATAATATAAATTTACTTTAATTTACTAATTCTATTATCTTTCTAACTCTTTTATTTACATTTAATGTTTTATAATATTATTTATTTCTATATAAACTCTTTTCCCGGCCATTTAATTTCATTATCTATCAACCATTTCCTTCTCTGATTCAATTAATTTCTATCAACTACTATAGAAAACTTACTTAACTATTGTGATTTCATATTTTCTCCTGTAATTCGATTTCCTATTCTATCAACTACTATAAGAAACATAACTATTATGATTTCATAATCAATAGCATAATCATGTTTTACAAAATAAAGCAATTCATATTCTATCAACTGCCATATAATTTTTTTTCTTCTTAAAGCATGTGTATCTGTCCCACAATACATACATCATTTAAATCATGTGTACTATTCGAAAGATAAATTTTAAAAACTTACCTCTCAAATCACTGCTAACATCGCTGTATCCTTGGGACAACTACTATAGAGAACTTGCTCAACTTGTATCATGATTTCATAATAAATAGCATAATCGTGGTTTACTAAATAATGCAAGGGGATATATCTATTTTACTATATATATATATATATATATATATATATATATATATATATATATATTAAATTAATGACCATCTATATTTGGTTTTTTGTTTTTGGTTTCTATATATCTATTTATCTTTATTCCTTTTTAATAATCTCAAAGTTATGGAAGATATTGGAGCCCCCTGCAGGTCAGATTTAATTCTTTTTCTAAACTTTGTTTGTTGCCTTTTGTTATTATTATTATTTTTTTAAAGAATAAACTTATTATAGATTTGTTTTTTACTATTGTTTGAGTGATATATCTTGAATGGAGTCACACAAATTATTATTTTAAAAGTTTACAGTAAAACAACGTGATATTGAAGCCAATAAGAACCTATAAATTTTATTGTCTGTCTAAAATTTATTTGTATCTATTTTTTTTATTATAAAAAAACAGTTCCTCGCTCTATACATTTATTTTTTTATTTATTTGCATGATCTTGTGTAGAAGGCTATGGAAAATAAAATTATGCGTTAAATCAATTTCGTTTTTTTTGTTTATAGGACATTCAATTTGACTACTTAGATATTGTTACTAATAAATTATTTATATAAAAAATAATTTAAATTATAAATTCACTTTTTATCACCCATGCATGTGCTCTTTTACCAGGAGGCAGGATGTATATATATATATATATATATTATAATATCCTAAGTCAATTCTTCATGAAATTTGAAAATAAAAAAATATGAAAAACTTATATTTAAGTTGATGACAACTTATAAATAAACCGAAGGCTTATCTGTTGTTAGATTGTCAGAGTAATGTCGAAAAATATTGATAAGCATGCATGTGATTAATTGCACTTGTATATTAAATCCGTATATATATATATATATATATATATATATATATATATATAAAGCACCAGCAAACACTGTACTGTGAAGTTCAGTATGCAGTATGAACAGCTTTGGTAATTTGAGAGGTTTGAGGTCAGAGTCAGAGGTAAGCTAGCTTTAATTAACTCCTGTTGGAGTTACAAACAATGACTTGGTGAGTCACCTCTTTTTAACCTGAAAAATAAAGTATAAAGTTACTGAGGTATCTGAAACAAGTGACTTGGGCTACGGATTCTTTGATGTCGCTAGGGATTATGTTATAAATATACATATCTATATATGTGTGACTGTGTGTGTGTATATATGTATAGACACACATATAGAGATAGAGAGAGAGAGAGATTTGATTGGGTAAGTTTTGTGAGTATATATTTGGAGAAATCAAACAGTTCTCATTTTGTTGACCGTGTACTTTTCTGCAACGCTATTCACAACAAAGGTTTCTTCTTCTTTCTTTTGTTTGGCCACCCACGCGCATTTCTCTGTGCCCTCCCTGTAAGAAGACCTTTTAAGAGGACACTTCATTTTCTTGTAATTACTATAATGCCGTGTCTTACCCTTGAATCTTTATGACTCAAAATTTAACTTTTTTTCCCTCTGAATTGCCATGACAGTAGGAAACAACTGAGAAATGATCCAGATCCATGTACCAGAAGTTTGACCGAACAGGCTCAGACAAATTGTTCAAGTGGAGTTGCCTGTTAGGATAACTGTTAGGCGATGAATGTTCTGTATTTTAGTACCTTAATTTGCATGTTTTATTTTTTTTATAGTAATTTTATTTGTGATTTTATGTTATTTTATTATTTCAAGATTTCAAAGAAAATATCAATTAAGACCAGTGAAATCGGGCTTTCAAAGATGATATCCAAGAGGTTAGAAAACCACATCCATTGGACTGAGTAATGATGAAGATCAGAGTCTAATTAGACTTAGAAAATAGTTCAAGAGAAGACATAAGTTGACGAGAATGCAAAGAAGAATAAAATGAAGAATCCTTATCCAACTAGGAAACGTTTTCAAAATTGGTAACTTGAACTCGTTTTGGTAATTTGTTTGTATCTCTTTTCTCGAGTGTCAAAATAGCTTAAACTAAATTCTCGCGTGAGTTCAAAAGGAAATTCGAAAATCTACAATTTTGTATTTCACGAGAATTTCATAAAACAGCTGTTTATCTTGTCAAAACTGGGCTGACAGTTTGTACGAATTTTGAAGTCCTTATTTGGCAGAATTTCCATATATGTCTTTAATTTATATGGAAAATGGAACTTTAGGACTGATCTTTTCTTATTTAAAGGGAGTTCTCAGCATCATTGTGATAAGCATACAGAGGAATTAGAGGCTGAGATCTGAGGAGAAGCATTCAGAAGAAAGAAATGATCAATCCATGGCCACGAAGATGTCTTCCTCAACCATGAAAAAGTCCATTCCAATCATGAGTGACTAAAAGCTTTGCAATGGTTTTTCACTGAATATATTATTAGGGATTTGATGGATTATGTCTAGAGAAGATAGATTATACTACACTCTAGAGTAGAGTAGTTGGGTAAATGATTTATGCTAATCGAAGATAGTTTATGCTTAACTTTAATTTATATTATCTTCTAACTGAATTAATATGTGCTTGTACTCATGATTAATTCGTTATGCATATTTTATATATATCTCCAATAAATTGATACAATTGACTGGTGGTGCGACGTTAGTGGTGAAGTCATGTCCCTATTTCATTCTCTCTTATTTTCTATATCTCACTTAATTATTGTTTTTTATTCAATTTTTCTACTTAGTTCATCTAGAATAAATTATCAAAATTCGGTTATCTTATTTTCAAGTTAATTTAGAATTTAAAAAATTTGTTAACAACTTCATTAACACAAGTTTCATGAGTACGACACCCTTCCAAGTTACAAAAACTTGTTGTAAAACTTAGATGTAATCACTCACAAGCGCACGAATCTTTGTAGATAGGGTTTCATTGTAAGGGTGTCGTACCCAAGGGACTTGTGTTAATGAAGTTGTTAACCGATTTCTCAAATTCTAAATTAACTTGAAAATAGGATAACCAAATTTTGATGATTTATTCTATATGAACCAAGTAGAAAAAAATCTTTTAACTAAAAAAAAAAAAAAAAAAACTAAATGGAAAAATTGAATAAAAAGTAATAATTAAATGAGATGTAGAAAATAAGAGAGAAGGAACTAGGGATGTGATTTCACCATTAACGTTGCACCACTAGTTAATTGCATGAATTTATTGGAGATATATATAAAATATGCATAAGAAATTAGTCATGGGTACAAGCACATATTAATATAGCTAGAAGAAGATATAAATTAAAGCT